AATTGTTTCTATCTATTGTTTAAAGATATGTATTTGATATTTATTCATTTGGCAAACGAATTATGTATTACTATATATAATAATTTTTCCTCATGAAGTTTTGAATCAAATCGCAATTTGCTGTTGTTCTCTGCGTGCACGAGTACCAAGTCCATCTGCGCTGATTTCAAGCTTTTATCCTGTCAATTTGCGAGCGCTGGGAATTGGGTTTAATTCAATTTCATTTATGAAATAACAATCGTGTCTCGCGGGTGTTACGTCAACGGTGTAGCCTGCGTCGGCGTCCTAGCGCTAGCCGCATTACCGCAGACTAGCCGCAAGTTGACTGTGCACATATTATCGTTTTTAGATACGATCTAGTTATAAATAAAACTGGAAATAGGTTTTTTTATATAAACTAAATTACTTTATTTATTACATATATTAATTATTATATTAATTACAGGGTTCGAAACGATAATTATCATTGATAATTATCTTGATAATTATCATGATAAATATGGGTTGATAATTATCTTTGATAAATATAATTAAAAATATTTAATTTGTAACTCTTCAAATTGTCGATCAGGTAACTTACCTTAACTTACCTGATCGACAATTTGAAGAGTTACAAATTAAATATTTTTAATTATATTTATCAAAGATTATTATCAACCCGTTCAGCATTCGCGCAAGAGAGTTCAGTTGAACTCTCTCAATCAGCTCAAAAAACTCAATCAGCAAACTGAGTTAATGCAGTTGAGGAGGATGAGGATGATATTCCACTCATTAAGGAGATCATGACCGTACTATGAACGTATCAGGAACGGATACAATCGACACGGACTAATAGTAGTCCGTATCGCCCACTAGATCGTATCATTCGCGTATTAACCGCGTAACATCCGCGTGTCATATCCTTATAGTTCCCGTTTTCTTAGTCGTAGTAGTTCACCTGTGTTTTCGCGTGAGGCAGCCGCGTCAGAATGAGCGAGTGAATATTTCTGTTACAAAAATTATTTCCTATACCTATACGATGGCTATTAGAAACTTGTCCGATAGAAAATTAATAATGATAGCCATGGTTTTAGACGAGGAAGAAAGAGAATAACATCAATCGATCACGACTTTAATAGATTCACGCCGTTTAAAAAAAAATAAAAAAAAATATTATCACTAGAAGACATGCAACAATACGTTTATAACGGGCTTAGAACGGTCATCACACGCAATTATAATCGTGTGCTTACCGTTTCGTCAATGTCGCGTGCCAGGCACGGAGCGTATCGGTACCGGCAAAATATTCTTGCCGACAATTATTTTTAACTTTCCATGCACGGCACACGACGGTGTTGGTTGGTGACGGAAAGGTCTGGGTCGGTGATGGAACGGTCTAGTGGGCATAGTCTCGTACTTTCAATACAAAGAATATTTTTTGCCTGACATGGTCCTATCACCGTCATGGTATGAGACGGTGTAGTGGGCAGAGCCTTTAATTTAATTTAACAGTGTCTATATAGTTGGTTAAATTTATTCTGTTTTTATTTCCAAGTTTGTATGTGTCAAAATAATGAAAAAATTATAATAATAAAACATTACCTTGATTGTTAAAAGTGTATAATTTCTTCTAACGTAAATTATGATAGGTAGTAGTCAAATACCAATACCTACACAAGAATTGCTAAGTTTTAATCTGTTTGATAATTATCGGATAATTATCTGATAATTATCTTGATAATTATCAAAAGATATATTTATCTTGATAATTTCATACCCTGAATATATTAATTACATTTAAACAACTTGATGAAATTATTATCCGTAGAAATTTGACTTGCATATTTATTAAATATAATAACGTTTGCAGAGTCCTTTCAGTTTAGAAAATGAATGAGAAAATCGCTTCGATTTTTTGAAGAGAATGGGATCTTTCTTTAGGAATATTTTTATTATCGCTGACCTGAGTTTCTGAACTCCAGAGCAGAAACTTGGTTTCATAGATTAAAGCACAATGAGTCGAAATATAGGCTATGAGGGCATAAAACGCCTTACCTGTGAAGTTAGAAATTCCACAAGTAAAGTTAGTTGTTTAATATTTCCTAGTATTATAGGAAAACACTCATTGAACACTGCGTCCAGTCACGTATTCTGCACGCAATAATTATTTTATTTGCTCCTGCTTGTTCCGAGAAAATATTATGTATGTCCGATGTCAATGTTTCTCAACAATCTTGATTTTCTTTTCCGATACTCGTTATTTATTATTGCGTTTCTGTTGGTTTATCTTGAACAGGTTTTAATTATAAATAATTATCTACCTATTTTTACCTATTTTATCCTTAAAAGGTAATATTATCTTTACTAAAGTATTTCGTTAAAATTGGCAGGCATAGATTTTCTGTGGGCGATTTTATTAAAGATAAATCGAGATTTATTTTATCAGTTCTTATCACATCACTCACGGCAAGTTTAAGGGTATCGTATCTGGGCAAGTTTAGAACCGATAAATCCTAATTATGTTAACGCCATATAATTATATCGCGACCTTTTCTGTCAGCGACGGAACGGAATGCCGTTACATCACGGTGCGATAACTCTGACGCCTTATCACAATCCTTTCCGAGTAAAGATTGGTGCCGTCATACTCATCGTTATCCATAATGCACTGTTTCAACTATTAGGCTTTACCTAAACTGTACGATTACTATTGTACTTAACCGTATAGCTAAGTAGTTTGATGAAACAAAGTAAAAATATGCAGAAGAGAAAAAAAAATATTAAAGAAAGGTGGTCGTATGATAAGAAGAAATAAACGAATAATACTTTAAAAAAGAAATAAACGAAGATAAAGAAAGTATTAAGTATCACCATCAGGTGACAAGGTTCATGCTTACCAAGATATGGCGGTCCCATTTTTACTTTGATCCGATCTTAACAGTGCGTTTACAACACTTTAGTTTTTCTGTGATTAATGATAGTAATAAAAGTAGTCATTCGTTAATTAATACAGTAATTAAATTTGACGACATGTTTTGGCTCAGTTTGTAGTAACCCTACTTGCTGTGCCAGCGATCGCGGGTTCGAGTCTCGCTAGGGGGATTCATTTGTGTGATGAGCACGAATGTTTGTACTCCAGTCATAGGTGTTTTTATTTATAATATGTATGTATTTAAAGTTATATACGTGTAGTGTATCAATTATCTGGTATCCATAACACAAGCCTTGTAGCTTACCATGGAACTAGATGGAGCCGAGTGTTAATGTCCGAACATGTATTTATATTTCTTTATATTAATCATTTACCGCACAAAATAATTTAATATCTAATCTTTCACATCCAGCTGTCATTTATATCCTATTTCTCAGTTTATATTTAAAGAAAAATAGACAGGAAAATATAACTATGAAATAATACAAGTATTCTGATTTTCTCGTGATTATCATAAGTACTTTTTATTGAAAAAAAAAAATGTTTTTTAATGTTATTTTTTCTAATAATAATTATATTCGTGTAAATCACGAACATAACAAGTAGTTCGAAAAGGTGATTAATACTATCGTTAGTGTTGTGAAGATAATTACATGAGAATGTAAATAGTGATTAGTTCGTACATATTATATCGTAAACAAAATGATTCGTCCATCTAATTGCAATTTAAGCTTATTTAAGTCACATATAAAGAAAAAATTGTACGTGAAGGAAGCAAATCTGCCATATTCTATTAAATGAGCGTTTTTTTAACATAGTATGTATATGGCCTTACACACTATGCGTTTCTGAACCTTTATCGCGGTGTTTGTTATGAATGGACCAGTGTCAGTCAAACGCTGCTCGTTTTAGGATTGATATTTCGCGCGCTTTTATTTTTGAAGTTTTATTATTCATGTGAGGAAAACCAAAAGATCATTGTTTAGTGTGTATGTGCTAAGTGAAAATTTATGTGTTAATAATAGAGAGCAAGTGATTTTTAAACGTTGTGTTTTTAATTTGGTATGTTTATTTTTAGTTTATATTAGTTCTATCCTTCGATAATAAATAATATTTTTAATTAATTATTTACGACATCACAAACTCTTATATCTAAAAATAAACTTCAAACGTGAGTTTTTATGAAATTATGTAGAGTGAGTCAAAATTATCGTATAATAACTTGAGCGCGTGTAAACTAGAGTAGGTATATTGGTATTTAAGGTAATGCATTTAGTTATAAATATCTACATGTACCTATGTGTATAACTAACTTAAAAAACAATACGTGTGTCTGTAGAATCTTTGCATTCAAATTTATAATATTAATTTTGAAGAAAATATTTTCTGTATAATTATAAGAAAGTAAGATAAAATTTTTAAAGTACATTTAATTTACACAAAATCATTTATTTATATTCGCCAAATATCAAACAAAATATTGTTCTTTGAATAATGGCGACAACGACTTTGATTAGGTACTGATTTAATTAAACAAGTTATGAAATATTTGTTTCGAACGTATAATGGATAAGTATAAATAAAACGATGTTACATATTCTACTTAGGAATCATCTAGTTAGGATAAATAGAGGCGTTTGTCAATTGATCCCGTCGGAGAGTTCCTGTCATGGGCAAATTTAATCTCGAGCGAATTTAATTCGCGGATTGCGATCTCGCATCTTGAGATTGGAGAATACATGTAAGCAGGATATAGTAGGTACTGAATCGGTCCTTATGTACATTATATGTATGTACGTAAACATACACATACTATATACACAAACATATATGCGTATGTTACGTTTCTAGATATATGACGTTTTTTTCGCGCTTCTTTCGGTTGCTTCATGCGCACTTATTTAGGAAGTTAATCGTATAATTGAATAATTTGTTATACTCTAAAAGTTTGCTGTATTCGTTTACAATTCTTAATTACTGCCACTTTTTACTTTATTACCTATGTTTGTTTTTAATTAATAAAAAAAACTGAAATATCTAAAATATGTGCATTACACTTGTATCAACGAAATGTTTATTTATTTTACAGATGACATCAGGTCTTCACGGCCACGGCCATCAGATATCGCAACAGGCGCACCATCTCGACTCCTCTGTACTTAACACCAAAGAAAAGACTGTGCATGGCAAAGAAAAGACCTTCAAGGTACCCACAATTCCACTCATATCGCATACTTAATAGATTTTCACCTACTTTTACCTTGTTTTATAGTCAATAAACTAGTAAAATCTCGATTGTGATAAGAATAGAACACGATTATATTACACGTTCATTACGTTTTATGTATCCTATATGCATCATCGTGCAGATTACGTCGCGACGATATTTTTTCTAGGATAAGTGCAGATCTAAATAGAATGTATGTTGAGGCAAGTTTTGACATTCTAACCAAAGAATCGTGTGTAAAAAAAAATTATTTGTTCTATTTAAATATCGATATTTATATTGTGATTTCAATGGTTAAGTTTTAGTCACTTTAATTCCATCTAACCTACCGAGAATATGCATTTTTAATATTTACTTTTCACTCTCCAATGATCTAATATGTCAGAATGAACAATTACTCACGTTCCATTAGAACGAAATTATGGCCTTCAGTATCATTTTTTTGATATTTCGTTTGCAAATTGTGTTGTTTTTGTAATTAAATTCGCCTTTTTCGAAGTTTAAATCAAAAAAGTCGAATAATTATTGCAATAATTAAATAATTATTACTAAAGAATTGTTGAATCTATAACATGTTAGCTAATTATACTTTTCGCAACTTTGCGCTTATTGTTCATATGTTTAAATGTTAAAGTTTTAGGTGTTTAAAAACTCTTATTTCAAACAAGAGCCGGTCATATCGGCGAATATAAACATTCTATGGAGAACAGTTAAAAATGTTAGCTAGCTAATTAATTTATTTAGATTAGTATTGTCTTTGGTCGAATTTCAATCAATTTTGATTAAAATGTTTACCTATAATGTGTGCTCGCCAACCACTATCCATGCAATCCTACAGTTTCTTTTTAAATATAGGTTGCCTGAATGAGATCACTTTAGTGATAAGGCCGCCTTTACGCCTTGATTTCAGTACATGTATCTTCTCATATCTAGCTTTTATGTTCTCTTTACATTGAAATATTTATGGTGTAATAAAGGATTATATAAAGTAAAAAAATAATTGAAATGCTCAATGCGTTTGTATAGGAGAATAATGCATATTCAGTATTTTACCTGATTTAATACACACATGCTACATGTATGACACAGTACCTTTCAAATGTTATAATTTGCTACGTCCCTTTTAACATCGTGAATGAATTTGTACATGTGAAGTTCGCCATCTCGCACTTGGACAGCGTGGTGAGTTTTAGTCTGATCTCCCTAGCGTTAAGATTAGCAGTGAGGCGTTCAAAAAGGTCTAAGTTATATTAATTACAATAGTATAACTTGACATTTAAATATATCTTTCATTCAGGCACGGACCTTCCATTGAAGATTACAATAGGAATCGGCAGATCACATCATTTGAATACAATATATATTCGTTTATCTATCTGCCAGGTTGTGGTGGGGGGCGAGGTGGGTGTGATGAAGACGCCGGTGCTGGGCGCGCGGCCCTACAATGCGCTGGCGATCATCCACACTCAACAGAGCAACACCTTTGATATGCTCAACTCGCTTACCACTAGCGTGGTATGTTATGGATTTTTTAAAATTATTATTTAATTGTATTTTCTATATAATATTAACTGCCGCATTGCAATATTTGCGGTTTGTATTCGAAATAGTAATTTGGCAATTGTAGAGTCTAAGGACAGATGTATGAGTAAATTATACACATACGAGTATGTTTATGTAATTCTATTTTCTTTTTCCTTTAAAAAAACTAGCTGGAGTTAGTTACTCCAGGTAGTTGTTTCACTTATTAATCCGGTGCAGGTTTTGATAATTTAAAATCGCTTTTATTGTACCGAGCGTAAAGGAAAGCCGTATTTTTGTAATTAGTGTATGGTTTGAAATGAACGATTAAAAGCTATGGTATTTTTGGTTATATTTATAAAATAAAAAAGTTTTATTAAATCCATTTCCGATTTTAAGTTAAGTTTTTAAATTCAGATTAAGTTTTATACATGTTTTTTTCAAATACTATTGAATCTTCAATTTTGACGGTTCAAATTTATTGTATTTGTACAAATTGCACATAATATATGTGTTAAATAGAAAGTTTACAATAAGTTTAAAATGCCCTGTAATAAGAAATCCTGTAAAATTTTTTTATTACAATAAGATAATATAAAAGATTGTGCCCCACAGGCCAGTCAACCAGTAGTGGGAGTGGGCGTGGGCGGGTACAGACGACGTAGCTCGGGGCAGGGCGCCATCTGCGACCCGGAGCTGGACGATAGTGGCAACAAGCTGGTGGCCAGGTTGGAAGACGACGCCTTTATATCTGAACAAGACCTGGTATGTATATCTGACAACTATTATTATTAATGTGAGTAGGCAGTGGTAGCCCAGTGATAACGCGCTCGCTTGGGAAACCAAGTGTTCAAATACCGGGCCTCGCACTTCTGATATTTTCATGTGTGAATCATTTCTAACATGATTACCACTTGCCTTACGTACGGTGAAACAAGACATCGTGAGAAAACCAGCATGTCTGAGAGAACCTAGCAAGTTCTCGAAAGACATATGAAGTCCGCCAACCTGCACTTGGCCAGCGTGGTTGACTATGGCTATCCCCTTCGTATTAAAGGGAGGCCCATGCCCAGCAGGGGGACGTTAATAATGGCTGAATGTATGTGTGTGTCTGGGTATATTTTATGTATATCAACGGCGAAGAGCCAATAACTCCTGAGTGTCATAGTCAAGAATTTACACAAACTGAAAAAAATATTTAATTTCTTGATTAGGCACCTAGGCACGGATTTTTTTAAATTTATTATCATCATATACAAGGTATATTAGGCTATTTAATTACATTTAATCTGTATTTGCGTCGTATATTGTAGTGTAGTAATTATCCAGCCCTATCATTATATTAATAATTAAATTATTTATATTTTAAATTTATATTTAGCTATATTACTTTTATGAATGGATAAGTAAATAGCAGAAATGATTTAATTTGTTATTTACAAATCGAATCACACAGTCTATGTCATGCGAAATTTCTATTACCGATTCAGTAGAAATATAAGGAAATAATATGTAATTGAGTTAGTTCAGCTCACCAATAACTCTTTTTTTTTCTAAGAAAAAAATTACATGTTTTTGTAAACAAAGAGTAAATAATATATAAATGCATTGTACCAGATAAGATAACTAAGAGTGATATGACACTGTAGGAGGAGAACATCGAAATAGCGGCGGCCACTGAAAAGGGTGCACCCATCATCCCCCCTCCACCCCCTGACGCGGGGCAGGAACAACCTCAAGAACCGCAAAATGGTAAGCATTGTTGATTTTTTCTATAATTTGTTGTTAAATAATTTAAATGAGGAAATCTTAAGTAATATTGAGAATGCAAAAGTGTTTGTTTGGTTTTATTTACAACAGCAAAGGAGTAATATACCTGTTGTAGTAGTTATATAAATTATAGGCTTTCTCTTTAAGTGGTCCCTGTGATATTAGTCTGTTGGAAAATAATACGGGAGGATGCACTTGCGAGAAGTGAAGGCGGGTAATAATAATCTACACTAATATTATATAGAGGCAGAATTTGTTTGTTTGTTTCTTTGTTTGTTTAAACGCGCTAATCTCAAGAACTACTAATCTGATTTGAAAAATTGTTTTTGTATTAAATAGCCCGTTTATTGAGGAAGTTAATAAACAAATTTAACGCGCGTGAATCCGTGGGGCACAATTAGTAAATAATTTAGGTCGTACAGTGTTGTTACTGCTTTTTTTTCTACACCATTCGTGGTGTGATAAACTGTAGCCTATTTGTTATCCAGAATATGAGTAAAAATCAATTTAAACCATTCCGCTTTTAATTCTCGCAAGCGTGGAAGATATGTTGCGTCGATAAAAAAAGTGTATGTGTAAGAATACACACTTTTTAAGAAGTTATACTTCTTTGGTGTAACAGAACAAAAATAGCTAAAGATTTCATCCCGTATGTCACAACTCACTGTGTGTAAAAAAAAGAAATGCAACTTCATAATATCGCTTTCAGCTAACTTCATCACGTCGCTTTTTGGCTGTCGGTGTGTGCGCGCATCGTAAAAATTTTACTCTTATAATTTTTTCCAAACGTGCTAAAAGAAGTATAAGCCAGAATGTAAGCTATTCATATTTAGTCTGTAACTCGGAAGCTATTAAGTCTTTATATTAGTTTAATTAACGTTATATTCTATATATATCAATCTGCAGGTATAGTTTTCGACTACAAGCTGGATAACCTCGAAGATAAAGACAAGGAGAAGATCGATAAGGAGGATGAGGAGGAGCCCATCGGTGTGTCCCCGTGTGGGAGGTGAGAAGAGATTTGCTTTATATACTTGCCACTAAGTTACTGACCTATATTTGTTTTAAGAGTCCTCAATTGACGAACCAATTCTAATTGGTCAACTACCATGAACTCTGATCCAAATCAATCTTGGCCCGATTTATGACTAATTTCACGTTGTCGGTTTTTAATTTTGACCTTCTTCAAAAAGGAAAGGATGTAGAAAATTTGGGTAGGTTTTTTGTGTGTTTGTTTATGTAATATCGATTGATGTGAATTGGTTACGGTAATTCTTTATTTAACACAACTCTTTATTTATTTTTTTACCTTTCCTTACTTTATGTTAAAATACAGGTAGATTATCGGGATTCGCCGTTAATAATCCAAGGTCATTTATAATGTCATATAAAAAGAAAAACAAATGCCATTTAAGTTAGAATTTTTTAATTTAAAATTTTTTTAATTTTTTTAAGGTACACGAGAATCACACCTTACATAGCTAAAATGGTGAATAGTAAATGTAAACGTAAATTAATTATATTACAGGTTTTTCAAATACGACAAGGAGGTGGGCCGCGGGTCGTTCAAGACGGTGTACCACGGGCTCGACACGCAGACCGGCGTCGCTGTGGCGTGGTGTGAGTTGCTGGTGAGATATATCTATTCAAACTTTTTTTAACGTCCCACTGTTGGGCAAGGGCCTACTCTCAATGCGAGAGGGAACAGGCCGTAGCCCACCACGCTGTAACAAGTGCGGGCGAACTGAGCATGTCTTTCGAAAACTTGTTAAGTTCTCTCAGACATGCAGGTTTCTTTAAGATGTTTTTCTTCGTCGTAAGACAAGTTGTAATAATGTTTAAAATGATGCTGAGTTATATATTGGTTTTCAATAGTTTTTTGTTTTGGTCTTATGACTAATTTACTGTATGAATAAATAAATCATTGTAACGTTCGGGAATCGAACTTATGTTTTTCAATGGTTTGATAAGTTTTTTTTAGGTATATTTATTAATTGATTATTATGATATGTTTTGTTGTTTCATGTGCAGAAAGAGGTAATTAGTTATTTATATTAATAATAATATTTTTTTGAACAATAAAATTTGAAGATATTTCTTAAATTATCAAATGAGCATTGTTTATTATTTTTACAGGAGAAAAAGCTCAACAAGACCGAGCGCCTCCGCTTCAGGGAAGAGGCGGATATGCTGAAGAAATTGCAGCATCCAAACATCGTGCGCTTCTACAACTACTGGGAAGGGACGGTTGCTAAGAAGAAGAATATAGTGCTCATAACTGAGCTGATGGTCTCTGGCACGTTGAAAACGTAAGTACTTATTATTAGCTAGTATCTCTTAACACTTTCTTAGATTTACGCGAATGTTTGACTTTTTAAATAAAATTATCTTTTTGGAGTTTTTTGCGGATTTTTTTATAATTTTGGTTCTCGACGTTTCGAATGCTTTATGGCAATTATGGTCACGTGAGAGACATCAGATCTTCTAACCGGCGTATTTTGTTTGCGATTTCCAATCCCTCCCGTGACTATGATGTCCATGACTATGCTGTAAAGCATTCGAAACTTCAAAAAAGCTATGAGGTATTTATTATTATATGTTTTTGTAATATGTGTAACGATTTACGATTCTTTTTTTAATGAATGCTGAGTTTTTCATCCAAAGGTTTAGTTAAACAGTAAATATACCTTATACAGTAAGTAACTAATTCCCGAGGTTCAAATATTATTTATATTTGTTGCAGATACTTACGGCGGTTCAAACGAATCAACCCCAAGGTCCTCAAGTCGTGGTGCCGCCAGATCCTCAAAGGGCTAAACTTCCTTCACTCTAGAACACCACCTATTATACATAGGTAAGAGAGAAAGGTATAACGGACTGCTTTCATTTTTTTTTCAGTTTGTTCTCATTACGTGAATATTTATAAATATGTTTCCATTCATTCATAATTATAATATTCTATTTTACAGGTTTCAAAAAGTATTTTGTATGTATGTGGTAAATGAATTACGTATATAAATAATTTAAAGTTTAATTGTTTGTTCTGCAGAGATCTGAAATGCGACAATATCTTCATAACGGGCACGACAGGTAGCGTGAAGATCGGCGACCTGGGGCTCGCTACTCTCAAGAATAGGAGTTTTGCCAAGTCGGTTATTGGTATGTATGAAGTTTATCAACATTTAAGACAAATATAACTAACTATACATATTAGTCTACACACATATAAACTATACATATAAACTATAGGCAAGGACAGAGATAAGCGGAAAGGACTGGAGAAAGCCTTCACCCGAGGAGGGGTCCATATCCAATAGCAAAAACTAACTCTTACTAACATTTAGACAATAAGCAAAACATTAATAACTAACTAAACACTAACAAACGAATACCAACATTTGAAATGGAAATTAAGGATAAGGAAATACAGGCTTTTTTTATTTTATTTTTTATTTTATTTTATTTATACATATTAGTGTTGAAAACTGTTCTACATTATAATTTTTTTGTTTTGTCAGTTTTAGTTGGTATAAAAAATGACTGCGTGTAATCGTTACGCGCGGTTGAAGTAAAACTTCTTTGGCGCTGTGGCAGATGCGGTATCTGCCACAACGCCAAGGTAGTTAAATTAAAACAAATGAAAATATAAATATAATATTTTTTTTTAATTTTTAATAACAAATTAGACTCGCACTTCCGCGACAGTCATTTTATAATACGCATAGGGGTATTGACTTACCCCTCAGTCACGCCTAAAGAAGTTTTACTTCAATAAATGAGATGTTTGTGTTCAGGCACGCCGGAGTTCATGGCGCCGGAGATGTACGAGGAGCACTACGACGAGTCGGTGGACGTGTACGCGTTCGGCATGTGCATGCTGGAGATGGCCACCGGCGAGTACCCCTACAGCGAGTGCAGCGGGCCCGCGCAGATATACAAGAAAGTTGTCTCGGTCAGTCAGTCACAGTCAGTGCATTATACATACTGCTGTGTTACGTTTTAATATCTCACTGCTTGGCATGGTCCTGCTTTAATGACAAGTGGGGGTTGGCGGTCTTTCTATGTATTTTGAAAACTAATTAAGTCTTTTGAGATATGCAGGTTTTATATTTCATTTTATTATATATATTATAAGCTAGTTATTACTTGGAAACCCAAATGAAATGAGTCCAAACCTCAGTCCAATACCTCAGGGATATTCATATTATGTGAACCATGTTTTCAACATGATTAATACGTAATTGCTATTGATGAAGGATAATGTCGTGAAGAAACCTGCATGACTGAGACCTGAACCTGAGAGAATTTTATTACTTTTGCAAAAACATATGAACATTTTAAATGTAAGAATTAAGAAGACACGTGGAGTCCGTCAACCTGTATAAGTGTGTATGTTTTATTTAACTAGCTTGAAAACTACATAAATAAAGGTATCCCATAAAATAGTACTAGTTTAAATAAAAAATAAATAAATATTATTTTTAAAGTGACAGAAATTGATGATTATCATCTTAAAGCACATTGACCCAAAAATAAAATATACTTGTATTATGGTATATTATATTTATACTCAGTTCTCTAAAATAAACTCTTTGTTTATAATTACATATAAGTGCAGCATGTGCAGAAAATATCAATTACAGTAATTATTTGCTTTGGATGAAACATATTAAAGTTAAATGCAGTAATATTACGATTGCAATGATAATATGGCAACTTAACAAAAATAAAGTTTATATTTTATTTAAATATTGTGCTTCAGGGTTAACATTGTTTTTTTTTCTAGGGTGTTAAGCCGCAAAGTTTAGAAAAAGTCACAATACCAGAAGTCAAAGATATCATAGAGTCATGCATTAGGCCGAATAAAGCTGACAGGTATATATAACCTTTAAATACTCATTGATTGTTACTCTATACTAAACTGCTTATAAAAATGAAAAGTTGGTATGTTTCAATGCAATTTCAATTTTTTGTTTTACTTTTTTATTAAAGAAAGTTATCATGTGTCAGTCTATACGCCTATCCCGTATCAAAGCTCGTCATTTTTTTGTTTTACGGATTTTAATAGGGCTATTATATTGTTCAATAAATGAAAGGTTTAGCAAAGTTTTGTAACATATTCTAAGTTGAAGTTGATAAAGTACTGAATGTAGTAACAGATGGGTTAACGAAGTGAAGGTTACAACAACTCGAACATTACTAAATGATAAGCATTATAATTTATTTTCTTTGTATCTACTACATAAAAATGTCTTTTGTGTTATATTGAAGTACTTAATTCAGGCCAAAAGTAAAAGATCTCTTGAACCACGAGTTCTTCGGCGAGGACATCGGGCTGCGGCTGGAGATCGTCGGGCGCGATCTCGTCACCTCCTCCGACATCACCAAGATACAGTTTCGGTTAAAAATCATCGATCCTAAAAAACGGTGAGAATAGTAAATAAAAAAACTGAATTATAATTAGTATATTAGTTAGCCGAAAAAGGTAATACAGCTAGTAAAAGACCAGCGACAAAACCAAATTTTATATGTATAATTTAGTACTAATGATGGACGTCGGTGTTGCAAGCACCTGCACGTTTTCATTTCATCAAGTTTCAAATAACAACGATTCTAAAGAAGCTTCACTTCAAAAATAATTATTATATAGATAATATATATTTTAAATATAGATTTAGGCTACTTAGCCTTTTTTTTGATACCGAATTCGTCACGTCCTCGGTCCTTATCAAACAGTTCTCTCCATATGTAAAGATGGTCTAAATAAAAAATATACTTTTTAAATATTTTTTTAGTAAATAGAGATAAGAACAAATCTCACTGACGATAATTTTATGCTTACTTTTATATTTTAAATTCCGTTGTGAAAAATATTAAACTTGAGAAGTGAATCTGAGAGAAATGGAATAATACTTTTATTATTACTATTTATTACAGCTTATATTTTGCATCAAGTACAACTTAGGTGGACTGAAAGCTGGTAGATTAAGGCAGTATAAAGATAAAGATAACGATATCTTCCGTTTATGTGACTTTTCTGTTATAAATTGAATTACTTTCTTACAGCTAATTTGCATATTATTTTAGATATTAGTTTTTTTTACATAAGTCTACTCTATGGGTAACATTAACATATTTTTTTTGTTGCGCCAAACAATATCCACATAACCCTACGAGTTTCTTTCTGATGTAGGTTGCCTGGAAGAGATCACTTAGACCTTTATACTTGAAACGTGTATATTTAATGTTTTGCATTTATTTTAATTTCGTTTTGGTGTAATAAAGGAGTAAATAAATAAATAAATACTATACAAATCGTTATAAGAAAACTTTCATTAAAATAGTTTAGGAATCATTATAATCAGTTGTAACTTTACCACGGTCATACAATACGGCATTAATTTAAATGTATGAATTGACTCTTTAACTAGAAAGTGCTTGATTAAATTAAATTGTAAATTTCAAACAGATCGTACACTCACAAAGAGAACGAGGCGATCCAATTCGAGTTCGACATGGAGAATGACGACTGCGAAGAAGTGGCAAAAGACATGGCGAAGGCTGGTCTCATCATGGAGGAGGACGCTCGTATAGTTTTCAAACTGCTCAAGTCACAGTTAATTAGTCTTAATCGGTAAGGATTTTTGTTATTATTATTTTAAAATTTTTGTACCTAACATTTTTTTTTAATATTTGAAGTCTACGAACACCGTTATAAAAAGCAGTTATGTTTCTTATAGTTGGAAATAATGTTTAAATCAGTCTAATAGTGAAAGAATTTCACTTTGAATAGCATAATATATAGTATGTGTTATGTTAAAGTTGTACTAGAAAAAGAAAATAATTATTTTATTTATATCTGGCGTTTATATTGGCAGTTACGCGCACATCACTCAACTTTTTTGTACTAATTCGATATTGGAATATTCGAGGCGAGAAATCCTTTTGCGATTAAATGAAACTTTAGAATAAAAAGTTATCTATACATAAAATAAAAGTGTAGCTGATCGCTGTCTGTACATGGAAGATATTTGAGAAAAACTATTATTGGGTATTTTTATTATCGCAATAGAACCCAAAACAATGATTTTTAGAATCTTTATCCGTTTTTCTGTGCGTTTGTGCGCGCTAATCTCAGAAACGGCTTAACAGATTTGGGTGCGGTTTTCACTAGTGTATTGTAACATTTAGTATTTTCCATTTTAAACAGATCTATCATTTTATTTCGTCGCTAGTATTATAATATAATACAAATGGCCGGTAGTCGGTAATTATTATGAAGCAATGATTCATCGGTCTAATCAAACGTTGTACGTTTTATATCTAATTGTACGATTAAAACAAAACATATTTCACAAAATAATTTCTACTAACCAGCTCAATGGCTTTCAATCGTATTTTAATTTGTTTACACGTTATCTGTTGGTACATATCAATTCACAAAATCGTCTAATACTATGACATCCGGTTAGATAAGTAGGTAGCAAATGCAAATCAAAAGAAATTCAATCAAAGCCACGATTTTATCATTTATATTATTATACATTGAACGTTCAGTACTGAAGATATGATGCAATAGTATGGGATAGTCGTTATTGTAAACAGAAGCACCCATGGTATCAAAAAATCATCACTCATAGGCGAATGACAGATTATACTATGTCAGCCCCGAATTACGTATTTAACCGTATTACTAATGGTATTATGCATTATCATACAATAAAATAATTTTATTTATTATTTTGTATTATGTATCTGCTATTTTAAATAACTACTGCAAGTATAATGACTTACGTATTAGTACACCATTTGCTTTTATTAAAAGCAGCAAATAAGATTGTTTTTTTATGTGTATGGGTTTATGTTTACATGTTTTTGTTATAGCTTACTTAACGCGTGTAGCGTTTCCCATCAAATTCGCATCGATTTGAACGGATTTTTCTGTACAAAATCTTTAAACGCGACGAGATTTTAGACGAAATTTTAAAAATGAGTTCAATAACCTGTGAATTTAAAGCTATTAATAAATTATAAGTGAATAATAAATCGAGTAAGCAAACAGTAACGCGTGACCACATCTCGCATAACGCTACTATATTTCAAATTCTGATTTCGATGCTTCATTGCGCGTAATTAATTGCACTGACGCGATAACGTAGTACACGATGTGTGTCGCGGGCTCGAGCCGTATATCCGCTGGTAAATTAAATTTTCACTAAATTACAACACTCGTATACATATATCGCTTTGTAAAAGTACACGTGTTTACTTATATTGCATTCTTGGCAAGTTTTATATGACTGTGTCGTGGAACTGTTTCTGCTGTGACGTTCACTGTGACGTGCTTCTGTTGACATTGGTTTTAATGAGATTATATCATAGCAAGTTCTTAACCGTTACCTTCTTACTTATTTTTCTATTAAAAAAAAAATGTTATGGGACACATTAATTAACAAAGAGTTGTATTTGTATTAGTGGTTCATATTTAAAATAATAAGATTTTTAATATTCGACGCGAAAATATGTATGTATTGATTGGTAAAATCTACATCGGATCGCGTGTTCGACTCGTCAGTTTCTTGTGATTTCTCGATGTTACTGGATTTTCTGTGTGCTCTCAATACATAATGGCAAAATGTGTTAAAGGTTTCTTTTGTTTATTCCTAAACAAAATTATAATGGCCAATATATATTTAGTGCTACTTAAAATATTATACGCGTGCTGAAAGATGTCGTCTATTAGTGAGTTTCACGATGTTTTAATCAGTCCTTTATAATTATTCCGAACCTATCGCAACACACTTAATATACCTTCAGACGGAATAAGATTTACATGACATTTACATTAAATGTTTTTCGTCTCTTCATAAACTGCCGGTTGCCATGACAACTGTGGCTTCAGCGAGCACACTACACTATGCTAAATACCATCAGTTACACGACCTCGCGTGCCTGGCATCGTTGTGCAGTGAAATTTCATTTTATCCATGATATATTTACCTGTGTCTGCTGCTTTTGGAACTTTGCTTTAGATAATTTTTGCTGTAACAATAATGTTCAATATAATTTCTTTGATTATTCATATATTATAATTTACACAAATTCAGTTGATTCTAATTTTTTTATAAAAAATCCAATAATGTCTAGAAATGCTAGAGCTAATTTGGTTTTGGTTGTTCAGGTATATGATGTTAAAATTTCACGTGCAAATAAATTGATAATGTCTATATTTTTGGTACATAGCTAAAAATGTATAACTATATTAATTGTGTTTGTAGTGAGAGGAGTGAGAAGAAAGCCCAAATGTTATTCAACCAAGAGCAGATCAACGAGCAGAATAGACAGCAGCAGTTGCTGTTAGAACAGCAATTAAGACAGGTTTGTTTTGTATAAATACTATGGCTGTTGCAGCTATATTAAATTATTATAATTTATTTTATTGAAATAGAAATAAAAATCGTGCTTAAAATTGTACGCTTTTTTAATGTCGAAAAAAGAAAGAAAGTATTAAAAAGATGTGTGTATATATATTTTTTCCTGCAATCTATACATATAATAAAATTGTAACTAAGCCGAATCTGTACTTTAAATATGTTTTGTAAAATCTTATTGAAATATACATTATTATCGATACAGAGGCCGAATTTATAGTTTTTAGAATTTTTGTCTGTCTGTCTGTCTGTCTGTATGTTACCGCATCACAGAAAAACTACTGGAGGGATTTTGATGAAATTTAGTATGGTGATAACTGGTTATCCGGGTCAACATATAGGATACTTTTTACCGCGGGAAAATATCTCATTTCTAAGATAAAATACAAAAACTGCATTGTAAGAGGATACTAATATGTAAAACCTAAGAATTTGCTTTTTAGTTAATGAACGCGGGTGGAGCCGCGGGTAATGCTAGTACTAAATAAATACGAAATAAAGACGTTAAAAATCTAATGGAAATTTATTCTATTAACTTTGTAAGGTGAAAATGATCCAAAATCAAGGACCTGTTGAACAAATGAAGACTGGACTGTTAAATGGCGTGGGTTCACAGCCAACTTTAGTCGCCGTGCAGTAAGTGTAAAAAAATAATTAAAAATATGAAATGAAAACTGTTGGCACCATTGTCTGAATCAATGTTTTATAGTTATTACAATGTGTTATTAAATTAAGTGAGATAACGTTATGCATGCGAAATGATATATTATTTAATTTTCAAACTGGGGCTATATTTTATTATCGCGTGTTGATTCACAAAGAATATTGCCTTTGCTCTTGCATTTTTTTGTTATTTACAAAGATTAAATATAAAAATATACTTTCTCGATTACTCCGAAATTTAATTAAGCAGAGATTTATAGCAAAATTATTTAGTCCCCTTAAACGAAGTCGACAATGTCATAAAATTTTCTGTTCAGACTGGATCAACAATCACAGCTATTGCAAGCACAACAGCAACTCCTGCAACATCAGTTCCAGCAACACCTTACCAACGAAGAGAACGCAGCAATGAAACTCTTCCAACAAAATCTCATACAAGCGCGCATGTCCCCGTCCCTCACACCAGACCAGCAGTTGTTGCAGCAGCAGCACCACCTTCTAGAACACAACCTGAAACAACATCAGCAAGCAATGATGGAACAGAATTATCTTAACCAGCAAATGCTTGAGCAAACTGTTACCAATCAAGTGCTAATGGAACAACAAGCCCAGCAAGGCTTCCTTGAACAACAGCAGAATCAATTTCAACCGAATCTGCTAAATCAACAATTTGTAGCCAACGAGATTAATAATCAAAATCAAGCATTGCAGCATAAAATTATTCAGCAGCAACAAAATATTATCGCACATCAAGCGGCTGCCATTCATCAGAAACAGTTGGAGGAGCAATTGACGGCCCAGGAGAATATTATAACTGGGCCGCAACCGAATCTCGTTACTGGTCAAGTTTTAGATCCATCTCTTCAGAATTTACAAAACATCCTGGCACAGATAATTCATAGGCCAGACACTTTGCAATCGAGAAAGGATTCGGAATCTGAGCAAATGCAACAGCACCAAGTGCAGCAGCAACAGCAACAACAACAGCAGCAGCAGCAACAACAACAACAGCAGCAGCAACAACAGCAGCAGCAGCAACAACAGCAGCAGCAACAACAACAACAGCAACAACAACAGCAGCAGCAACAAATACATCAGCAACAGACCGACCAGAACACTGAAGTCCAACAAGCGGCTCAACAAGAACAAGATATGCAACAACATAATATGTTAAATGCGCAAATGCAGCAGCCGACTAGTCAAGGAATGTCGTTCCAACAAAACCAACAATATATACAACCTAATTTATTAGCAGCAGCTGTAGATCCTCAGATTCTTGTGCAGCAACAGCAAGTTGCGCAAGCGCAGCAACAGATGGCGCAAGCGCAGCAACAACTTAACATGCAAAAACAAATGCTGGCGCAACAACAACTAGTTTTACAACAACAGCTGATCAACCAACAGCAGTTGCAGATACCGGGACAGACGCTGTCGCCGCAACACATTAGGAACTTACAGCAGCAACAGTTTTTAGCGCAACAGGAATTGCAACTCCAAACACAACAGAATCTAATAGATCAACAAAATCTAGCCTTGCTGGCACAGAAACAGCAACTAATGGGTCAGCAGCAGCAGAAAGTTGAGGAGATATTGAGAGCTCAACGCCCAATATACACGCGCCAAGGATCTGAACAAAGCCAAATAAGCTCTGTCGATGTACACGATCAACAACCTCTAGTCGCCGACCAGTATCAGCAGAAACCGCCATTACAGCCACAGATGTCGATGGATCAGAATCAGATGCAGTATCAGAACCAGTATGTAGAACAGAAACAACACATTCAAAAGCAACCTTCCGAGGAACAACAGTACCAGCCACAGCAAGTCCATCAGATGCAAGGACAGTCCCTCCCTCACAACATGATGGCGCAGAACTTCAACATGGTTCAGCAGACGGAAAGGCAGATATCTAGTCACGAAGGCACGCCAGTGCAGCATTACACTGCCAATCCTCTGCAAATGTACCAAAATCAACCAGTGCAAATGCAAAATGTCTACAAACCGGTAGAAACGTCAATACCCTCGTCAGTTCCTGCTTCCCTAACACATCAGCCCTCTGTATCTCAATATCAACAAGAAAATATACCCACGTCTCTCCCTGCATCTATGCCAGCACCGGTGCCTCAAGAAGTGGAACCTCCGACGAGCCAAGTTCAAGAATCAGTTCCTCAGCAGTTAAGTATTCAGTCGGATGATGGGTACGTCCCTAACGGCTGTCAGAAAGAGCAGTTCCACACGCCCATGACAGAGTTTCCATCAGGCGCAACACATCAGGACGCGATGAGGCAGCCCGAGTTGAGTTCTGTAGAAGAAAAGCAACCAGAAACTCAGCAACAGGATGGTGAGTTTCATTGTACATATATCATTGTTTTATCAACTTTTTTGGTTTATGCTACTTTCTCTATATGTAAGACTTGATGTTTGCTTGTGTTGGCTTTAATTTTATTATTATTTTACGTTGATTTTAAATAAGGAAATTGTGATTTTCATTTGCTCATATAATATCAATACTTATACTAATAACAAAGACGCAATATACTCGTAGTTATATAAAAAAATATTAATATTCTTGTAATTTTTCTTATTAAATATTTTCTTAAAGTTGGTACTGCTGTGCCGTCCCCCATTGCTGCTGAGAAGAAATCCCGGGGGTCCAAGAAGCGCTCTAGGGAAAAGGAGAAGTTTCCACGTCTCACTGTACTCTCTGTTAGCGATGATAGCACCGTCGTAGAGTGCCAACTTGAATCAAAATCTAAGACTGTCACATTCAAATTCCATGTTCCTGATGTAAATCCCGAGGAGTTGGCCAATAATTTCGTAAGTTGTGCTTATATGTTATCATTTATTATTTGTTTTACCATATAAAAATATTATAATATATTTCATGTATTATTGTTTTAAAGCTGGAAATGTAATCAATGTTGTGTATGCCTATAATTAATGCTTGTATAAAATAAGTAATCTTGTAACATAATAATTTAGAATGTAGGTACAATATATTGTTAGCATATCTTGCAAATAAATAAATAACCAGAGACTTATGTGATTTTCAGAAAACATATACTAAATTGAACTTCTCTGTAATCATAGAAAATTAAGAACTAAAGTTTATTTTAATTATCATATTATTCTTAATATTTTAATTTGTTATTCCATTACTATTTTCTATTATACATGGCCATTAAGATATACACATAATAAGTCGACATATCCATTTAGGTGGCAAATAACCTCCTCCCCGAGTGGCAAAGCAGCCCCTTTACAGAGCTCATAGGCGACATCGTACGGCAGTTGCGCGAGCCCGCGCCCCGTGCACCTCTCGCGCATCCCGCGGAACGGTTGCGACTCAACATTGATAAGGTATTCGTTATTAGTAATTATGTTAAGAGTTTTGTTTAGAGTATTTATTAAAATATCTGTATCAAATGGAGTAAAATTTGAAACAATGGATAGGTGCTGTTTTTGCTATCCATATATTATTAAATATATTAGCGGCAGATATCATAGGCAAACGTTGTGTTGACACGTACCTCGTTTATTATGGAAACTTAAAATATCTGGACTGTGACAACAGCGCCGCCTAATGAGAACTATCTATTCTATATTAAAACAGCTCATATCTCCCCAGACGGATTACGACTCCGAGACAACAGAGCGCGATGACAACCTAACGGATTCCAACCAGGACAACTCGGAGTGCACCACGCCCACCGCCTCGCAGGACAGCATCGCGCTGGCCGAGCTCGCGGACGAGCCCGAGCCGCCGCCGTTGCCCGCTCCGGCCCCGGCCCCGGCCTCCGCCTCCGCCCCCGCGCCCGCCCCGGTTTCCGCCCCCGCGCCGGCAGACACGCTGGCTAGGAAGATTAGCACCGCTTCGTCTATAGGTGAGATTGATACTGTATTTTTTTTATTCTGTTTCGTTATACAATAATGTTAAATATAAATATGTTGAGACTTCAACACACAGCAACTTTTAGTTCCATGTAAGCGTGGCTTGTGCTGGATACCAGATAGTTCATACACTACACATATATAACTTTAAATACATACATATTGTAAATATAAACACTCATGACTGGAGTACAAACATGCGTGCTCATCACACAAATGAATGCCCCCAACGGGACTCGAACCCGCGACCGCTGGCACAGCAAGCACTACAAACTGAGCCAAACGTATGGTCAAAATATTATTGTAGTGAGTTATTATATAAAATCATATTGGTTAAAATTAGTTTGCTAATTATTAGATTATAATTGAGAATGTAATAAATAATAAATAATGCAGTTTCTAAATGAAATTAGTTGAGTTCTAGGGTAGTAAACTATAAATTTATTTCATTACAAACAATATTTAAATTGGATTACTTTGTAGATGCTCAATTTTATTTTAAAGGTTCCAATCAGTCCGATGGTGGATCTGTACCGGATCGATCCGGTAGCATTGAATCCAACGGAGAGAAAAAATCACAGAAACCTACTCGGAAGATATCAAGATTTGTAGTCAGCCCTGTCGTAGATCGTACCGAAGATGTGAGTGAGGAAAAAGCTGCTGAAAAATCTTCCATTGAACCAGAAAAGACAATGGAACCCCCTAAAGCAGATTTCGTCAAAGAACCCCCTAAAGAAATTCCTCAAGTTAATGGGTTACCCGAACCAGAACTCCCCACTCCTGTCCCGCAACCCGAACCGATACCTGCACAACCAGAACAGTCCATACCGAAGCAAGTCACTCAAGCCATTCCTCCAGAAAAGTTCGTTCCCACCCACCAGTACCAGCTGCCTTCACAGCTATCTCACACCCCCCAAACCATCACGGACCACATTCTAGTCGATCTAAAACAAATGAACGAACCATCTAACGTACCTATGCCCTTAACCACAGCCCAAGCCATAACCGCCTCTATGCCAACAAACTTACAGTCCACAATACCACACACTATGCCTTTCCAAAGTACTATCAATCCTACATTATTAAATGGTACGTTACAGCCGAATTTAACTAATTTGACGACTCCGTTACAAATAGCAACTGATACTCCATTACTCGGATTAAGTCAAGTGGGGACTCCCATGGGGGTTGGGGCCGATTTGGGATTGAACATAGGCCTGGGACAGGTAGCCCCGCTAGCTGACCCCATGGCGTTGAGTAGGCTTCAGCTCACACAATCGACCTTGACCCCGACCCCTGGAGTCAATGACAATTTGGCGAATGTGGAGAATATACAGAGGATGCTGTTGAAGCAGAATATAATAAAGTAAGTATTGTTATATTTTAAAATCATTAATTTACCTTCTGTCTATTTATGGATATTATTAAAATTAAGCTATTTCATTACTTTTGTCTAAGATTGTCATTACTTTCATGAGTTTCATGCAAGAAACTTTAAAACTTCAATTTTTGATAATTTCAGTCAACAACAGAATCTCTCGGGCCCTAACCTGCTGGGTTTACTCAACGCGCCACAGTTCCCGCAGCCGGACCTCGGACTGCACAACAATCTGCTCGCTAACGCGCAACCCGGTATGTACGGTATGTTTGAAACTGTGTTATTTTTCTAATTTCTATCTAAATAATTGGGAAACTAAATTTTTTAACTTTATTGCATGGCATTTATTTGTGAAGTCGTATGTTTTCTTTATGATTGTTATTAATGTAAAAATGTTATTAATTATTTAGGAATATTTAATGTTAAAACGTCTCATTGATATTAATTGCTTTTTCGTTTTAAGCATTCAATTCTTTCCCAGTACAATTGAGATATTTCCCAATACAATATTGAGTATGAATAAATAAATCTCGTATCTTTTAATCATAAAGAAGATCTCTAAATCATTTTTTGTTATCTTGTTTTATGTCTGCAAGACTGATAGTTTTTATAATAATAAAATTTACTATGAATATATGTCAATTTTGTTGACACTTGTAATTAATTTGCTTTAAATATTGTATACAATTAAAAAGTAATATCTAAGTTCAAAGCTTACTGACTAGTGTGTGACTAATATACAAAATATCGTCGCACTTTTTTTTGTATTTCTAATTTCTTGCTGTATATGTATTTGTGCATAACCGAGTATAATATTGTATAAGATGTGACTTGTGTATGTGTGTGACTAACGGCGTGTACAGGGATGTCCCGGTTGCCGTACGCTCCCCCGCGCTACTACCCTCCTATGTTGGCCACAGCTAATGATCTTATAGGTAAATATTTAGATATTTTATTCATAATTTAGTATAATATGATCATTATATATAAGCTTTAGATATATTGTTAAGAATATCTTTTAGTTCATAAATTTTATATATTTTTATATATCAAGCAAAGAATTAAATTTTCGTAACGTTTTGTTACTTACGTATTAACGTTTAGTATAGATTTCTCAGAAATTAGATATTTTTCCGCAGTAAAAAGTATCCTATATGTTGACCCGGATACCAAATATCATCAAAATCCCTCTAGTGGTTTTTCCGTGATGCGGTAACAGACAAACTGACAGACAGAAATTCTAAAAACTATAGATTCGGCCTCTGTATGGAAAGTAATATCTATTTCAATAAGATTTCCCAAAAAATATTTAATGTACAATTTGGCTTAGTTACAAATTTAATATATGTATAGATTTTGTGCATTAAAGTAAATTGTCATTGCAAAACGTAAAGATGAGAAAATTTTGATTTTTTACAGTGAATGGCTTGATTTGTTCATACAAAGTAAGACGTTAGTAAATGATTTTTTTACACAAAAGAGCTGTCTTAAATGGATAGTGATATTTCGTCAAAATTATAAATAATGAAAATTCTCTCAAATAATGTTTTTCCTACATTTCCTCATGTCTTATTAAGTTTAACTTTTTCTTTCAGTCCAGCAACAAGTCCTTCAAACTTCAGTTGGGCACCAGCCAATGTCGCCGTTTGGTCTGGGCTTGGGCCTGGGCGGACCCCTGCAGCCGGGGCTTGCGGCACAGAACCTCGGCCTTCAACAGAACATTGGTCTGGCGGGGCAGAACTTGGCCCTTAACCAGAACCTGATGAATCAGAATCTGGGGCAAAATTTAGGTAAGCGATTTTATGTTAGCGTCTATATTTTGAAACTAAATTATCACTTAATGTAAAAAAATCTAACATTTACTTTTTATGATATTCACATTTCTCATTTAACATATTTTTTTCTAACGTTATTTTCGTTAAAATATTTTTATATTAAACCACCTTTTGATTTCCAGGTCTATCAAGTCAGAACTTAGGTTTAGGCGGTCAGAATCTCATGGGGAGTCAGAACCTCGGGCTGGGCGGTCAGGCGCTTGGCCTCGGCGGGCAGAATCTGTCTCTGATGGGGCAGAACCTGGGCCATTTCGTGGCGCAGAGGGCGGTGCACAATGCTTTAGCGAGAAGGGTCGTTGACATGGAGATGGGTGAGTGTGTATTTAAAACTAATATGAAACCTTTTATGCCTTTCGTATATAATTTCTTTGTTTATCATTATGGGGCCATATGTGGCCAACGTTTTTGGGCAATTTCTACTATCTATCAAACTATATATGTAGGTAAAAAAAAGTTGATTTAAAAATAAAAATGAAATTAGTGAACTATTACATCATATTTGTTTACACTATTTTCTTCTTTTAAAAGTCGCATTAGATATTTTATAAACTTTAATATAACCGTCATCGTAAATGTCTTCCAGTAATAGCAAATATAAACAAAACAGGCATGGCGAATGTCAACTCGACGGGCTCGACGCAATCAAGCTCGCCTAGCAAGAATCAACCCTACAGCGACTATATGATGACGCTGCAGAACAAAATGGCCTCCATATCTAATAGTGTAAGTTGCTTTCTTACATTTGATTTCCACTAGCGACACGTGCTTATAAAACAATAGTGCTTTTTTCCTTACGCAACAGGAACTATGTTGATGTGACCGAAATGGTACTCTGCCTGATTAAATATATGTATCTATGCAAATCATATTGATATGTTGCTATGCTGCTGCGTGATATAAAGACAAACCAACAAACAAACTTTCAGCTTTTATAGTATTAGTCAGGATTATATACATATTTATAGTTTTGGAAATTCTGCATTTTAATTAGCAATCCGCTTGATTAGACCCTAACATGAATTTGTTTTGTATTATTTTAACATTATTTATAATAATAGTTTTAGTTTCTAAATATAACTATCTTTTCGGATTATTTCGCGAATTTATTTTAATTTTTTAATCCGGCCTTTCGAGTGCTTTACAGCAATCATGGTCACGGGAGAGACTAAGGTTGTAGACGTCTCAAAGGCATTATATACTTGTTACAGACAGTGCTTATCCAAGATTTTACAAAATGATTTCAAAAATTCAAAAATCATATCAAAGTACCTTACAATATTTGTTAATTTTAATTCTAAACATTTTTTTATAAATGTTAAGTATTAATAAGAGTATTAAGTTAAAACATTCGAAACGTCGGGAACCAAAAATCTAAATAAATCCCCGAAAAAAAACCGAAAGACAGATTTATTTAAAATGTCAAATATTTATTCGCATAAATCTAAGAAAGTATTATATAGTTTTAGCTTTTAATCCGTCATAAAATATCAAAGTTGAAATATTGACAATACCTGATTTTAAATATCTAGATATGTGAATTATATAAATTAATTGATTAAGTATAATGTGAATGGTGATGTGTGATGTGTGCAGGGGCCCGTGTCGCCGCAGTCCCCGCTGGAGTACAGCCCCGCGCTGTCGCCCACGCACCGCCAGGCGCAAGGACTTAAGGTTATTCACTTTTTATTTATTTTATTACATATAAGATATTCTTGCGAATGTGGAAAAAATCGAGGTTTACCGACTTTAAAAAAGTTAGGTACTCAATGTGGTCTTATTTTTTGTGTATGCGTTTGATTGCTCATTAGTTATGATCGATTTAGGTAGCTGTCTGTAACAACTATATAAAGCTTTTGAGATATCTTAAACCTTAGTCTCTCCCGTGATCATGATTGCTGTAAAGCATTCGAAACGTCGGGAACCAAAATTCTACCTAAATTCGCGAAAAAATCTGAAAAGATAGTTTTATTTTAAAAATGTCAAATATTCCCGTAAATCTAAGAAAGTATTATGTTTACAAGTTGCATAGTAGGCAGTTACGATAGTGGAAAAGTAATGTATTTTAAGTTTGGTGTACACTAAAATTTGGAGACAATAAAATTATGTATTCTTTTTGTACCGTTAAATTCATAAAATTGAAAATAATGAAAATAATCTATCCTAACTTGAACTCTAATAAAAGCCCTGAACTCCACTCAGTACACTCTTACTTTTAAGTGTTGGTAGATTCATTAGGCACTTAAATAATAACTATTGGCGCTAAGCCAGAATGTCACATAAAAATCCAAAGCATGCAGTACACTTATAATAAAAGCCATATTATATTAAGATAGCAAAAGTGTTTATCAATAGTACTGTTTCTCTATATGCTACAACGTGAAATAATAATAAACACACTTAACTTACAAAGTTTGGTATTTATAATATCTGTATGTTTTCCAGCGCGAGTGTGTGGAGGGCGCGGAGGGCGCGGCGGCGGCGGAGGGCGCGGAGGAGGGCGGGGAGGACTCGCACGCGCGCCGCATCGCGCACCTCGACCACGAGCTCAGCAAGATCAGCTTGCACTACAAGCATGGCGCTCCCAAGGTCACCAGGCTTTTAGTTATATTTATAATTGTATTCAGTCCTTTTTTAACGTCCCACTGCTGGGCACGAGCCTCCCTTCAATACAAGGTGGGTCAAGCCATAGTCTACCACGCTGGCCAAGTGCCATCCGCACTTGGTCAGGCGTGGTAAACTATGGATTGGCAGACTTCACATGTCTTTCGAAAACATGCTAGGTTCTCTAAGACATGCAAGTTTCCTCACGATGTTTTCCTTCACCGTAAGGCAAGTGGTAATCATGTTAGTAATGATTCGCACATGAAAATATCAGACGTGCGAGACCCGGGATTTGAACCCGCTTCACACGGTTTCCCAAGCGAGCGTGTTACCACTGGGCTACCACTGCCTCTATTTATAATGTCTATTAGCAGAATATGTTCCTATACGTTTACAAGATTTATATGACTGAATACTTTTTTTTTAATTTATACTGCTTGCAAATTAAATATAAGGTTTTAGAAAGCACCAAACGCTAATGAAACCGGCTGACTGACGGCAGGCTATTTCTTTACTTCATCAGTGTGATGTAATATTACAAAATCAGTCTAGAAAATGCTTGCAATGTTTGGTTGCTCGCTTCTCCTACTACTAAGTGCCTAACAGTGCCCATAGTTTAATAATTATTATTGAAACCCGTGCAACCGCTTCAGTATTAAAAAGTAACTAACAAAAACACAAACACACACAAAAATACATTTATAATATAAATGAGAAGGGTATTTAGCTAGGACATGTGTGTCAGTTTATAAATAAAATTACGTTACTGTCACAGGACGCGTACGGCGAGCACGGTGCCGCCATATTGGCTGCAAATATCAGCGACACGGCTGTCAACGCCTATGAAGGTTTGTTGTCTATTATTTTCTTAATAAAATCATTTAACATGTTAAATAATGTAGGTACGTTAATTAAGTAGTCTTATATCCTAATCCAGAATAAATACGTTGGGCCATTGTAGTGTGTGCTCAAGCACTCGTAAAACAGCACTAGTTGAAGCACTTAAAGTGCAAAAAAGTATATTTTTGCGTATATTATTATTAATAATAATATTCTTCCAGAAAGATTTTGAGCACGGTGGTAAATTTAACTGAGACTAGGCCTCTGCATTATAGTGCAGTAGTATTGACATAAACACAAGTACACTTTATTCCTTTCATTTTAAAAGTCCGATAAGATGCATATTTGAGGCGCTGGGTCGACGGCTTGACGTATTCTGCCTCAGCACTACTACTACTTACTATTGAAAATTTCTTAACAGAAAAATCTAATTAATAAAACCCAACGTGGGACTCGAATCCAAAACCTCTTTGGCCGTACATGCTAACCACTACGTCAAAATACAGCTGTTAAAATGTTATTAATGAAGGATTATATTTGTTATATTGTGCAGACAAAGGCAGCATAGCGGACATGAGTGGAGCGCGCGCGGGCGGCCGCTTCCAGGTGTCGCGCGCCGCGCCGCTGCGCAGCTACGCGCTGTGCCGCCTGCTGCCCGACACGCCCAGGCATGGTGGGTCACACATTCATACACACGGATGTCTCCTACACATGTACTACTTGAAAATATCTACCATTGTGTATTTATACTATTTTATTATTATTAAAGTTAATTTTTGAGTAAAACTATCAATTATTTTTATCAGGTAAGATATTTTATTGTCACTTCGATCGGCCTCCTTGTGCGTAATAATAGTCTATATGTTACTTTATATCAAAGTTTTCAATGTAGTAAACTTCATCCAAATCCGTCCAGCCATTTCAGAGTGAACTATTAAGTATTAACAAATATATACAAACTCACACATACAAATATTCGCATTTCTAATTTGGACATATTTTGTTATTTCATACAATAAAATACAAAACATTACCGTACATAATTAAATTAAATAAAAAAGCAAAACATAAGAATCTCAAATTCAAAAAGCATTTTGGTATTTGCAGGAAAAGACAAAATAGATCTCTCTCAAACCCAGTTCGGCGGAGAAAACGCTCTAGACGAGCTCTCTTGTGACAATACGTCGCTGTGCGAGGATGCGGGCGATGTGCCGCACGCCGACGCCGAGGCCGACATCGCCGATGCGGAAGCCGACCTGGCCGACATGGCCGACGCGGAGCTGGCCGACATGGCTGACACCGACACGTACGTGCTGACCGACAGGGCGCGCGTGCGGACCTACGTGCTGGAGGACGCTCTCGCGTGTAAGAAGCATGTCATACTGGATCCGGCGCCGTTGCAGGTGTGTAATGTTTACAACGAACAAGTAATTCTATACCTATCAATTAAATACTAACTAAATATTGGAATTGGCTGCTGTTTGCATTATTTAAAAAAAGTATATAACAATTTCTTACATAAAAAACTATCTTTTTGGATTTTTTCGCAGGTTTATTTTAATTTTTGGTTTCTGACGTTTCGAATGCTTTATAGCAATCATAGGAGTCTGTCCTACGATTGGTGTAAAATCCGCGAAAGAATCCGAAGAGACAGTTTTGTTCAGAATACTGAAATTATATGTCAAACATGAGTTATTATAACACTAGCCCAGCCCAACAACTTTTTTTATATTAAGCATGAACGAATTAACCACTGGACTAGACATATAAGCGGACGTACCTTTATCGGTCTTCTCAGTAACCAGGAGATTTTAGGCTTGGTCCTTTGTTTTTTGCGTCAGTCTCAAGCACTTATTTGTCAACAAAACATCTCCCAAAAATGACTAAATGTTCTGTTAAATGATGTAAAAACTATAACGGCGGAAGCAGCAGTATTTCTTTTCACTTGTAAATACATTATTTTATTACATTTATTGTTATTTATCACACAATTTAATTAAATGTAAAATAAAATGTCATATTATCCAACTATGTTAAATATAGTCGATATTTCTATGTATTGTTGACATCTGACAACCATCATAAAATCCCTGGATTATACCATTCAGAACAAATGACTAAACTGTCGAGTGAGTCCATTTGACATCGACTAGTGCTTGACAATGTCGAAAAATATATCGATATTTGACGAAATTACTAAACGAATTGTGTTATTTGTACAGTACAATAACATAAAATACTTTTACCACAGTATCCTACAATCTGATGACAATAAATTTATAAAAATATTTTCTTAATCAAATAAAAATATAAATGCAAAAATTATAATTAGTATGTGTACTTAATTTTTTATTTTATTTTATTCCACATTTATATACTTTGGAATATTATTCCATTGTAATAATAATAAAGATCATTTTATTTCAACACATAAATTACACAAAATCAAACAATAATGTTTTAGCACTAAACTTCTGGGTTGGCGATTTGTAATAAAACACTTTACCACTTGCACTAATTATTTTACTTTCACGATGCAACACTCACTTTAATTTGCAATGTCTTTTTCTTTTTCCTAATTTCACAAATGTTTATTAAGAACTGAGCAATAATAGGACAGTGTCACATTTTTATAACTACCCGAGACAATCAATTGCCAATTAAAATAGTTCAGTAACAGAATCAACAAAATCACTTTATTTAATTAAATTAGCTTAATATTTTTTTTTAATCTTTACAAAATAATATTTATTATACATTAATGGAATATACACCCGATATTCATTTGTTCATTAACATTATTATAGGCCAACAGAATATTGCCATCAATGCCATCGTATTTATATAAATCAAATTAAAAAATAATTATTATTTGACACATTATTATTGCCTCTTTAATTTATTTATTTTAATTTATTAAAATTAAAAGAAGAAGAATAAATTAAAAGATGTAAAATATGATGAGTTATTCATTGGTTCATCGATATATGTATTTTATCGATTACGTTCAAGCACTAGAACTATTGTATTGTGTATCAGTGTTTATAATAATGTAATAAAATCTTTGTGTGCGTTATGCGTCACTTGGTTGAACTAGTTTTCATACATTTGTATTTTATGTCAGGTCCAGTCTCTAATTCGTTCATGATATTAAGACTTTCCATCGACTTAAATTCTGCAGAGTGCACAAGCAATGCAACATTTGCGTAATATCTACCTTATTATTAAAACAACAATAGGCAAAAACAGTTCAGTACCTTTCCGTACAGAATGGAGAGTTACCTTACATACTGAATTTATTGATAAATCCTTTGCTTTATATTTTGTAATAATTATTTTACTTAAGTTTGTTCATTTCGTGGAAGATTTTATACATTATATAATATCAATATTTATAACCATAACTATGAACAACAGAACGATACGCGACCGAGTCCCGGCGAAGTGGAAGAACACGAGCACAGCTACTTAATCCTAGACCCTGTGCGCGACCTCACCTGCACTGTTCTAGACCGCTCTCTGGCGTTGGACGAAGGCTTCACCAGCTTCGTAGAGAGCAAGTACCGACCTCAGCCAACCAACGAGGCGGGCGAGAGGCTCTCCGTGAGCGAGGAGCTGGGCCGTTGGCGGGGGGCCCTCACGGCGCTGGGGGCCTTCAGTGAGGGCCCACCCGCGCCCTCCGCCCCTGTCCTCAGCCCCCCGCGACTCTTCAAGGACGTGACCGCGGCCGAACTGGTCGGCGAGCTGTTCGTCGACGAGGCGTTGACGGATAAAGGTATTTTGTTTGTTTTATTTATTAACTAGTTTTTGATTTTAGGGGTAGAATAATTTAAATTTTATTTTCTATTATTATAATTTCCTTTCTTTTAAATTTAGGTATTACGTGACTTTATGTTAGTTTTGTAGTGTTTAAAGAATTTTTGTTGTTTAATTAATAAGTATTTGTGATTGAGTCTGGTTTAAAAGCATACCTTTAAAATTTGATTTTACATTGGTATTGTGCGGTTATCTCTAATAATAATAATAAAAAGGTATTAAAATCACGTAATATTATATTAAACTTTGTCGTGTGGATAAAAATAAAGTTCCCATACTTTTTGAACAATTGAAGAAAAGCAGGCGAATTCGTACAGTACACTCGTACTTCTGTATACCCGTTCCGGAACGTATTTTTTAATGCTTATCGTGTGTATTTTACCCAATATACTTGCCTGTGCGATATATGTGAACCGATTGTAATGATTTTTTAATGATTACAATCGGTTTATAATTTCATGAAGAGTTATAAGAGTAGAATAATTATTTTTAGGTATTTTTAATCGTTGTATTTTTTTGTTTAATAATAATTTTTTTTTATTTGCTATATCGATTGCACAAAATTAACATGTTTATACTATGTCAGCAACGTCACCATTTATATATGACTAGCGACTCACTCTCGCTTCGTTCGGGTTCGTTCCAAGGTACGTTGTGATTTTTTTGAGTGGAACCCTAATTATTTTTCTAAAATAAAAGTAGCCTATGTTACTCCCTATAACATCAGCTATCTTCCAGTGAAAGCCGTCAAAATCAGTCCAACAACCGTTTCAGAGATTATCCTGACAAACAGACAGACAAAAGTCAAAATTTTTAATAAATGTGTTTTTGTTATAAGTACCGTATATAATTTCATATGCATTTAGTAAAACGCTGTTATTTTAACATTACAAACAGACACTTAAATTTTATTTATCTGTATAGATTTATATGCAAAAAAATTCGAATGGTATAATATCTATATTTAGTTTATTTCATATTATTATAGAATCCTAATGAATGAAGTTATATGTGATGTAACACAGTATTGTGTATGTTGATTGCAGCGCTGTGCCGGCAGGTGGTGGTGGTGGCGGCGCGTCCCCACTCATGACGTGTGTAGCGAATCACCTTGTACCTTATATTTATTGTACGTGTAACATATATCTATCGTTAATTAAATATTCATATGTGATATCTAGTATACTGTTTCATTTTATTGTACCAAAATAACATAACTTTCAGTTATATTTATTTTGAAGGATCTAATATCCCCGCCATTGTTTAAAATAGTATGCTATCATAATCTTGTGGAGTAATCGGGCCGGTGGTGAAAAATGAAATAAAAATTGCACTTTATATAAAAATGTATTTTACATAAATATAATTACAATTAAATATCTAAATACAAGTCTTATATCTATACATATAATAAAATTGTAACTAAGCCGAATCTGTACATTACATATTTTTTGGAAAATATTATTGAAATAGACTTTAATATCGATCGATACAGAGGCCGAATCTATGGTTTTTTTAATTTTTGTCTGTCTGTCTGTCCAACCAACCAACAAACCACTAGACAGATTTTGATGAAATTTGGTATAATGATAGCTGATTATCCGGGTCAACATATAGAATACTTTTTACCGCGGGAAAATATCTCATTTCTTAGAAAAAATACAAAAACTGCAATGTAAGAGTATACTAATATGTAAAACCTAAGAATTTGGATTTTGGTCTTCTAAACGCGGGCGGAGCCGCGGGCAATGCTAGTAATATATATAATCTTATCACGAATAAAACAAATGTTTTGTTCGGTAAGACTTTGCTTTGGTTTGGCAGCTTTTGAGGCTCAGTAAACATTTTTTTGTAGAATTAGGGGTCCAGGGATCCTTTTTTCTATAGTCTATTCGCGTTAAGAAAATAGTGAGTGATGCACTCGGCAACGGCAGGTAAAGGTGTAAAAATTCATTTCAAATTCAATATTTCAAAAGATTATGTTTAATGGATAAAAATCAACTTAATTATCTTAAACCAAAATAAAGTCATTAATAATATATTTAAGTCTGCCTCCACCTGGTCATTGTGTACTTGACTTTATAATTTTATGCAACCTAATTGGTCGGAGGGCGTGGCTAGGCCGGTGGACACCGATGACTCACTATTTTCTTAATGCGAATGAACTATATATCCAGTGGGCGTGATATCTCATAGAGATAGCGTACCCTAGGATCCTTAATATAAACTGGCTTAAGTGTATGACTGAGCTGGTCACGAGCTTCTGGTGTCGTGGCGGACTCACTCTAACGTTATTTGATCTGCAAATTAAACGCGTGCTTATTTAGGTATTTTTAGGGTAAAAATAATTTCAGATAATAAGTTTATTCGATATTAATATTTACATGAAAATATTTTTTACTTGTTTCATCTAAATCAAACATTACATGTAAGGAAATTCATAAAAGGTCTGGGATTTTAGATAAAAAACGTACTTTACTCGCTATTGCTAATAGACTACTTGAAAACTAAAAAAAAGAAGAATAACAAATATACATGGACAAATGGACATGATCTAAGTAATATTCTAAATGCGTGTGTATATTTTAGGGCATATTATTAATAATATATATATATAATATATTTTAGTATTGTTAATGTTTGCGATATACGTATATATTTTATTATACTTACTAAGAAAGATGATGGCTGCAGCAATTAAGGTTACATTTATATAGTTTGAGAAGGCAGAGTTTACCCGAGTGTAGGCTACGCCCGACACCTGTATCAGAGAAAATAAACATCCGATTTACCCTTGTTTCGCCTCGGCTTCCTCCCTAGGTGCTAGTGGGTAATGGCAAAGGTTCTGATACAAAAACATCGATTTTATCTATAATATAAATGTATGTATAATGTGTCTTGATCGATTTCGGCCATGGCGGTCAATCTCACCGAGACTAGCCAGATCCGCAGAAGATATTATAGTGCGGGCACAACGTGCACTCTCAAAGTTGTTTCTGTCACTCTCAAAGTCCGATGGGACCATACTTCGACACGACAGGTGGGAGTTAAGGCGCAGGACTGATGTAACACGTGCTCTCCGAGGCACAGCGGTGAAACACCGCCAGTTTCAAACTTTGGGCTGTTACTGAGATTTTTTTAATAAATTCTTATTAACTACACTTGGCCCGACCTGGGACTCGAACCCAGGACTTACGGATCTGCAGCCTTACATGCTAGCCACTAGGCCACTGAGTTAATTAATATGCATGTATCCATATTTTGGTAAATTTTATAAGAAACAATAACCAGGTCATAGTCTGTCTATGAACTCCCTATCTATACGTTCTCTATTATATTATATTCTCTCTATTTATAATATTAGTGTGATTATGTGTTGTGGTGGAATATATGCTCTCCAACCGGTGTGCGAAAGTTACGTTAAACGAACACTCGCACAACTTCCACACTACAAGAGGCTGTCCGCAAGGAGGAGTGCTTTCACCCCTATTATGGACACTAGCTGTAGACATACTACTTGTAATCATGGCAGATCTTGACTACGATACACAGGGCTATGCAGATGACCTTGTTGTAGTAGTAAGAGGTCCCTGCCTGAACACAATTTCCACCAGGTTACAAGGAGCTCTCAATACCATCACAAGATGGTGCAGAGAAAATGAATTATCAATAAACGCTGATAAAACAGTTATTGTACCATTTACCAGGAAAAGGAAGCTTGAAAGGCTGACTGAACTCAGACTCAATGGCAAAACCCTTAACCTATCAAATGAGGTAAAGTACCTTGGAGTCACTATTGATCAAAAGTTGACCTGGAACTCTCACCTCAACAACATTATACAAAAAGCCAAAATGGCCCTCTGGATATGTTGTCGAATGGCTGGAGCCAAGTGGGGCCTCAAACCCAAAATGGCTCTCTGGATGTACACCGCCGTGGTAAGGCCGATCATAACATATGCCTCAGTCGTATGGTGTAACAAAACCAAACAAAAGACAACTATGAGTAAACTAGACAGCATACAACGGATGGCATGTCTAATCATCACGGGAGCCTTCCATTCGGCACCAGGCGACGCTCTAAATGCTTTGTTGGACATAGCTCCGCTATATCTCCACGTGCAAAAAGAAGCTAAATCTTGCCTCTACAGGCTCTGTACACAATCGAATGTAAAGTTGCAATCGCAATATATGAATAAACTCAAAGAGTTGACATTCGAACACAAAACTCTGAAAATGCCAGTCGATGGTATGAGTACAGAGTTTAACTTCGCAAAACAGTACCAAATAGATCTTCCCAACCGGGACATGTGGCTAAAAAACCAAGAGTCTCACAAAAAGGGCAGTCATGTTTGGTTCACAGATGGATCCAAGAAAGGATCTGATGTAGGGTGCGGTATCTATGGCCTTAAGCCTAGATTTGACATGAGTGTCAATCTGGGCAAGGAGGCCACCATCTTCCAAGCCGAGGTCTTCGCCATCAACAAATGTGCTGAAGTCATCCTGGAGAGGAAGCTGAGAAACCAAAATATCTACATCAACTCAGATAGCCAAGCAGCACTTCTGGCTATAGATTCTCTTGAGACCAACTCTAAGTTGGTCAAAGACTGTATGGAAAATCTGAATGTCCTGGGCACATCCAACAGAGTTACCCTCAGATGGGTCCCGGGTCACTCAGGCATAGATGGGAATGAAAAGGCTGATGCACTGGCAAGAAGGGGTGCTGAAACCCCAGTATGTGGCCCAGAACCATTTTGTGGTATTGCAAAACAACATGCCTATTCAATTCTCAAAATTCACTGCAATCGCCAAGCACTTCAAGAGTGGCAATCCACTTCTGGACAAAAACACTCTAAAGCGCTAATTAAGGGATATCGCAGAAAGTTTACAAAAGAGTTGCTTCAACTCAACAAGTATAAAACCAGTGCAGTAACCAGAATACTTACTGGTCACTGCAAACTCAATAAACATATGTTTACCCTCGGCCTCAGTCAGACCGCAATGTGCAGACTATGCCATGAGACAGAGGAAACTGCTATGCACATCCTCTGCTCGTGCGGTCCACTCATGCACCGCAGAAGTATCTACCTAGGGCAGCATATTATGCAACCGGAAGAGATACAGATGCTCCCCGCTCAGAAAATCTGGAAGTTCCTGGAGTCAACAGGACTAAGCGGAGAACTTTGAACTAACTATAAAGGGAGCTACAATGGACCAAAACTGGTCGACGTAGCTAGGGCCGACCTCGGCACCACACCCAACACAATAATAATAAATAATGTGTTGTCCACACACGAGATCTTGTCCAAAAGTAGAAAATATGTCTCAAAAAAGATAAAAAATCGGACGTTATTTAACTTTTTCTGTTAATTATAAAGGAAAAAACTAGATGGAAACTATAAATGGTAGATACCTTCTAGTGCTTGTGCACATGTCGGATCACTTACTATGACCTCATCTCTTCATTTCCTAACATCATCTTATAAAAAAAAATGATTTTTTTAGAAAGTGCACAAAAGTCACAATGTGTCCTAACATATTGTGGGTTTGTACATTAGTACGTATAATGTTTTAAAATCTATGTATGATGTTTTAATACATATAGACCTAGTAGACAGATAAGTGAGATATCATTGAAGGTAACTATACCTGTCTATCAGATAACCTATATCCTTATTAAGTACACATAAGAGCTATAATGACTAAATACCGTTCTGTTGATCCAGTCAGTATAAGCACTGACGCGCACGTACACGCCGGGGAACATCGGCTCGGCACAGCCGTAGCCCCACGACACGATCCCGACCACCACGCCGTCAGCCAGCAGCAGTCCACCACTGTCCCCCTGACACGAGTCCTTACCTATTTTCACATATTATGTACTATACGTGTATCCTTTTACTTATTATCAATATAAAAGTTTATGTAAATTGTTTTTGGGCGATTAAAAGAAATAACGGATTTTGAAGAAACTTGGCATCCAGACATGCTTTCACTAACATTTATTATAGAATACTTAACAACCTGAGAATTAGTTTAGATTAAGTTATTAGAATAACGCTACAAAAATTGAATAACATATAGTAAAACAGTAACTTAGCAAAATCTGTACATTTTACATTTACACATGTGAAATGAAATATTTGCTTAAAACAATGACTGTAACATATTGTGCACAGAATATAGACCGCAAAACAATAGTTATTCAAATGTTTGTCTGTGTGTTCGCGTTTCACGCAAAAAGTACTGGACCGATTTTGACAAAATTTTATGTAGTGATTGATAACTTATTACTTGGATCAATATTCAGGATATTTTTTACAACAGGAAAATCTTTCACTCCCACGGGAAAACACAATAACTGGTTCTATCGAGTCGTTTTTAGAAATTTACATGTCGCGCTGACTAAACCTTATGAGATATATCAAAACAATGAACTACTAAAAAATCGTAGGTCTTAATAACGCCTTCAAAAAAATCTGCAATAGCATAAGTCCTTCTCCTAAGGTACACTCGCAATAACTATTCATATCTATAATGCGTCTCGGAGCGCATTCGAGCGAAGCGAGGGTAAGTCACTAGGCCTTTATAAAATCACTAGCGCCTCACTCTCGCTTCGCTCGGGTTCGTCCTTAGCTTGCTTCCCAATACAAACTTTCATCCCCATTTTCACTCCCATAAGGGATGATTTCCGGGATAAAGTCTATGTCCTTCCCAGGGTCTCAAACTATCTTCTTACCGAATTTCGTCTAAATCGGTCCAGTAGATCCAGAGATTAGCCCCTAAAACGTCACAAACACACAAACTTTACCTCTTTATAATATTAGTTAATACTAATATTATAAAGAGAGAAGAGAGTATAGATTAGTATATATTAGTATAGATAAATTAGTGATCTTGGAAGTCGATCCATCGCAAACAACGTCTAAGTTAACGGCAAGCTTCGGTGTACCGTGTAAGTGATAAAACAATTTTAATTTATTTGAAACCAATTTTAAAACTGAAAAAGCTAGAAAAATGGGTATCGAATGAATTGAGTGATGCCCACCAACAAACACGCGTCGAATGCTGCGTTACTCAACCGTCACAATAAAGAGGAATTTTGAATCGTATCGTTACTTGCGATGAAAAATGGATCCTTTACGAGAATCGGAAATGCTCATCACAATGGTACAACCATCAGGAACCACCAGGAGAGTCGGCCAAATCATAATTATTTAATGAATACACCTATATTTGTATTGTACAGGCTGCCTTACCTCCGACGTTGAGCCATCCAGCACAAATCATGTTACTAGTAACATCAAAGGGTTTGTTAAGTAGTTGTTGGAGAAGATTGTAGTTTTCCCGACATGTGCTGTGGCTTATTTTAAGCACTTGCACTTCTTGCAATACGTTGGATACTACGGAATTTACCTAAAAATATATATATGCACAACTAAATTATTATTCATTATATGTGTATTATATAGTGTTATATATAAATAAATATTTGTACATAGTTTGGTTTTTCCCCGCTTGCAGTGAAATTCAAATAGATGGTAATGTGTTTGATCTGTAGACTGTATGTATGTAGGTGCCTATGTTCTAATCTACTTCCTTCGTAATTAATAAACCGCTTAACCATTCATTTAACTTTCATTAAATTCGTCATTGATAACGCAAGTGTCATCACACTACATAGTCTATCTAAGTACCTACATATATATGTACATACGTCAACTTGGCCACCTTTGTAGATCGCTTTTTATTAACTATACCGTATAAATGTTGTCTTATAAAAAATCAAAGATAATAATTTTTAATTACAAAATAAGAGATATAATATGAAAAAAAAAACATACTAATCGATTTAAGTTCAGCTGATTTCAAATCAAAGGTATCTTATCTTTAATTTGAAATGAGTTAAATGGTAGATTGATTTATTTAACAATAAGAGTCTGATTTTTTATAAAATAACTTTGTAGAGGAATCTGAGAGTTTTTAGACACAGCAGTACCTACATATCGACGGCAAATTGGCAATACCTGCTAAACTAACATTTTTCGAGAAATTCACTTTATTATCGTTTTGAATTTAGAGGCGCTATTCACATGTTTTCTTCAAATATACTAACATAACGTAATTATTAAAGCATAAGTCATTATTATCCTCAATTAATAAATTAAATGAATTAAATATATTTTTTCAGTTTGTGTAAATTCTTAACTATGACACTTAGGAGTTATTGGCACTTCGCCGACGATTTAACATACTACCTCAGTATGTCCCCATCCTACGACTATAAGGGGCGTGTTATTGGGTATCGTAGAGCCGGCGAGCGCGACGCTCGTTGTTCTTATGGTGTTGGACAAGTCGAGTGGGGCGGCTAGCGTCATCACCGCGATGTCGTTATCGTTCACAGGGGTGTTGTACCCACTGTGGATTACTATCTCCGATACATCACGCAATGACCCACCTGGAAGTTATATTCTATAAATATTCTCGTATATATGGTATTCCTAATTGTGCTTAATTAGTGATTCTCTCAAAATTGTAGTGGATCCAGCCATTGTATAATGCATGGTTTAATTATGATCGTAATGACATGACTTTTGTATATATACTGATGTTTCAATGTTTTGTAACATGTTTACCTTTAGATATATATACCTATACATAACTGCCTCGGTGGTCTAGTGGCTGCAGAACCGGAGGTTCTAAGTTCAAATCCTGTGTCGGGGTCGAGTCAAGTTTAATTATGAGTTTTTTTTGCTAAGATATTCTTACAATAAATAGGTAATAGTCGGAGTTACGAAGATGGCAGTGTTTCGCCTCCGTGTCTCGGAAAGCACGTAAAGTCGTCGGTCTTGCGCTTAATCACTTATCGGAGTGAAAAGCATAATTAGTCTATAGATTACACTTGAGTTTGCATATTAATTTTGCACTATATCATCTCCTGTGCACGTTAGGATGAGATTGGTCGCCGTGGCCGATACCGGTTAGGAGGACCATTAGATATGGCGCTTTATATATGTAATTAATGTTTATATAGCAACCTGATGACCTAATAAAAATAAACATATCAATTCCAAAAAAGGTAGGTATATTCTGATTTTAGAAGGCTAGGGAAATCCAATGAATGCTTTTTAAGATTCATCCATTAATTAACAACAAATTATAAAAGTCAAGTATTTAGATGAAATTTCTTTTTTATATTCGTCATATTATCATGAGATGTTTTCTCATGATAATATGACGAACACCCTATAGTTTGGGAAAATCCGAAATTTTTATACCTAATTTATACTTAAAATACGTCTTTAGCACTATAACAGATAAATATTCTCTTACCAGAATTCAGATACGTGGAGCCAGCTCGGATTGAGAAATGGCGGACATTAAGTAGTTCATCCCTGCTGAGAGAAAAATAACAAAACGTGTTAAAAAATGTCGCGTAGTTACTATTTAAATCAAATTCAATTGTATCAAAAATTTGCAATTAGTTATATTAGTATATAAACAAATATACTCATTGAAAAAACAATGTGCTGCGGTTAGAATGTGTTGCTGAGTGATGATCGTCCCTCCGCATCGCATTGAATTGTAAAGTAGCACCTGGAACCACGAAGATATGTTCTATTGAAGTACCGTAACTATCATAATTTTAACTTTATTATATATTACTACTGAGGTGTTCATGAAAATTTGAGAAAACAGAGGATGTGATACGATACTTCTAACGTATATAGTAAATGGTACTTATTGTACCCTCGACTTCGTTGGCGTGGACCATCCTCTAAGCAGATTTCATGATATTTGCTTTAGTAGTTTTGAGATTTTATAATTAATCGGTTTTTGAGTGAGCGATATTTTGCTTTTATTATTTTATTGTATACATTAAATGAAGCCTCCAGTGGTGCGCGCGATTAAGTCTATATTAAAAGAAACCAAAAAACGTATGCTTTAAAAAACGTAAATAATAATTTTTTAAAGGTTTTTGTTCAAAGTTAACATCATACCTGTACTAGGTAGGGATGCTTTTCCACTGTAGTGGAGTTGCCCCCGATGATTCGCGAATCCGTTCTTTGTAACTCTGCCAGAGATATCTTTTGCGTCGATGTTGGTAGTTGCAGGCTTTCTTGCACCTGTGCTGTACAAGTAGTATCATCTTGGTTTTAAGTTTAAAACTAAACTATAAAACTAAAATTTGCAATTTTCTTTAACATTGAATTTATAATTTAGTAACTTTTAGTATCCATAATCTAGTCACTAAATATGGTTTAACTAGTGATGTACCTTTGGTTTGGTGCGTCCCTATATGCCTTATTCATGTTAGGTATTATTTTAAAATAAACTGTGTATAAGTAGTTAGTATCATAGAAAATATTATGTACCTAGTATACCTAGTATAGTGATTTAATATTATAAACATTAAACATATTTTTCATAGATTTTATTTAGATAGTAATAAATGTTAGATAACTTAAGTATTATTTATTTTATTACCCTTATTAGATAGGTATGACATTATCAAGTTATCAGATCTACGATATACTATAGGGTTTTCCGAAAAGAGCGCTATGCACCACGGAGTGACGTCAAGATAAAAAAACCATTTTAGTAAAATTGGAAAATCGAATCCCTTCGAGCTATTAAAATAAGCTTCTGAAGTTCGCAATAGAAAAATGCGGACATTTATGTTGTATAATAACCCTAGTAATAACGAAATCAAATCCAGGGGTTTATAGAGGTAGAATATCTCATGAAATTTGACAATTAAGAAGGAGGAAGCTGGTGACCGTAGTTGCTGAAATCTTTCACTGACGCTGCCCACCATCACGACCATTTGCGAATTCCAGTCTTTATGTGGTTACACCGCTATGAATTTGCCAAAGCCTCGTCTGTTGTTGAGTTAGTTGTACCACGGGCAGGCGAGATTGGCAATAAGGGGCGTAAGATGGAAGTTGGTCCCATTTATATTCCATGCAGGTGATATACTTCCAGTCTCTCATAAATATTTTATACGTTAACATTATGTTATGTGCATTTAATAATACGAGATGAGATGATCTCCAGCGATAAACAGTAGCCTATGTCACTCTCCAGCCCTTTAACTATCTCCACACAAAAAATCACGCCAATCCGTCACTCCGTTTCGACGTGAACGAAAGACAAACAAACACACTTTCACATTTATAATATTAGTATGGATTTATCCTATTGAAAAAACAAACTGGTATCACATTACACATGAAGGTAAAAAAAATCGCATTACAGAAAGTATCATTATTTGAATGATTGGTATATAAATAATAAATAAATATGTTGCCACATTAACACACAACTCTATCTAGTTCCATGGTAAGCTATGGATACTACCGTTGAGTTTCTCGCCGGCTCTTCTCAGCAGAACCGCCTTCCAAGCCGGTGGTAGATTCCTCACGGACTGACTACACTGACATTTAATTTAAATTTAAAATGTAAAATTGACGATTCATTGTGCTTGTAAAAGTCTACTTGAATAAAGTATATTTTGATTGATTGATACCAGATAGTTGATACACTACACACATATAACTTTTAAATACATACATATTATAAAAATATAAACACCCATGACTGGAGTACAAACATTCGTACTGATCACACAGATGATTGACCCCAGCGGGACTCGAACCCACGACTGCTTTCACAGCAAGTAGGGTCACTAGAAACCGAGCCAAGTGTCGTCAAATACGAAAGCAACAATAAATAAAGTAAATATTTTAACTATCTGAATTTCACAAAATTAATCACCAATTTACAAAATATAAATCTAATTGTAAGTAATAAAATCTTACCACACGCGACAATGATTAGTAGACTAGCGCGCCACATGACTGTTTGTATGTCTCTGCCTTATCGACTTATCATTTGCTATCGATAACCAATTTTTTAGATATTGATGGTAATTTATCGCGAGTAGGTACCTCTTAAGTATATGAATCATGGTGTTGAGATTATTTACTGTCGTCAGTTTTCAATAGTTACAATAAGTAATCGTAAGCGACTAACATAATATATCTATCCTGATATTTTAAATTAAGGTAAAAAGCATATTTAGACAAATATTTTATTCTGTAAATAAAGCATCACGGCCATGACTATCATAAAAGAGAACAAGTTCTGATAAGTTTTACAACTCTAGCTTACGTTCATGTAGGACATTCAGAAAACCCGACCATGTTGATATCTTAAACAGATATTATCAATTTGCCATCTAATGTTTTTGTTTGATATATCGCTCATATATCAAAATGCAACCTTACAATGTGCATCCGCAGGATTCTACCACATTACAAAATTGTCTCCAGTCACCAGTGTTCGTTAGTAAATGAACAATTACGTACTTACGAGTACATTGCCACTTGTAATTGTTTCTTCCTGAGGGGGGAGATGTAAAGAAAACCACTTCCTAATAGAGCGAAAATGTGCAATATTATATCTAATAGATCACGAATATGAATATTTTGGTATCTCAATTGACACTTTCCGCTCAGAATTAAATAATCATTTTATTAAGAACGAGCATTACCCGCGGCTCACAAGCAAATGCAGTGGCTAAGAAAGTTGTCTCATTTAAATTCATTATATTTTAGTTATGATATATTTTGTATAAAAAATATAGCAACATAAATATTGGTGAGCCAATTTTGGTACAAATGTAGTAAAAAAAAAGATTAATCATATAGTAAGAATAAATTCATCATCTACAAATCCAGCAAATAATATAATTTATTAGGATAGTTCTTTACAAGATGCAATTTGATATGCGATCTACACCTTATAAGTATGTTTAGTGGTTTAGGACGTGTTAAAACGTAACAGGTGGACAGTAAGACTGGGTTCACATTGCATTGTCCTGTACGTTTTTTTACAGTATACGTCTTAACGAGTACATATTGGCACATACATTGTACATAGAACACACGTCTTTTGTACTGCAAAAAATCGTACACCGTTTATACGTTTAACCAAATACTCACCGGACTTTTCAAGCAAATCGAATAAACTTTAACGTATTCGGTTTGAGTGGTGCATAGTTTAGCTCTGTCTGAACGTGTAGAACTGCGGATATTCATTTTTACATGAATGAAAATCTACCGTGTGAACACCCGGCTGATTGTACGTTTAAAATCGAATACAATAAAATCGTGCAGGACATTGCCGTGTGAACCCAGCCTTACTTTCGAATTTATAATATTAAGTACAGATCTATGGATCAAGTTTCATGCATGGTAGAGGTAACACTTTGGGCATGAATGAGTCACACATCCAAACAACTTCATCTTACACATTTATAATATTAATAGGATTAAGACAAAAAAATAATGAAAAACCACTTTGTGCCATATTTTTATATTTTGTAAACAAAACATCGCAGCCACAAACGGACTAACATACACAACTTTATCACTATGTACGATAAATAGAGAACGAGTTCAAAGATCCATATAGATTGATAACAGTAGCTTTAGGAAAGTATACAGCTGCGGGAGAATATTATATATATTTAATACAAAATATTTTGATTGTACAATAAAAAAACTTTAAAATTTGGTAAGTTATCGGTCTGATTTACAGGTGAGTAAAAATTCATTTAATCGTATACTCGAATAAACAACATTTTCCTCGTAAATTTATTTCTAGATACTAAAAATTTAATATAAAATAAAACATTTTATGTTCATATTTAACAAAAAAAAAATGCTGAAGGAATGTTACCTTAGCAGACATAAAAACAAAGCATAAACTGATTTTTTAATGATTAATTTATATAAACTATATTGTACGCAATTACTTACCGATTTGATATTAAAATAAAAATAAAAAATGTGTATAATCGTATCAAAATGTCCTAAAATCACGACACTGTCATACGTTCGAGTAAAAAACTGTTACTCTGAGATTATAAGTTGTAAGAATGTAATTTGAAGTGGAATATTTTATAATATAGTTAGTTTTATAGTTAAAAGACGCTGCGTATGTGTTTTGTAATTTTTCTCCTAACGCTATTGTATCCTAATACCTCATGGCACTGTTGACATGGAACGTGTAACGTCACACTCAAATCCTAAAACGAACTTAAACTAAAAATGTATGAAGAAACCACAAAAATAAAATCTATAGTAAATACCCAGTTTTCGAAGCTTTCATCAGAAGGCGTTCCACACTAACTGAAGGTAGTTCTATAAATACGATTCATTGCCTCTGCTATATAGTGACGTCATTCGAAACAACCTTTCAATTAAAATATCAAAACTTAACCGATAAGTAAATCATCTATCCCGTACAATCTAAGTAAAATACAAATAAGATGTACCCAGCGATATATCGCTGGGTTCAGATCTTTAAAATATATAAATAAAATTTATTTCATCGCCTAACTACAGTAAATAGGTAACGGTATTTGAGCTATCTCATATTGCACTTCCAAATTTATATTTTTAGGGAGCCTCAAAGAAGACTTTACAAGTATAACAAAGAAGAATTATCTATATATAAGTACACATACACCGTAACAAGTTGAAGAAACAACTTCACTAACAAACGTATATTCCTAAAATATTAAAACTTGCGTTCCTTTGCATTACAAAGGAAAAGAATATGGTTAGAAAAAGTAAACGAGACATTAGAATGAAAAGATATAGAAAATAGTATCGCAAGAGAATGAAAATAAAACTTTAATTTAATATTCTTAAAGTCGATAATCGTATAAACAGATTTCAATCGTATTCATTTAAAAATAAGGAGCGTAATTTCAAAATTCGCTTACAGAAAACTGTCACCATTCCGCATAGAGGTTGAAACACTTTTGTTTACTAAAAGTAAAAAAAATGTCTCATTTATGGGACTCATATATGTAATTTTCACTATAAAATGGATACAATTTACATTTAAATAACTTCAACGATAAAAAGTCAAACGTAACGTCTATTAAGAATAACGTCGAAAAATTCCTAAACTATTAAGTCATAGATGCTAAAAGACTTATTTAAAATATTGCTTCCATTTGGCTGTCTATGGTTTATAAAAAACTCCATAGTAAATTTTCCTAATAATAATAATTATTATCGTCTACAAAACGTATTTGTCAATGGTAGAGATTCCGACGTCGATGCGATCAAAACTGATAGAATATTCGAAAGACATTTCCCATATATAGCTTTTATAGCTTATATCGATTATCCAAAGTCTTTTGACTGCATATCCCACGGCTGCTTACGGCAAGCACTACAAAATCAAGATGTCCCAAAAACCTATATAAACATCTTGAAAAACATCTACAGCAATAGATTTTTATACCACAGTATAATAAATGCAGTATATGTATATATTTCGCTATGAAATTTTTTCTAAGCACATTTCTTTATCGATAAGATATGTTGAATATACAATATTCTACTGATATAAGGGAACCATTAAAATATTTAAAAGTCCTTTCGAATATGAATATTTTCTTCTTAACGTCCATTTTACGTCCGACCGCAATACAACGTCTGTGTCATTTTAATTATTATCTGTGATATCAAATAGTTATATATTATCATATACTTTATTGTGCGATGGTCCTGTTGGAAGGTAACACGCGACACGTTTGATTTGTCAAGTTTGTTTAAATAAGACTTGTTATTTTAATTAGGCACTCATTGTTGATCCTTATTACAAGGTCTAAAGAGTCCAAAATCTATCAACGCTAACGTAACGTCAACCTTTTAATAATTATTAATTTATAAATATTTTTTGCTAGATTTAAAATAAAAGCTTAACAAAGACTACGTGTCGGTGTGTGTGTGTATGTCTGCGTGTCGCTCAAGGCGGCAAGTTCATTTGCAAGTTCTGGAGGTACGCCGAAGTGGAGTTGAGCAAGCCAATACGTTGTTTCTGTTTACGTTGTTCCGTCATCTGAAATATAAAGTAAATCGATTAATATTGTATTTTATATCATTATTAATTGAAACATTGATTATGACAAATACTGATATTATATTATTTAAATAAATATATTGTGAAAACAAATACTTACGATTAATATCTAAATATATGTAATATTATATATTTTGACTGTGAATCTAGATCGATATGACATGCGAGTAAGTGTAGTGACCGATATAAGTGGCTCAATTGACTTAAAATAGGTATTCCCCTATACCGGTCATCCGGCTGGTCCCACTTATCGATAGATAAGCGTGGTTTGAATTTGTTTATTTATTTCTCATGTCACAATATGTTGTAGAGTATAAGTGTTGTTACATAAATATTTTAAATACTCTTTAAGATGCCTTTTTAGCAGATTAATATTCGAACCACTGCACTGGTACCATTCTATTGGACTTGCATAAAAAATATTATAGTTATAAATGTCAAATATGACGATCGTGCACAGGGTAAAACATGTCAGGTACAACATGAGTGTAGGATGTAATGTACAGGCTACAGGACGTAGGGCGTTGGATGTAGTGTGCAGGGTGCAGGCACCTGGTCGCGCAGGTCGGTGAGCAGGTCGGTGAGCGCGCGCACGGCGGCCTGCGCGCGCTCCAGCTGCGCCTGCAGGTTGCGCAGCTCCAGCTCGCCGCCCTCGCCCTCGCCGCCGCCCACCAGCGACAGCGCGCGCAGCCGCGGGAACCAATCCAAGTTGTTGCTCTGCGATACATCAATATATTTATCGAGGACCAGAATATCCATTCCATTACTGATCAACTATAAAAATAGGTCCTCAATTCGACTGTATTTTATTGTATACTAACATTGCCCGCGGCTCCGCCCGCGTTCAGATGACCAAAAACCAAATTCTTAGGTTTTACATATTAGTATACTCTTACATTGCAGTTTTTGTACTTTTTCTCAGAAATGAGACATTTTCCCGCGGTAAAAAGTATCCTATATGTTGACCCGGATAACCAGCTATCACCATACTAAATTTAATCAAAATCCCTCCAGTGGTTTTTCCGTGATGCGGTAACAGACAGACAGACAAAAATTCTAAAACTATAGATTCGGCCTCTGTATCGATAATAATGTTTGATTCAATAAGATTTTCCAAAAAATATTTAATGTACAGATTCTGCTTAGTTACAATTTCATTATATGTATAGATGTTTCGCGACATTTTTACCGAGTATGACCCGATTTTCATGGTTCTTTTTTAAAGCATAAATAAATTACACAATCTCAATACTAAATGGAATTATTTAAAGAGTAGTTATTGGAATAAATTTAGGAGTTTAATATAATAATAAAATTTGATGCTTTAAATATGTGTCGATAATGATATATTCAGATAATCAGGACATCGAGGAGTTTCTGTATAAGCTTTTCACCTTAATCATGGAGTGCACGTAGCTTTCGGGCCCGGTGAACTCCGTGGGGTCCTTGACTCGCACCAGCACCATGAAGTATAAGTAGTGCCACATATTGTGCTCGCTCTTTATGTGCTCCTCGAACGAGACCGTCTTGTTGTCGAAGGCTGACCTATTCAACCCTGGAATATTTTACTATGTTAGTAAAGTTGCTTCTTTCTCACGACGCGTTTGTCTCAGTTTGTAGTGACTCTACTTGCTGTGCTAGCGGTCGCAGGTTCGAGTCCCGCTGGGGGCATTCATTTGTTTGGTAAGCACGAATGTTTATACTCCAGTCATGGGTGTTTATATTTATAATATGTATGTATTTAAAGCTATATATGTGTAGTGTGTAACAAGCCTCGTAGCTTACCATAACCAGGTGCTGTGTGTTCATGTGTCGTCATAATATTTATTTACTTTTTATTTTATTTATATTTCCGTATACCGCGCATATGGAACCCTATGTTATATGGATATATCTATATAATTCAAGTTTGTAAAGTGTTGACATCTTGGAATCGGTTGAGTACCTCAAGATATTTTTATTTCTACAGCAATTTACTATCCTGGTGCCTTAAGTTTTCCACGGGCTAAAGACCCCAACATTGATAATAATAAATATAAATTTTAAAAAATGAACAACTCCTACCACATATAAAACATGTGTTCTTCAATATAAGTTCTTTTTGTTGTTTCTCGCTACGAAGGTCGGCGAAGGTGTCGATGATGACACCGAAGATCAAGTTTAGTACAATGATGATGACCACGAAGAAGAATAGTAGGTCGTACACCACGCGCGCCACGAACAGCGGTTCCTGAGGAAACATATATTTTTTTTACACTATACACCACACTTATAGGCTAACTTAACATGCGTAAATTAGCTTAGACTTAAGAGGAACGACGAGGACGAACTATTAGGAGGGAGTCAGTGCCAATTATAAAAAATCCAAATATGTATGGATGACTTCCTTAAAATGTCTTTGTAAAACTTGCTAAGTTCTATTAAACATTCATGTTCCCTCACAATGTTCTTCTTGAGTGTGTTAAATTGTACATATTTATGTTGAAAATGTTATGCACATGAAAATATCAGAAATGCGTAAAGCTATAATCAATAAAATACCAATAGACAATACAATTTTATTATTTATTTTTATTAGACAATACAAACAAAACTCACAAAGCTAGCGGGCGCCCGCAGTATATCCCCGATGCCGCCGCCGTTCCTCAGGCCCTGGTTGAGGGTGGTGACGATGCACATGATGAGGGAGTCGCAGGAGCGCTCGCGCAGGGCGCCGCCCACCGACACGAAGCGCGGCGCGCGCGTGTACTTGGCGGCCGGCGACAGCGGCGACGCCTCGCACGTTCCCTCCGTGCACGACGACCACTCGTAGCGAGGATCGTCGTCGTCTGAGATTTTTTTTTCTATTATGGCTTATAGTTGCGTTTACTTGACACAATCCATTCTGCCAGTGTCATGTTTTGTGAGGAAGACACGAATGAGATTGAGATCGGAGATTGATTACAGGTGAACAAGAATTTTGACTTTGATAAGAGTATGAAACGATAGATTTATCGATAAGTTAGACAAAAAAAATGTATATGGCCTGAAAGTTAGCTTCTGTATATAGGAGAACGGTCGATCAATATATTAGAAAATTCATAGTTTAAATTATTATTTATAAATAAATCAAAACAAATATATTTTTATATAATTTTTTTCAAAGATTTCAAATTTTAATATCATCAAAAAATACAAAAAATTATAAAATAGTAGAAAAAAGTTTAAAAGTGAACCCTATTACTTTTTCTTTCATGTATATAAGTACTTTCTCTCACTTAGCCCCAAATCCAATCATATTTTCGTGCACGTCAATTGTCATTATCTAAGATTTTATATTGGTTATAGCATAGTATAAAATTCTACATTATATGCGCTTGTGATTTTAATAGGAATGTTGTCATATACAAGGTTATTTGTTCCCAAAAAATATCATATTTTCAAGGCGATTTGTTTAAATGTTAAAGTATTGTAGTGCCATCGTTGTGACGTTACAGTTAGGCCTATTTTATACTGTCATATAAAAGTAAGTATGATAGTCGACTGCACCCCGCAAGTTTACCTTGTTGTAATGCTTTCGTTAAACGACTGTATGGTGAAGTAGACTGTGGTTCTATATAATACGTGATTTGAATAATTAATCAATCATATTAAATGTGAAAGAGAACACTTAACAAATACAACTCACCATCCAAGCGATCGACATTGAGTAGGAAGTGGTCGCGGAAGAACATGTAGCCTACGATGGAGAACATGTAGACCAGCACCAGCGCCAGCACGGCCGTCAGCAGGATGGACCGGCCGTTGCGGGTTACTGATCGCATCACGTTCAGCAGCGTCTCTTCGCGGTACACTATGTCTAGGAGCTGGAAGAGAGGACGTTTGTAGAAGAATATCAAAAGTAAAGTCTAAATGTGTTTTGTACAATTAAATGCCTCGGTTGGTCTAGTAACTAGCACGTATAGTAGTAGATCTGGAGGGACTGGGTTCGAGTCTGCGCACACGCTGCACGTGTATATAATATATCTTACACAGATGATAGTCTCAGTGAGATTTACGCTCGTGGCGAGATAATTCTAGTTAGGAGGACAATATTGTAATTACAGAAACGAATACATATTATATGAAACATGGGATGTGTAGTGAAACAGGAGTCACCTGTTTATTAAATAATACTTTCTTTCATAAAAACCAGACAATTTAAATAAAAATTATGATTTTTGTTGAGATTTCGCACTTCGAAAATAGATTTGATATTAATTAAAAGTGCAAAGTATGAGGAATGTGCATAATATAGTCTGCAAAATATCGATCATGAATAATTGTTGCCAGGCTTTGAAATTTACCAAAATACAAAACTTTCACTCAAAACCCTTATCCACCAATGAGTTAAACAAAAAAAAACCGCTATTAAACTTCATTGTTTTAATTTAGCGGATGAAAAAAAGCGAGATAACAGACAATTTTTTTTATATCCATCATGATATGATCATATATGAATACATCAACTCTACTTAGCTAATTTGAAATCACTTACATCTCAAACTTATCTACAAGTACTTCCTATACAGATAAAGAATGGTATCAGAAAAGCCTGTACCGTCAGCATATTATCGTTTATTCAATTTATACTTTTGATTTATATTTCATTGCAAACGTCCTAACAGTATTGATAAAAGTATTTTACGTTATTTTATATAAAAAATATGCTACTATTAAACGGTATTTGACAAAATTTCTGAGCTTCATAAGACACTAGCATTACCCACGGCTACGCCCGCGTTCAGATACCAAAAACCAAATTGTAAGGTTTTACATATTAGTATACTCTTACATAGCAGTTTTTGTATTTTTTGAATAAAAAAAACCTTGAAGAAACCTGTATAAATAATATTAAGTATTCTATTATCATTTCATTATAGTAAAGAAAACTTGTCTTAATTAAAAATATTCTTTAAAACAGAAAATTATTTTACTAAATACGATACGTACCTACGATACGATATAAAACTTCTGGTTCCCATCACTATTTGTATTGAATTAACTAATCAGCGTGCATTTCAACCCGCCTCCCCCGTAACGCTTACCTCAAACTTTTTGACTGACAGGTTTGGATGCAGAAGTACATAAATTAGGCGTCTATCGGGCTTAGTGGTCGTTGGTTTGTAGTGACCCTACTTGCTGTGCTAGTGGTCGCGGGTTCGAGTCCCGCTGGGGGCAATAGCTTTTGTGTAATTTATCCGCCCAAGCTACACAGATTATACCATCTACATGTACGGGAATAGATAACGTATGTATATCTTGAGGCAAACACATGATGTATATATTACCAGAACAGAGAAGAAGAACGGATGACAGCATATGCCCAGGAAGCAGAACGCGAGGTAGACGCCGTGGTAGAGCAGCTCGGGGTCGGTGATGACGTTGCGCGTCGACTTGGACAGCGTGCCCTGGTTGCCCATTATGCTCACCAGGTGGATGCCCTTCACTACTATCTAACATTTTAAACATATACTGTGTAAAATAGACATTTTATTCAATACATATACATTCAAATATTGAGTATATACCTTAAGATGTTAATAATTCAGCAATTGTTGTGTTGGGAATATATATATTTGACTTTTAATCCTATCTCAGTTACATATACAACGCTTGGTTATTATTTTTAGTAATCCGACTACAGAATCGTGTAGTAGTATGTTAAACCATCTCGTGGCAACTGGCAAGTTACAGTTTACTCGTCAACTCTAAAGCCGTTTCCCCATTGTCATACTAACGCTCCCGCGCCTTCGTTACACGACTGTATGTATTAGTAGACTATGATACTTAATAGGTAGTTAGATAAATACTTTATAAAGCACACAGAAAATAATAGTACAGAAGATAAAAAAAAGATCAGAAAAAGGCATGCAAAGGTTGTCTGAATGTCAAATATCTCAATCTGATAGTCTCGCTGTACATATTACAGTGTTTATACAGCAGGCAATTGCCTCGGTGGTTTTGCATCTAGCATGTACGGCGCAGATCCAGAGGACCTTTTGAAGGAGTTTTTCTGCTCAGATATTCTCAGTTAGTAGCCTGGAATTGAGAAGTTGGCGGTGTGTAATCCCCGGCTTTACGTGCCTCGAAGAGCACGTAAAGCCATTGGTCCTACGCCTTAACTCTCCCCGGTCGTGTTGAAGTATCTTCCCATCGGACTTTGAGAGTGCATAGAGTATACGTCGTGTCTGTGCCTACACTTGTGCAGTATATATCTGCTCAGTTGGTTAGTCTCAGTAAGATGAGTCAGGTGCACTTACAGTGAGCATGCCAAGCGTCCACAGCGTGGGCTCGGGGCCGGCGGAGAAGATGAGGCGCACGATGGCGCTGGCGAGCAGCGCGCGCGCGCCCGAGCCACGCGGCAGCCACGTCACCAGCGCGCCCGCCGCGCCCGACGCCAGCCACACCACCAGCGACAGGTGCTGGCCCAGCTCTGCGCGCACAGCACACACATACATGCTTCATTTTCAATTTCATTTTAGGAAACAATAATCGAAAGCGATAAAATCCGAAAAGATAAATTAACAAATTAAATGGCTATTGAACTGAGAGTTTTCCACTTAATAAATTAAAATAGTTCTACCACAGTATAACATAGAGTAGGCCTATTTATGTTAATAGAAATCGTTTTTCAAATTAAAGACATGGAGTGCCATCTCGTGGCAAGTTATTATTATACCAGTCAACTCCTAAACTGTTTCTAAACTTTTATATAAAAGTAGGTTTATATATGATAGTCAGGTAAAATTTTAGAAAAAAATTGACAACGTCAAAACAAAATTTATGGTGTAATCAAATTATTTAAAATATATCCGAAAATAACATTAAAAATTTATGTGATAGTATAAAAAAATCTTTTAAAAGTTAACAAAATTGAAAGTGCATAATAATTACAAGACTTCCGCAACACCATTCAGACAAAGAGAGACAATAGCATTCCCAAGGAGGGTTGACGTCAGGCAGGCGGCCGATCGTAAAACTTTTCCCAAATCCTTTCAGCAGTACAGTAGATGTACTGCGCCGACCCCAAGTGATTGGGAAATGGGCAGGGAGAAGAAGATATATGATAGTCAGGTGCGCCTCGTCCACGCCACCGATCAAGACCGTTCCGTCACCGACCAAAACCATTCCATCACAGACCAAGACCGTTCCGTCACCGACCAAGACCGTTCCATCTTTAAATATAGTCATTTTTTCTTCAGCATAATATGGAATGAATATTTTTATACTTACTTGGATTTTCTTCTTGAAATGGATAAAAGAAAGCAACGATAACGTTGATCAAAACGGCAAAGTTGAACAATATGTTACTCCACAGCGACATGTAGGACGACACCCAGAATAAAAATGGTTGGCCTGAGAAACAAAAATAAAATTATATAAAGAATACCTTTCTAATTAATTCGGTTTTTATGAAATAAATAGAATCTCTAGTTCATTGGCTATTAAATATATATAGGTTGCTTCCGCATACAAACTTTTACACCTATTTTCACCCCCTTAAGGGACGATTCCCAGAATAAAACTATTCTATGTACTTCCTAGGGTCTCAAACTATCTTCTTACCAAGTTTCATCTAAATCGGATTAGTAGTTTCGGAGCCTATTCGATACAAACAAACAAAATAAACAAATTCTTCCTCTTTATAATATTAGAATAGATTATAATCTTTATGAGAACTTAAATTTGCTGAAATAAGACATAAAGTCACTACACTTTATTTGGTGGGTTACCAATCTTGTTGGTCTCATACACAGCATACAATTTGTCATAATATGCAAATAAATAATTAAAAAAGAGATATATTGTTATCAGAGCACACAAAAAAAGAAATACAGTGAATCTAAACCTATACACTAACAGTAAATCCTCTACCTAGTAGGTCTATAAGTATACTATTACTACTGTAGTATACTATTTTTTAGTCTTCTAGACTCTAGTTCTCACTAGAGACAGGAATTTGACATAATTTGTATATAGCTTATATAACTACGGATAGATATTAGATAGTACAACGGGATTCGTCTTGAGACTACTATTACAAATGCGAAAGTTTGCAGGTGTGTATATAAGTCACTTCTTTTTACTAATTTATTTATTTAATTCACAGATAGACTATGAGCTGATATAAAAGCACCAGTCATATTAATCCGACTGACCTCTCAACTTCTTCTGCCACTTCATCTCATGGAACAGGTTATCCAGCCGGGAGAAGAAGTCGGCCACCTTGCTGCCCTGGTCGTCGCGCTCGGCGCTCTGCAGCACGCGGTGCTTGCTGTCCGCCGGCAGGTACTCGCAGATCTCCGGAATGGGGAACACTATTTGTTCCATACTGCGGTCTGTGCGGACTATCTGCATAATTAAATAAAAACTATAATTTAGTACTACAAAATGTTTCTAACTATTCGTATTAACCGATTAAAAACCCGGAAAACGGTTTTTAAGAATTTAGGTCCCATGATCGAAATTAATCGGTTAAAATAAGCTTTTGTGCGTTTACACATTTAATTAACCCTTCATCGGTCTCGAGCTCTGAGAGAGAGGGAGAGAAAGGGAAAGAGAGAAAGAGAGAGAGATCGGGAAAGAGAGAAGAGGGAGAGAGAAGAGGGAGAGAGAAGAGGGAGAGAGAAGAGAGAGAGGTAAGCAGAGAGCGCACCTCTATCTGCGCGGTGTGCGTTCGGTAGTACTGCAGCGCGGGCGCGGCGGGGCCGGCGGGCGACGCGCGCACCAGCGCCGCCAGCTCCTTGTTGTGCGCCGCCAGCTGGTGGCACAAGATGTAGATGTTGTGGCCCACCTGCGGACGGACACCATGTATCTCTATACACTGTTTACGATAGGCTTTTGGATTGTTATTTTGTATTGGATATTTGTTTTTAACTAAGGGCACAGATAGTGAAATATAAAACTATTAGGAATAATCATATATATTGTATCATATAATATATATGTTACATAAGGCACATTCTTTTAGATACAATTTATTTGCATGCAAATTTTTGGCTTTTCTGTCAAAATTCTTAACAATATAAAGAATTTGGAAAACATCGTCATCAAGATGTTTAGTCGTTAAAGTGCTCTCTATTTATACTACAATTATTATTACGTGATGTAAGTTGAGAAAAAAATGTTATTTATTTAATAATCGCAATGTGGCAGTTTAGATTACTAGATTTTGTTTGCAACATCTTTTACAATGATGTTAGTCCATGCTATTGCATATAAAATATCGTATATCTAAAGAAAGAGGATAACAAAACTAACTTCCTTCGGCGACACGCCCTGTACGGGCGAGTCGTCCTCGGAGTCGGAGTCAGCGTCCATAGAGTTCTCTTGGTGGAAGGCGGAGCACGCAACATCAACCTGAAATAATATTTATATTGATTTATTTGTTTTGCATTTTTTGCCCTTCGTTTACTTAAATAATAAATTCTAAGGTCTAAGGCTGGTTCACAAGGTACAAGGTATACTTATTTACTTATCAAAAGTGAAGCAAATATAAAAGAGTTAAAATGTAGTAAATATCGCATTCCATATAGTTAAAATATTTACAACTAGCGACTCCCCCTCACTCATTCGGGTTTGTCCATTTTCACCCCCTTAAGGGGTGATTTCCGGAATAAAAAATATCCTATGTCCTTTCCAGGGTCCCTAATTATCTTCTTGTCGAATTTCATCTAAATCGGTCCAGTACTTTTTGACTTTATTCGTTACAAACATACAAAAATACAAATCTTACTCTTCAATAGTAAGTGTAGATGATTATAAAATTTATTTAACAAACCAGCTGTTTAGGGTTCATGTTGTATAGAATCCTTTCGGCATTATTTTCAGAGTCATTCCTCGACTCCATGATGGCGAGCAGGAGCTTGGAGGCGTTGTTCTTGAGCTCGAGCACGAGGTCCATACGCGTCTTGCCGAGAGGGTTGATGTCGTTCAGGATCAGTGCCGTTATGATGTCAAGTCCGTTGCTTTCGTGAGTCGCTATGCAGTTTTGGTTTTCATGACACGGACCTTTGTAGGGAATTATTGGTTTATTTAGTTTTGCTTTTATAATTAATTAATGATTCTCTTCGAGGAATTTAAGAGTTAGTTAAATAACCTTCACGAGAAAATAAGTTGAAAAATGAACTTGGTTACCGTATTGCTTAAATGGTGATGGTTTGAATCAACAATGAATCATTGGTCAGATTGATGAGAGCGACATTCCCTTGTTAATGATCAAGAACATAAGAAGAGAATTTCTAAGGGACCACGATGTAGCAGTTTTATTTTTTTTAGTTATGTAAAGCAACAAAAAGAGAATTTAGTAAATATCATAATCACCTTGACAATACTCAGTAAGGGTCTCCAGGGTTTGGTTGATGAGGGCAACATTTCCCTCATTGATGTACAGCCCGAGCAGGCCGAGCCCACCGGTGGTGGACCCGCAGATGCAATCCAGGAACATCAGGGTCTCGGAGACCAGGTTGTAGTTAGATTTGTTGTTTTGGTTACGAAGTAAGTTCTAGGATAAAATATATTACATGGTTATTCCAATTTATAATCTACTAGCATTTCTGATTGCTTTGCTTCAAGTCTAACATCACTACTTATTTTTCCTACTCCATAGATTGTACTGCGTAAAATATTGAAGTTGTAGATATTTTTTGTTGCGGCTATAAAATATCACTTCGGCCATCTTTCGTCTATTGTAATTACAATTTGTACAAACAATTTGTAGGTAAATGTTAGTGGTAATTTAAATTAGAGAAATTATTTCAATTTTCGTCACTATTACTTTAAAAATTACGGATTTCTATTCAGTCATCCAACCCCTTTTCTATCCCCATTGAGATTGAATTATTAAAAACCTTATTCTAGCAGACACCAGCTGCCTATAAAGAATCTACCAAAATAAAAGTTAGTAGCATTACTGAGACTTTCTGAGATAGTGATTAATCAGTCATATTTCGCTTTATACTCGTATTAACACTATTTCTCGACTTTGTATTAGAACCTTTTACAGATAAATCCATAATTTAAGTGGCGCCATGAGCAAAAACTAGCAATAAATTGAAGAATAGACGTACTTGTAAATCAGGGTTGTGGTTTTCACAGAGCAGCTGTAGGAAGCGTAGAATAGGTTTCATGACGGCCACCTTGGCCGGCAGCACGTCCGCGTTACCCGCTTCACGCTTCTTCTCCGCCATTATTTCTTCTAGTACTGTCGTGCCTGATTATAATAATTGTTGATTAAAGATAATAAAAACATATTTGAATCTATTATAGTTTCTTAAAATAAATGCGTATACTTTTTTATTTTGATGTCTTTTATTAGTTTTTATTAATAATTTTATATTTAATTCTAATGTAATCTAATTTAGATTACATTAGAATTAAATATAAAATGAAATGCAAAAGATGAACCACTACTTATATTTTTTACAAATAAAAAAATTGGAGGAAAATAATTTCAGGAGTTAAGTTTAGACTTAACTCTAGAATTTTAGTTTCTCTTTTCTGCACGGATTACTAAAATCTATAATTTTAGTAGTCCGTGCAGAAAAATAATGGGATAAGATATGGCGGCCATTGAGATGGTATTGTCAATAAACTACGGCTTATGTGATGATTCATATTTCGATAAAAGTGTTTCATACATTGATATTATTTAGTTAATAAAATCTAATATCTGTATAATAATTTAGATATGCGTTAATTTTAGAAAATTTAAGTACATATTTATTTTATTGAAAATATAATTATGCTTATTTCAAATCATATTTCAAAACATAATATAGTTTTAAGGATAAATATAAAAACACAATTGAACGTGAACATTCATAAATTTCATAATTAATGTCAAAGAAGTGTAAGTGTAAGAAATGCAATGCTATTTTAATCCCATTCTTTATCTACAGACTCTATACAGTATACTTACATATAAAATAATTCATAACTGACTTATGTACATAACTAACCGTGGGACATGGTGTGTATGTCTGAATAAGCGTGCACGGCGGAGCCGCACGCGCTCGTCACCTCATCGTCCATGTCCTCACCCACGACCATCGGTCCCACTGCGGCTTTGCCTGGTGGGTACACATTGCAAACGATTAATGTTAACCTTACACATAAAATATATACATGTAAGTGTTAACCTAAAGAAAGCAAAAGGTTTGTAGATACTGTCTTATTTTAAAAGCTATTTCTATTATACAATTTTTGGAACGGATTATATACTCGTAGAGGAATAAACGTAAAAGTGACTGTTTTTTTTTATTAATTTAGCAATATTAAAAAAGGTAACATACTTAGTTGTAAGAAACAGCAAAAATCTAAAAATAAATGCTTGAAATGTTTAAGTAACATAACAACTTAAGTACAAAGGGACTTTCACAAACAATTTTGATTCATAAAGAGTTAGTGTAGTTAGTCCGTGATAAAGTTACCACCGGCTTAGCTGAAAGGCTTCAGCTCAGAATACAACACTGTAACTGTGCAGCTAATAAAGAAATTAAGTTTCAAATTTGGTATCTAATCAAGAATCAACAAGAAAATTTACTCATATTAAATGAAATAATTACGTTTGAGGCGATTTTGAAACCATCGTAACTTTATAGTCAAAGTCTATTGTATTGTGTATGTAAATAATAGTGTACAATAGAGAGTAGTCTACTTCCTCTCAACTGCCTCGGTGGTGTAGTGGCTAACATGTACGGCTGCACACCGGAGGTCCTGGGTTCGAGTCCCAGGTCGGCCCAAGTTTAGTTATTGAGTCTTTCTGTATAGTAAGCGTCAGTAACAGTCCGGAGTTGGGAAGTTGGCGGTGTTTCACCCCCGTGCCTCCGAGAGCACGTGTCGGATCGGTCCTGCGCCGCCACTCTCACTGGTCGTGGCTGGTGTCGTCCCACCGGAGTATGAGAGTGACAGGAAAAGAGAGTGCACGTTGTGTCTGCGCGTACACGCGCTGCTTTATAATATCTCCTGCGCAGTTGGCTAATCCCAATGAGATTGACCGCCGTGGCCGGAATCGGTGAGGAGGAAATTATTATTAGTGTACTTTTACTTATGATAAGTGTGACAGACCGTCAACGTTGGGTTTCTGCTTGTCGGCGGCGGAGGAGCGCTTGTCGGCGGCGGACGCGGTGCTGCTGACGGCCAATGAGCGGATCTCCTGCTGCGCCTCGCGCATCTTGTCGTAGAACACCTGTCGATATTGCGGTTACATTGTTATTTTTTGATAGATGTGTTGAAAATAGTGTATATAAATAATGATATATAGTGGAAAAGTAAATAAAAGTAAAATTATTGTAAAAATAATAGCTGCTAAATAAATACAAAATTTAAAAACCTCCTACGCAAATTAATTGTTATTTAACGATTACACTGGCACGCGTGAAGCACTTAATCGAGTAATCATACGCCAAAATGCCTTACATAATTTTGGAAAAGAGCTGAAAAAGAGCTGATACTTTTACAGTGCTGGACCAATATTAATCAAACATAGCTAAGAACCACCGCTAGAAAACTGGCTTTCAAATGAAAAAAAACTGCATCGAAATCGGTCCATCCGTTTGAGAGCTACGATGCCACAGACAGACACACACACATACACACACACAGACAGACAGACATCGACGTCAAATTTATAGCATCCCTCTTTTTGCGTCGGGGGTTAGTAAAAAGAAGATTGTTCAACACAATATGATCAAACAATATATATTCCATACATTATTTGATAATGTGCTGGACAATATTAATGACAATGCCAAATAAATTCTCAAAAGTGGATCATTACCATACTGTACTTTAACATAAAAATAGTAATATAATTTTTTTAATCTAGCAACTGTTATTTTTATAATAATCTTCCTAAACGAATTAAATATAAATCACACAAAATACATAGATCGTCTATAATTACCTTTAAAAACGCTTGAGATACTTCTCCATTTTGTAATTTCGTGAATATACTATGTTGTATTATTGGGTTGCCACCTTCGAGAAGAGCTATTCCTGTACAAATAAAATTTAGTTATAATTATTTTACTACTCATAAAATGTTGCAAATATAATTTATCATTGCATTAATTAAAAAAGGGACGAATCATCCCGTTTATTAAAAGTTTAATTGAATAATTTCGTCACGGTGACCATTAATAAAAATGATCATATTATGATTTTTTTTGGCTGCCTTCCTTTTACAGTAATATGTGTACATATAAAAATGATCTGCGGAGCGTCTCTTTAAAGCGATATAGCTCCCAAAGTCAAACTATAATACAAATATCACTATATTATAAATTATCAACACGAAACACTCGCCATCATGCAATAGCTATAAATCTTTTGCGATTTCGTCTCTTGTACGATACGATCATTGATCAACAAAAAATATACCTCCGTAGATCAAAAAACAAGCAGCACTCACCGAGCTGTATAGCTTCCAGGAATATGGCGGGTCGGTTGGTGCTGTTGATGACGAGTTCCACCACCAGGTCGGACGCGCCCTCGCGGTCCAGGTGCGCCTGCACCTGCGCTAGGCTCTGCCCCGTGCGCGGGAGGACCTTCGCTGGAGAGAAACATTGTGAAAATTAATATTTCAAAAAAAACTTCACTGAAAAACGAATATAAAAAAAAACTTTAAAATGTACTAAACTTAAATAGTTTAGTACAAGGACAATGGGCGGTTCTGTCCCCAGAGTGTATCAAGTTGTGGTATATATTATTTTAAAGATCAAACTATTGCTAAGCTATTACGCTCATTTTATAGTATGACATCAACAATGAGACACGTGCACTATGTATCATTTAGTTTAAATGAACCCGTGGAAGTCTAAAACAGTATAATGTATATCACTTCAAAGATCATAATAATAGCTTTAATTGTATGACAACAAAAGTCACATATACACTCTGTAGATGGAACCCATACAAAGTTGCCCACTCTCCTTTAAATTGATTGATATTAAAAATTTTACGTAAGTACTGAAAATAAATAGGATCTGGTTGTTAGCAGGTTTTGACTTAAGCATTACTTAGCCAATGTTACATGTAATGGCCAAGGTAAAATTAGAAACAAAAAATATTTTATTTATGATGAAAGTAATGTCACATTATTTGTCATCATTCGTTTACTAGATTCAAGAAATGCAATGCAGAATATAAATTTAATTAGAACCCTTTACCCTCGCTGTTCTTCGCTGTTTTTCGAACAAAAGAGAAAAGAAATATTTGTTATGTTATATAAGAATATGTAAAGGATACATTTAGTTTTGAACGAACTTGGGACTTTGAGGAGATTTTTTTACACTATATACATACATATTTAGCATTTACAAAAACTAAACAGCAATATAACATAATAACTATAGGTCAAAATACACTATTTGCAACACATAAAGCAAGACACTCAGTACTAATATGTAACAAAAACCTACCTGTCTTTATCTGGAGCGGAACAGACTCGGCTGCGCATGCGCAATGTGGAAACAAACGAAATTCCTAAACTAATTTCTAAGGGCTGTTACATGGCAAGGTTTAAACTAAATATTGATTAAATATAAAACATTTATCTTTTCGGATCTTTTCGCGGATTTTTGTAGATTTTGGTTCCCGACGTTTCAAATGCTATACAGTTTACAGAATTCATGGTCACGGTCACTGTCTGTAACAACTATGTAATTTGACCTTTGAGACGTCAAAAATCTTAGTCTCTCCCGTGACCGTGATTGCTGTAAAGCATTCGAAACGTCGGGAACCAAAAATCTAAATAAATCCGCGAAAAAATCCAAAAAGACAGATTTATTTAAAATGTCAAATATTCGCGTAAATCTAAGAAAGTATTATAATATAAAATATTTAATAATAATTACTTTTATGTAACATTATTATTATTAAATACTTTTATATAAACATTCTAGTAACAAAAAGCCATGTAACAGATTTCATTTAAATATTATAAGTCAGTGAAAGTTTACAAACTAATATTAACTAGAGCTAGGTTGTTGATGTGATAGTTTTTAGAAGTATTAGTGTATTTTACTAAAAACTATAGTGTTGTTTGCTTCTAAAACTAGTTGTGCGATCTAATATATGTATATTTAGTAGATTTAATATTATTACATTTACTTTATAAGTGTCACTATATTTATTTACAATTAGGTTAAACATTTTTTTGATTCAATCATCTTTAATATTACAAAAAATTAAATAATGAGTACGACGCGATAATAGAATATAAAAAAGGATAATAATTGATATATTATATTAAATTTTTATTTACATTTAACAACATAATCATTAATATACACAGTAATAAGTAATAGCTTTTAAAGGTCTATACGTCCATTTGATAGGATCGCGGCACTATTCAATACAAGGCGGATCAGACCACAGACCATTAAGAAGTCCAAGCCCAGGCGAGCGGACTTCACATGACTTCCGAAAACTAGTATCTATTTTTAGATTACCTTAGATATGCAGGTTTCCTCGTTTTCCTATACAATTTACAATATTATATTACCGCCTATATTATATTTATTTTATCCCCATTTGTTATTTTCATTAATATATAAGCCATTCTAATACTAATTTATGTATAATCTAACACAACTTTTAATATAACAGTGTATGTCTCACCGCCGGGGCCGTGCGTGACGGCGACGTTGGGCGGAGTGATGCGCGGCTCCGACTTGCGGTTCACGAAGTACTGAGATAGTAGCTTGTTTCGGAGTTGATTGCCCTAAGGAATGATATGTATTTTATTAAGTGGCAGAAAATTATTAAAATGTAAAAAAAAAGCAATAGTTTACTTTTGTAAATGCGAAGAGTTGTATGTCTATGTATGTTTGTTATTTCTTAATATGCTGAAAGGGCTAGATAAATTTTGATGAAATTTAATATACAGTGGCAAGCGAAGCGAGTCTTAGTTGCTAGTTTAATATAAAATTTTATATTGGATGAAACATGTCCTTGTTTTTCTTAAATGCAAAATCATCTTTTAATTATTTTGTAAAATACAAATATTATTTTTAAATTGAGGTGCTTGTATAAAATGCTGCTTGTGTAAAATAATTTAGAAGGATTTCAGAAATATACATATAAATGATAATGACAGAAAAATATCAATGTACTACAAAAACTACAACTCTACAGAAAACAAAAAAAAACTATTACGGTAATACAATTACCCCTTTTCAACTTCTTCTTTTATTTTTTGTTAAAATGTTTTTATTGAGGAAAAATTATTCAGAAAATTATAAAAAAAGCCAAAATAATGCTTATTTATGGTTAAAGTACGACACTTTCTCGTATATATCTAGAAAGTACAGAAAGAACATGTATAAGTGACCTTTTCCCCATATTCCGGATCGGTGGCCATCATCTCACGCAGCGTCCGCAGCACCTTGACGCACAGTTTCTCTTCTTTTTCTTCTAGTAACTTTTCCGTGTGACGTATCAGTCTAAAACATTTTGAATTTACATTATTTTTAATTAAACAATAAAGAATCGTACATATATTTGGAGATCAGTAAAATAATTCATATATTCAAATACTTTTTACTCTTTTAACTAGCGGGTCTTAAGCGGGTTCGAATCCCGGAAATCACACCTCTGATATTTTTATGTGCGAATCCATTATTGCCACTTGTCTCGCGATGAAGGAAAACATCGTAAGGACGCATGCATGTCTGAGAGAACCTAGCAAGTTCTTGAAAGCCATGTGCAGTGCGCCCGCACTTGGCCGGCTTGGTGGGCTAAGGCCTGATCCCCGTTCGTATTGAAGGGAGGCCCGTGCCCAGCAGTGGAACGTAAGGGCTGAATATATCCACTCACCGTGATATAAATATGCCACTGGTGTCGGGATGCGTGAGCTCCCCGGGGCTCGTGAACAGTCGGTGCGGCTTGTACAGTATGTCCACTAACAACGACTGTTCCGCTTGGAGTAACGGCCTCAATTGCTCTTCTAGAAGAGCCACTATCTCTTGAAGCCCTTCCATTACAGATCTGTCGTTTTGTAGGTTTGTCTGTCAATAAATATGTACATAATATTAAAAAAAATTATAAAGTTGATTTGGTTGGTATTTAAGTCTTAAGGTCGTAGTTGAAAGTCTACCACATAAAGTATTATTTTTTAATTAAAATCTTTATAACATATTTTTTTGAATATGAAGAGTTAGTATTTATTTTAATCATAACTTTATTTACGTGCTGAGATTAAATATTTACCTGAGAAGCCATTTTCTCTAGTTTTGAAGTTTTCGAGGCAAGTAACCACTTGCTCGTCTGTCGGGAGAGTGCGGCAGCTTTTTCGAACACTGTTTGTATTTTTGCTTCTAATTCTAGTGGTATCGCTATACTGCGACTTTTGGCTGAACAAAGAAATTATTTATATAACATATTATTATTTATTAGATAGTGTGAAATACATCGTGGTTTCAATCGTCAGTCTGTTTCTTTTTAGTTAACCGTAGCGTTATTTTGAAAGTGGCATCTGTGAATATATTCTTAGAAAATACTTAAAGTAAATTCATCAGCAATCTGCTGGCGACTTATTTAAAGTTCTTACAGAAAAGATACATATAGAAAAAATTATAGATAGAAAGAAAATAAACATCTATAGAAAAATCTGAATTGAATTTACGATTTTCCGAAACAAAAATTTCTTTCATTACGTAAACATAGAATTGTAATTCAAGGAAAATATCCTTGACATAGAAAAAGATTGTGATGAGATTGTTTCATGTGAATATTGCTACTCAGTTGACAATAAATGCATTCATAGGTTTGTTTAATTTTTTTGCGATCGATTGCGTATTGTTTCAAATATTAAGTGAAAATTATCAATTGATCACTAAATTCACAAAGTTGAAAATCTATGTATATATGTATTCAAATTAATAAATGACCATATTTAAAAAAGAGGACAGTACTCAATTCGAGTGATTTTTGTGTGTAATTAATAATAAAGTTTACTTTTGTGGTAAAAGATAGTAGAACCATTCATATAAATTTAACAAATACCACTTCTGAATGTACAATAATAATTAAGTTTAAAGTGATTTTGAATTCTGGCATACGTTTTTCGTTCAAAAGTAGTTATTTCTTATAAAATATGTATAAGTACTTACCAACTTCACTAAGCGTTCTAATACATTTCTCCACATTGAGTTTCTGCGGCGGCGTCAGCCACGGACACTGGTAGATTCGGAATGTGGTCTGCAGGAGTTTCACGAAGATCGACTGACGAGTCTGTTTTAATGTAATATCAGTTGTAATATAAATAAATGTACTTTCTATATGTATAATATATTTAAAAAAAGATCAGCTCTTTTAACGTCTCATAACATGGGCTTCCCCTCAATGCCCACCACGCTGGCCAAAGACAGTAGGCAGACAGCAGGTTAGTAGCAGGTTTCCTTACAATGTTTTCCTTCAGCGTAATGCATGTGGTGATCTTGTTGAAGAATTGAAAATGATTCACAAATGAAAATCTCAGTGGGCAACCCAAGGTTCGAACCAGTTTCACTTCATTGTCGAAGTGAACGCGTTACTACTGTACGTTACGAAGCATGTAATATCGCTTCATCTATTTTAAATAGTTATACTTACATCGAAATAAAATCCATGAAAGCGTACATAAAAAAATGTTTAATAAGACTGTTTACTTTGAAATTAAAAAATACTTTAAGTTTTTAACTAAATTTGAAATAGCTTAAATATTATAAAACCTGCAATGAGTATCTATTGTTTTTCTAGCAATTAAAACACAATAATTTCTCCAAATTACGTATAAATAAAGACATACAAAAATTATGATAACACAAAATAACAAAATTTTTAGCCAACTAATGTAACATAAACAATGAAATGTGAGAAAATTGCAGTTATAATGTACATATTATAAATACTTATTATTTTAGGATAAATAGGTCAGTACATCATTACTAATATAATCTTTATTGTCAAAAAAATCGGATCAGAGAAATGGATTGGTTAATTGCGTAGTAATTATTGACAAAAAAGTGTCACATATTAAATATTTTCTTTGTCATCAAATGAATCTTATGCAATATGGCTGCAATTATTGCACAACATTATTAAAATATTTTGAAGTCCTGTCTGTATAAAAACGATCAAATCAATAAGAATGGACAATGAAGTAAGGTATTAAAGGTATTTAACACACATGACGACACACGGTGTGGACTGCCTAGTGCCTAGCTGTACGTACTCAGTACACGGTACCTCTTGTACAGACATCGGTTGGACCGTTATCAACAATGTGAGTATTTCATTTGTGCTCGCATCTTGCGTCACCTTGCACAAAGTAAAAATACACAAAAAAACTAAGATATCATGTATAAATTTAAATGAACTGAATAATAAAATAAAGATTAAATAAAACGTAGACCAAGGAAAAATATGATTATTATTATATGGTTTATCTAAATACATAACATAAAATGAATTAGTAAACAAATATATACACCTAAATTACTTAATTGTTGTACCTGTTGTATTCATGTGTTGTCTATTTCGTAATAATAGACTAAAATATATAACATTTATAGGACAAGAGATAAGGGTAGGCAAGTCAGAAAAATTGTGGGGATCCCCCGACCGTAGATAAATTGTGCCGTCACTACATGAACAAATAAAGCGCGGGGATATGATTTCATGCAAATTATCTATAGCGCGAACCACCTATTCCAATATGTCGGTATCGGATCTCTAGTAATAAAACATTATAATATCCGTATAAACTCACCTGCACAGTAGTGCTCTGGTCGCTGAAGGGCGACTTGAAGAACGTGCATATAGTGTGCACGAGCACGTCCGTCACGTAGTTCACCCACGCCTGCTTCACGCTGTTTGATACCTTCACTGGCTCTTCCGATGATGAGCCTGAGAGATGAGAAGGGAATAATTCCTAATCAAATTTGTTCACGTCGGTTAGTCTCACTAAAACTACTAGCTAACTCGGCAGGAGATATTGTCCAGTGCGTGTGTGTGCAGACTGTACTCAGGTACAGACTCAATTCTTTTCACTTTCAAACTCCGTTGGGGCATTTCGACACGACCGGTGATAGATCCGACGATCCGAGACACGAGGGTTTGAAACTAACTTGCGGGTGCTACTGAGAATTTATTAACTGAAAAACCCAATTATTATCAATACAAAACAACTCATTTTAAATTAAACTGTCCCATATTCGCATAAATCTAACAAAGTATTAGAGAACAACTGCTCAAAAAAAAATTTCGACTGTAGTACTGCACACATGGTCATTATCCTTCGTTTGATAAAGATATAGTTTAATTAGATGAGTAATATATATATATATATAAAAATGAAACACCCACCAGGCGTACCGGCGAGCGCGGCGGGCTGCAGGATGGCGAGCATGTCGTGCAGGAAAGAGCGCTCGAACAGGTCCCACATGTAGTTGCTGGAGTAGATCTCCTTCATCTCAACCTCGGTGTCGATGTAGCAGTGGTTCAGGAAACCTACGTACGCTTCTTTCACCTGGGCATCGAATTGTTTTTTAATTATGTTTTTGAAGTTACTAAATACCTCTTTTGGCACGTTTGGAAAAAAATATGAGAGTAAAATTTTTACGATGCGCGCAAGTTAGTTGCATTTCTTTTACAAATAGAGAGTTGTGGCATGTGGGATGAAATCTTTAGCTATTTTTGTTCTGTTATGCCAAAGAAGTATAACTTCTTACGTGTGTATATTAGTACACACACACGTATTTTTGTCATACAGCACTTGTTTAACAATATTATTTTCTTTTTTTTTAGAAAATCAAGATTGTTTTCAACTTAGACATTTAGAAGCTCATAACATAAGAACATTAACAGACATAGTCTCAACATCTTTCTGAATATTAAAAACTTATGTGGACATACTTATGTGGAGTTTTTTAAATCCCGAGTTACATGTATGAGGTGCCATCCTTAAATTTTTATTTTTCATAATTTGACTACAAACTTTCAGAACGGTTTACACTACAAAAGATACAAATAGAATTTCCAGCAATAGTCTCTGAGTAAAATTGCTTTGATGTATGGGCAGACAAACAAAGTGACAAGCCCTCTATATACTAAAGTTAAGTAACAACATAAAATATAAAAATAATAATAAATATTAACTTCAGGTATGCAGTCCGGGTGCGTGATCATGGCCACGATGTCGTCCAGCGGCAGCAGGCTGTGGCACTTGATCTCCGTGTACACGTTCTTGCCGAGCGTGCAACACGTTAGCAGCTTCACTAGATCTATGTGGTACCTGAAAATAATTATATTAATATGACAATTTGTTAGGTTACCACTAGTTCCCCCCCCAACGTGCGTTCGCCTTGTCGTGGTGGGGGGGCTCAGTAGTGCCCGGCAATCCAACCGGGCGCGAGCTAAGAAACGCACAGGGAGGTTGCCCACATCGGTGGGCGGTGGGAGGTGGCCCTCTTCGGAGGGCGGTGTACCTTGCGGGTTGCTCCTGGTACTTCTCTGATAGCAGAGTGGACCTTGGAGCAACCCCATGGTTGTGGTGGTCTGCTTTGACAGACCTGCCGTCGGGGCGTCGTAGTTGAATGCGTAAGCGATCCTGCGACGCCCCATTAAGACGGGGAAAGGTTTTGTTGGGTTTTAGTGGGTAGTACTGGCTGTATTACGCCGGTGAGTCCCACACGTCGTGCGGAAATGCATTTCCCAACGTTAAAAAAAAAGGTTACCACTAGTTATTATCATATAGTAGTACATTTATCTACACATAATATAATGATAAATTAAAAAACACCCCCGACCATCTTGGATCGATTTATATCAAACATAGCTTAGAACACTCCCAACTAATTCACCTTTTAAACAAAAAAAAAACAAAATCAAAATTGTTTCATCAGTTCGGGAGCTACAATGCCACAGACAGACACACACAGACACGTCAAACTTATATGTAACACGCCGTCGTTTTTGCGTCGGGGGTTAAAAATGGTGACAAAGCGAAATCTGTACATAAAATATTTTTTAAAAACTACTATTACGGGTAAGTCGCTAGAACCCAAAATGAGGGCAATTTGATCAAATTTATGGGACCGTTTATTATTGAAACCAAATCGAGTAACATCACAATGTATTTTTTTTTATTTCAGAAAGTTTTACTTATCCACAATGAAAAACTTAATATTTTGGTTTCTAAGCATATATGGAAGAGGAGAATACGAGATGCCCGTTTTGTGATTGGTTTTGTCAATGTATTTTGAATTTCTTTTTTATTGTGATTTATCAATAAAACTAAAATATATAAATAATATATCATAGGTACATACGTTAACGCCTCTGGCATTTCCCCGCTAAGCTTGTACTGGCGCATCATTTGTATGAAATAATTGAAAGACACCTTGTCGTTGTAGAACACTAATACGTCCTCTCCCGCATTCACCATCTTGTATTAAAATTGAAAAAAATATATAAATTAAACACATATTGCATGTTATGATAAACTTTAAGCAGATTAACTAAAAATTAAAATATAAATCATTTTTACTTTCACATTGCAAATACTTTAAGGTTTTTTATGAGTAAAATAAAATGAGAGAGGTTCATTTCTTTGTCTATGAACACATTCTAATGATTATTATTCAATTCTTTATTTAACGTCTCACTGCTGGGGGTGTGCTGGGTTGGGTTCTTCCTAGATTCTTGTAGGGGAGATCAGACCACGATAGCCAAGTGCGAGTAGGCAGCCTTCACATTAGCACGTACCTCCTGCATGACGAGGTCCTGGCTGCGGCGGATGTGCTGCCCGCCGGCGCGCACGATGGTGCGCAGGAAGCGCAGGTAGGCGGGGCGGCGGCCGCGCGACTCGATGCAGTGCACGAAGTGCGCCGCCACCTTCTCGTTGCCCTCGTGCGCGCACAGCGACGCGTTCTCCTCGAATATCGCACACACCGTTTGCGCTTCGCGGATCTAGTATATTATACAGTTATATTATATTAAATAAAACTATCTTTTTGGATTTTTTCGCGGATTCTTTTTAACTTTTTGTTTCCGTCGTTTCGAGCGCTTGGCTTGTCGAGAACCAAAAAATAAAATAAATCCGCGACAATTTATTTAAACTGTTACATATTCGCGTTAATGTAAGGAAGTATTAATTTACATTATATTTATATATTTATATTTCAGCTGGCTTTTTTTATAATAATAATATTCATCTAGTAACAGGTTCTCAGTACGAATGTATTAAATATATTAATAACAATGAAATCTCATAACTGATCTCAAAAGCCTACCGACTAGCGATGGGCGATTATTACTAAAAACTAATCGAATTAGTCGATTGTTCAGTTTAGTCGATAAAAGTCGATAACAATCGATGTTAATCGATCCAATGACTAACGGTTTTCGTGTTAACTTTAACTACTAATTTGTAGCGCAGCGCACCTATATTACTATACTCGAAAACAAATTGAAGTAATACTTAAAAACAATCGACGTAAAACCGTCCCGCATCCCACACGCACCGCGGCGCGGTCTTCCACAGTTCACCGCACGTACATAGTGTGCGTCGTGCGTACACTTAGTAATTAGTCGATTTTTATTCGAATAATCATGGTAAGGAACTACTAAATCGACAATCGAATGCGCAATAGCACAATTTCTGATTCAGTCGATTGTTTCTTTTTTGCAACAATCGCCTATCGCTACTACCGACCTATCGACAATATTAACAATAAAATTAATATATTATATTTTATATACACTATTATTACTTTTTTAGTACAAAGGTACAATAAATAATAAATATGTTTACTCACGCCAGCATTGAGGAACAGGTCAAGGTGTTTGTGCAGTATGGCCTGGTTCTGTTGGTTGCCGTGGCAGAAGTGTTGCAGGAACTCGTGCGCCAGCGCCAGAAGCTCGTCCATAGCCGCGTCGTCTTCGTCGTGTGGAACCTGGGTACATAACAGGATTTCAATATATTACATTCATTTGTAGTATAATGATATTCCCAGATAAGATCAGAAAAATAATATTGTACCGTTTCTTTGCTACATAATGTAAATAAAATTCCCTTTCATACTGAGTTTGTACTTTTTTAGACTTCTTTTTATACAGTTTTCACTAATAAAAAGTGGGTTTCTCTTAAACGTTATATAGGCTAAAATTTATAAACATTGCCAAAATAACCTTTCGGTATAATGATATTCTCGTATTAACTAAGTCAAATAAAAAAATCATCATTTCTAAAGGCTTGTATTCTTAAAGCATCTAAGGATGCTGGGACGCGGAGCAACGCGCAGATAATAAATCAAAGATTAGCTACATACATTAAATTATTATTTATTACTCAATGTCAGATAATATTTAATTCAATACGTAGACAAGCTAACCTGAAGTAAATCCAGTATGATATTGTGTACGCCAATGTTCCTCAGCAGCCGCTGCTCGTGACGGCGCGGGCGCGTGGGCTCGCCCTCACTGCCGCTGTTGCCTTGCGTGCAGTACTTGATCATGCGTTGTAGGATCTAGAATGTTAGTCACCTTATAATCTAGACTTTGGATCTAGAATGTTAATCCCTCTGTCACCTTGTAATCTAGACTTTTACAACTTTTAATTACGAGGATTTAGGTCAAAGTTCACTAAACTGGCTAAATGCGGGTTGGTGGTCCCAAAGTTCCGCGTGTTCCAAAATCTACATATTTAGGACTCTCTTAAACAGACAGAAGACTTTATTAAATCTATACAAATAAATAAAATTGAAGTGTGTGATTGTAATGCCAAAATAACTACTTATAAGAAAAGATTTTTTTTTTAAACTTTTGCCTTTCTCTGTTTGTTCCGGCCACAGAAATCTTAATAATAAGGTAATAGAAATGCCATTGCGGTCTTTTAGTACTGGGACGCATGTCGCCGGCTTGCAGCTACCAACACATTGACAAACAATAAATACACACTATCGCTCACACATGCATTTTGCATTGTTGCAACAAAAATTAAACTTTAAGCGATGACATTACGCAATATTTTCTAAAAACGCATAATCTCAGAACCCGTGATCCCTGTGACCAATAATAAACGTGTGCGAAAAGCACAGAATGATATCGCGCGCTCACTTCTAGTGCAGCACAAAGCGCATAATGCTCATATCGATAATTTTCCGTTGAGTCTTGCAACAATAGGTAACTAATTTATTGAAAGGGTTTTATGTTTCATTCCTCGACGCGATTTTAGACGATTTATTTATTTTCATAAAGGGAATACAATAAAACGTTAAAAGTAAGTAATTTTTTTTATTATTTTATAGTTATACACTCAACAGCTACTATATACTCAACAGCGATATATTGTTTTTAATTCTAGTTTAATTTAATGAAGAGTCTGACTGAATTTTGTTTTTATAATGTTTTTATTGACTTGCATATATATGCATAAGTGATATAAAAATTGACTTGTATAACTACATATATGTTATTATATTCTAAATTGGGTGTATACCTTTGCAATAAATATGATTATTATTATTATTATTATACAAAAGTTATGCAAACTATTTGTTAAAATCCTATACATTTTTAACAATGACTTAAATTTTTTTATAGAATTTCTATGTTATGTTTATCAAACAACTCGCCCTTAGAATTATTTACCCAATCAAATCAAATCAAAAAAAAAATTGGTAAATGCGGAACATGTCAACGATACAAGGATATTCAACGCATACTGTTTTTGACTTACCCATATACATAACAATAATAAGCCTACCTCCTAATCATTTTCTGAATGAAAAAGTAGTTTAAAAGTACGAATTTACAGATAATCGTTGATAAATGACTTTTTATAAATTATTCAGACAGAAAGAAAACATACATAATGAGATGTAACAATTAAATATTTAACGAAAAATATTAAGCCAAACGTAATAAATTTTCGATAAAAAATAATAAAAATAATGGTGGCACGTCACTAATTCGCGGTCAACTTATGCGGCGTGTCCTTGGAATTTACGTACGCGACGATATTGTTCTTTACGCATGACTATTATTTCATTGCTGCAGTTGTAATAGTAGACATGAACAAGCTTAAGTGGTAATGGTTATTGAATTGAAAAAAAAAACGTTTTCCTGCGATAATCGTAGTAGTGGTGGTGAAAACATTTGATTTGGCTATATTTCTTAAAAACGACATTATTTCAAAAATTAAGTACTTATATATGAAATGCTATCCCTTTATTTGTAAAGTTACAAATTGTGGAAGAATTTCCGCAGTTGGATATGCTGCAAAACACCATGTTTACCTCTCCGTGTCTCAAATAACACTAGTTACCGCAACAAACGCTTTACACGCGCTTGTGACCTACGAGTCACATGCGCGGCGACAAGGTCACGCGTCTATGCCACTTCTATTAGCTTATTATTAAGATTTCTGTGGTTCCGGCTTATCTCCGAAACAGCTGGACCGATTTTGACGGTACTTTCACTGACACATAGCTGATGTTATAAGGAGAAATGTAGGCTACCTTTACCTTAAAAAAAGAATTATGGTTTCGTGCCAAAAACCTAATATGACACACACGAGCGATAAGTGAGGGTATGTCACTAGTTATCACTGATATTATGATAATATCTCATTTTTTTAGTGATAACCATTTTGATAATAATTAAATTTGTTACTTTAATACATTTTGTAACTATAGATTGCGATTTTACCTCCTTAATTTTCTTGTATTCATTCATATGGTCATACTTAGTTGTTCTAGACGTATCCAACACGTTATCAAGCGACGCATTTCTTTCTAAAACCGCCCCACCCGGGCCCACTGTTCCTTTGATATCTGAAATTAAGAATAACATTAATATAATATATAGTATATTATAATAACGTTAGTATTATGAGACATTCTGTGCGTGTGTTGTTTCTTCTCAGCTGATTAGTGACCATTAGAAGAGAAATTGCTTATATTTTAAAATAACATTTGAGTTTTTTTATGAACATTATGGCAGTATTTTTCTAAATAGAATGGTACAGTAAAAGTAATAATTAAAAAATTATTAATACATAATCGAATCCAAATAAATTTCATGTTTATATATATAATTAAATAATAAAAAAAAAGATTTATAGTACACACATTAGTTAAAAATAACAATAATCTTGTAAAACTTGTACCACTATGATCATCCAATGCGCCGGCGCGGCCTTTGTTGAACACCCACAGTTCAGATTTCTCCACGCTTTGCCGTAGAATGTCTAGATCTGCTTTGATTTGTTTGTAAGATTCCACATCCGCGTCCGATACTAACAGTTGTACCTGTGAAAGGTAAGAATTAATGATCTTTATTGTTCTAATTAGGCCAATATTACAATTTTCGTAATTTTTCCGTAATATCTTTCTATTACATGTTATAATAGTACACATATTGCACGATTTAGAAAAACATCGTAGCTTGTGTACAAATATATTAGTTACTAGCGGCTCACGTCATCTCCACCAGCACATCCATATATACTCACAGACTTTCACATTTATAATATTATAAATACGGATTAGCATTTGAGTTCAATTTTTCTTTCAATAAACTTGAAAGACAATATATTGTGACCGACATACATTTAATATATAAAAATAATATGAAATTATCAATCCCACCTGTTTAAAAGCAGCCAAAACTTCCTGCCTCTGACTAAAATGTCTAAACAGAAGAGCCAACGCCCCCGACACGAGCGAGGCCGAGGCGCCTTGCGAGCAAAGCTGCAGCAACACTCGCAACACCATCCGTCCCCCGCACTCGTCCAAGTCTAGACCGTCCCTGGAAATTGTACTTTACTGTTGAGGATATAAAGTTGAGTTTCGTTCGTGGGTTAGTACAGGAAAAGCTAACACAAAAGCCTAGATTTAAGCATGGTTTAGAAGCAACATGCTCACATTTGTTATTTATACGTTTTATTTCTATTTGGCAATGTCTTGTAAGTTTATGGACAAAAAAATCATTCTTTTTTTTCTAGGAAATTATTTTACGAATAAAGAAACCAAAACTCGAGAAACAAACACATTTTGTTTAATACAATCACAAAGCACACAAAACACGACATAGCTTAACATTCAGGTGGTATTTATTTTATCGACACATCAAAGGGGCAACCAAATTCCTTAATCACATATAGAAGCCAAACACAAATTTCCAATTCAATTCAATTCTTGTGTTCAATGTCTTCTAGGAGTGCCGTTTTCCATAAAAAATCATGAATAACGTCAATAAATTTGTCGGAACATTACCACATAGGGAGAAAATGTAAAAAAAAATCACACAATGCTTATTATTAAGTGCACTTATTATTTTTAAATTTTATATAACTATTACATTTATTCACACGTAAAACATATATAAGCACTATTATATCATGGATTATTAAGCGTTAACCATTAATATGTTATGGGTGCTATGCGAGTAGTGTCCATGCCATATCACCATGCAACTTAGATATATCTTACTAACAAATCTACATTTTTTGGAAGACAGTTGTCAGGCACAGTCTGTATCGCTCTGAAATAATATGTACATACGTATTAATATTATTACCAACACAGTTAAATATATTCTCATAAATCACAATAAGTTAAAAATATAGATTTTTTCCCGTATAGTATTATAATGGATGTGGAATAAAAAACAAGAATTTATAATTTTTTTGCAGCATTACATTTATTAACTGTGTTGATCCAGAAGTAATTGAAGAAACTGCAATAAAGCTAGAAAAAAATATTTCTCAATTATTAGTAAGAATAAAAGTAAATATTTTAAAAATTAAATTAAAACTACCCTCAAACCGTTCCCTGTAAGTTTTTGTTAGTGACACATTTTTTAGAACATGATATCTAACAATGAACGATATAACATACACAAAAAATAAATCTTTATAAATGTCCCAAAACCTCCCGAAACCTTCACCTCAATGAGACCAAAGTATATAGTATACATTTTTTTTATAAGCACCGCACATGAACCACTGCCTTGTTATAAGCACATATATATTACATATATTAAAAAAGTACATCAAATCTGTATACATTTCATCTAATTTTAATTTATATACAACTAACTACCTAACTGTACGTTTTGACGATTAGTATGGAATAGTTTTTTTTTTCAAGTTTTTTTTCGTGAATTTTTCCGATGTTTTAATAGTTATTCTGCTATTCGGGGTGAAGACAAATCCAACAAAACAAAGATCATAAAAATCGAACCAGCAGTTCTCGAGCCATAAGTGTTGTAACAAACCCGACTATGTTTTATATATACATAGATACGAATACATTCAATACCAAAATGTTTTGATCCCAAATATGATTGTTTTTAAAAAATACTCTAATGCTACGAAAATTATATACATATTTAAAAGAACAACATATTTTGGTAAATGAGATTCTACTTTAAATAATGCTTGAATATTTACTGAGTTTCATGCTTAAATAGTTACTGAGTTTCTTAAAATATATGATAATCAATATTAAGATTTTAGTAAAATACAAGGTTATATCTGTTATAACATGGCATCTCACTACAATAAGTTATCCCCAATACAAAAATCTCAAGATAAAATTACTTTTACTTTATATATTTTTTAATTTTAGATACAACCCACATAAAACTTACCGACAACTAAATATGCCTTCAGCTTGAAGCCCGATAGCTTCCACGTCGGCTCTTCCAATACTATCCGCTTTGTCCGATTGTTCGAACTCCTTTTTGAATATGGAGAGGAGGCAGCTTATTCGATAGTCGAGTCGAACATCTAGGATGAACTAGAAACAGAATATTACTAATTACTATTATTATTATTATTAGTATGTTTGTAGGTTTATCCTTAATTGGAGCAATAACTGAAAAACAGTCCTCAATGTGGTATTTTGCATAATGATGACGATGATGTGCTCCTGACCGATTTCGGCCACAGCGGCCAATCTCATTGAGACTAGCCAACTGCGCAGGAGATATTATAGTGCACAAGTGTACGCGCAGACACCACGTGCACTCTCTATTCCTGTCACTCTTAAACTCCGGTGAGACGACACGAGACACGACCAGTGAGAGTTAAGGCGCAGGACCGACGGCTTTACGTGCTCTCCGAGGCACGGGAGTGGAACACCGCCAACTTTCCAACTACGGGCTTCTACTGAGGTTAATATACAGAAAACCTCAATAACTAAACTTGGCCAGACCCGGGACTAGAACCCAGGACCTCCAGGTGTGCAGCCGTACATGCTAGCCACCACACCACAGAGGCAGTTAACTTTAGAGTTAATTTTGCATAAATATAGTTTATGAGCCGGAGAGAGAAAAAAAGATTCAGATTAGTATATAGCAAGTATATATTATATTTTACTAAGAAAAGTTACAACGACTTTAAAATCACTAAAAAGTAATTATACCATTAGGAATGTACTTATTCATTAAAAAAACCTTGGATGGTTCATTAGTTGTTACTTCTTAAATAAAATCTCTCTTTTCGGATTTTTTCGAGGATTTATTTAGATTTTTGGTTCGCGGTGTTTCGAATGCTTTACAGCAATCACGATCACGGGAGAGTTTAAGGGTTTTAGATAGTTTTATTTAAAATATCTAATATTAGCGTAAATCTAATATAGTATTAGTTGTTACCTCTCTTCACGCTATAATAAGTTTTTAAATAACAATCTGAATTGATTTTGCTTTAATCCATAATACATAAGGTACTTGCACTTGCATGCAAAAGTGTGTATGTATGTATGTTTGTTATTCACGCTGAAACGACTGGACGGGTTTGGATAAAATTTAGGTCACAGGTAAACTATGATGTGGAGTAACACGCATCTAGGGAAAAACCCGAACGAATTCATTCGTTAATTTAATATATACCTGCAATATTTCAATGATCTTGAGTTTAGTCTCCATGACGAGGGGGTGTTTCCTTGCCAGCGCGAGAGCAGACGGGCTACGTTGCGCGCCGCCACCCGACACCTGTGTGATTACTGGCTTTTTAGTGTATTTACATTTTTTAAAGTAAAAATTTAAAATTAAAATATTAAATTTCAATTTTAAATAACCGACAATTACCTTTAATTAAATGTCAATTTCAAATTTAATTATTCTTTTTAAATAAAACTATCTTTTCGGATTTTTCGCGAATTTATTTTGATTTTCGGTTCCCTTTTGATTTTAGGGAACCAACAAGATCCGGAAAGATAGTTTTATTTAAAATGTCAAATATTCATGTAAATCTAAAAAAGTATTATTTAATTAGTCTGTGAGAAAGTCATCACCGGCTTAAAAGTTGGTTCTGTAGAGAACAGCCAGCAAGAAACTCTTTAAAAACCTTAAATAAATAATATTATCATTTTCTTAAAAAAATATTTCAATCTTAAAAAGTTGATTTTAAGGCATCAACGCAGACGATCAAACAAAAATGGTCCATTGGTAACAAGTTCGATTTCATGCCCTGAGATTCCCAGCTCTATGTCTTTCATGTGCTGATCTCGTTTAGAAAATAGATACCACTTGCAAATACGAAATAAAGGAAAACAACGTGAGGAAACTTGTACGAGTATGTCTCGCATTGGGAAATCTGTACTTATCAACTAAAAAGGCATTACAAAAAAGGCTATTAATATTACAAGATGATGGTAATAGAATAACAACGTGTATATTTATTACTGGCACATGATGCAGCGGTACCCCATTGCTAACGTGGAAACCTACATATTTGAAAGAACCTAGAAAGTTTTCGAGAGACATGTGAACTGTGAAGACCGCCAACTCGCATAGAAGGAAGGCACCAGTGGGATGTTAAAAAAGGCTGAAAAATATATTTATATATAAGAAGTATACGTACGTTGCGTGCTACAGACCCGAGCGTGATGGACGTCATGACGGCGCCCATGTCCCCGATGCTGCGGAGAACACCACCTTCCGCTACAATTATTTAAAAAAGTGCAAATAAATTGATTTTCAAGTTGATTTGTGACGATAATATAGAATTTTTAAGAAAATCATTTTGCAGACTTAATGTACAATAACGTCAACTCAACTGTCTATAATAAAAAAAAACTAAATTTGATAAATTAAATAGTTGATGTAATTTTGTATATTTTATCTCAAATATATTAAATTCTTGTGTCACCGTGTTTGTAACAAAACTCCTCCGAAACGGCTCGACCGATTCTTATAAAATTTTGAGTGTACATTCAGTAGGTCTGAGAATAGGACGTAAACTAATTTTCATACCCCTAAGTGATAAGGGTAGTCTACCCCAAAAAATTTTTTGGACAACATTTTTTTATTTTAATTTTTTTATGATTCGGTTTTAAAAAATACATAAAAACCTACATTTTCAACCTTCTGCCACCAACCCCTATTTTTTAATAGCGATATTAGTATTTACATTATTTTCTACTCATTTATACTAAGTACTAAGCATTAAAACGTAACCTGAACGGAGCGAGGGTGAGTCGTAGTAATTAAATTAATATGCAAATTTATAACATTATCAACGATGTATGTATTATATACCGTATACAATGAGATGATCTCTAATTTATTAATTTAGAATACTATCATACTACACTTACGTTTCTTTACGTCGCCTTCCTGAGCCGCTTGTATAAAAAACAACACAATTGCTTTCACAAGCGATTACGTACTATCAAATCTAGCTTACAACTACAAGTTCATTATCTACATAATAAATATTTTTTAGCTCTAATTAAATAAGTGAATTATTACATATGAAATACAATTGTAATGTAGTAAAGCAATAAGTGAACAGAAAATCTGTATTTTATATTATTTTTAATCTAATAAAATCACTTATTTTTTAAAACACGACTATAGTAATATTTTTTATAATATGTAACACATAGATAAACACAAGATTGAAATATATGCACAGTGATAAATACTATAACTAATATATAAACAAACATTGTATGAAGTAAGCTTCACTTACATTCCACCTCCCCAGTGAGGGCGCTGGTCTCATTCAACAGGTCGATGGCGGTGACACAGTCCAGGATACTGAGCAATGTTTTCGTCAGTCTTAGGAGATCGCTGAAGCTGTTAATAAATATTATATTATTATTGTAAATTCAAATTGTGTGTATGTGCGTACGTGCGTGGGTATGTGAGGGTGAATTTTATGATGCCTTTGTAACTTATGACCCTTGCGCTTACGATCAGAGAGCTCTTTTTACTAGAGGTTACGTATTCAATTCTTTTTTATGTCAAGTTAAAGGTCGTAAATTATATTTATAAGAGTAAAGTATGTACATTGTACACATTTATACATTGTAATCTATTTTAAGCTTTTTTGAATTTTTATCATTACAAAAAATCATTTACCTACCTATAAAATCCAAAGTATATCAATTCTCTAGCCAACTTGACCACTTCAAAGGTAAGTTTATTCTGGTCGTGATCACTGAAGTACCAGGTCTTCGTGACAACGTTGCACAGATAGTTCTCCACGAAGCGTATTGTTGATGCGAATTGCTCTTTCACTTTTTCCCTTGTTGCATCTGGACCTCCCTTTACACATTGATAGCTGTAATAAATTCTAATTTTTAAAACTACTGTAACAGTCTTGTTATATATTTTTAGCGTTCTGTACCTCAAAAGGAAAAAGGAACCCTTATATAGGATCACTTCAACATCTGTCTGTCTGTCTGTTCTAATAACGACAACTAACAATTAATGGGGATTTAATTTGTGGTCTATTTCAAAAACACTTTTTCTTACAATATCAGTGCAACAGAGATAATAATTAATGATATTTGATAAATTAATATTTGAGAAAAATACGATTTACCTTTACTAGAATGTAAAATTTAATGTTATTTACTTACTTACATTTGTTATGTTTTAAAATGTTATTTTTTTATTTTGCTCAAACCTAACTTAAATACTATGTAAAGTATTAATAAAGACTACTTTAATGTATTCAATGAATATATGTGCTATAATGACTATGCCCTAATAAGAGAGGAAAGGGTCCGTACTCCGTAGTAGATTGTACTAGCTTGCTTACTGGCAAATGGCCACAAAACCACCTGTATATACTACCAAACCATATATTGTGCATGTGGTATTCACAAATGCATTAGCCAACATTAAAAAAAGATTTTTAAATACGTAGGTAAATACTAAATATGTAATACTGGCTTTATATGTATATTATATAGATGGTTTTCACAAACATATTTAAATTTAATCAACTTAAAATAAAGTGTATACTCGGACTGACTCGTGCACGTGTATGGTGCCGGCGACCTCCGCCCACAGGCGCGCGTACTTGACGGGCGTGACGGGCTCCTGCGGGTCGCGGTCCACGTGCAGGTGCAGCATCAGGCGGCAGAACGACGCGCGCACCTCGTGCGACAGCGACGCGTTCGACATACATCTATGTATATAGAACATTAATTAAAAACTTATTTAATTATATTCTTATTACACGATAAATGTCACAATATTAATTGGACGTCGTTATACAAAAAGATTTTTTAACAAAAAATAAAAACCGACTTCCAGGCAGTAAAATAAAATTTATAAATATATTTATATATTCATAAAAATATTATTAACATATGATAACATCGATTTAAAAAAAAATAGTTTCATTTAATTTCTTCAACTGAATCATTCTTGAACTGAACATTGCTATTTGTCAACGGCATATAATTTTCAAATAATTAAAACCATACTTATTCGTTGCAATGATTATGATCATGATGTCAATAGGTGGCGACCTGAGGCTAAGTACTCACTTAAGTATCAGATCTATGTGCAGCTGCTGGGAGAGGCTGTTGAGCGCGAGGTACTGTCGGTTGAGGCACATGTTGGAGAACAGGTCGAGCTGGTGGCGGTAGTAGTCTAGGATGGCGGCCGCCTCGCCGCGCGCGTCCGCCGCCGCCTCCGCCGCCAGCTCCGACAGCACGCGGTTGCACTGCCATGGGGATACGTCATTTAACATTACGTTAGGGTTTTAGGTGCATTTTATACAGAACAAGTTATTAACAATGTAATTTTTTCTCAAATTAGTAGACACAATTCACATTGTAAAAAAGCAATAAGAGTACTTTTTTCGTTTACAAGTTTTCACATTTATAAAATTAATTAAATATACAAAACATACTTCTTGAAATTTCTGAAATGTAACATGTTTCGAATTTTTCTTATAATTTGCTAAGTTGTCCCGCCGAAAGTAATCCTTTACAATTAAAATTCATTTATTTACACTATACCTTTACCATAACATTTTATTTCCCCTCATTCAGTGAAAATAAGCCCTAATAGATGGACAGAGCAATGCATACATATTTTGTTTACCTTTTTATTATTCCAGAGCAATATAACCTGATCTTCTTTGGTATATGTGATGTCTGACGCATCTAGGACATTTTCATGCTTGTATTTTGTTGATGCCAATCTAGAAGAACATATTTAGTACATTAGTAAAAAAAAATATAAAATTAAATAAAAGCCTTAAAATTTCAAAAGCCAACAAATTATATTTATAACATAAAAATATCTACCTAGTTTCTATGAGTATGTCAGCGTTGTTAGCGCACAGCACACTCTTACATATGAGCTCTTGCGTTACGGCGATAGCTTTCTTGTTGGAGATGCAGAGATCGCTCAAGTAGTCCAGGAACCGGGACTGCCAGGTCTTCATATTCTTGCGGACGAGGCCTGGAGACATAATACAATCAATATTTTTATATTATTTTATATTTATATCTCGATAATATTTGAAAATATTGCGTTTTAAACATTGTAACTTTAAACTTTATCCTTATCCCGATGTTTTATAGCTCGTATATAATGTATTGCACCAGCTACGGTAAATTTAGGAACTGTCATAATTTCGATATACAATTTTTTTTTTAATTCAAAAACGTTTATTGAGCATAACGTATTATAATTTTTTATTATGTTTTTTGGATGTCATTATTCTACCACGATTTCGCTAAGAATTTCTTTTCAAATTAAATTATAATTTACAATAATTCTCTAAGATTAAAATAGCCTACAAAGTTATTTTATGTATAAACACATTTATTTTATTTAACAATAGAATTTTTTCAGCAGTCAAACGATTTGGGAAAACAAATTAAAGTATTATTTTTGGTCTAGTATAATGTAAATACAACGATGTATTCAAAATTTAATTAAAAAAAAATTATACAGAGGTTTTACTTACCAACAAACGTTTCAATCTCTGATGCAGTGATGTGCTTCTCCAGTAGTTTTCTATTATTGTGTAACAAAGCTGTTATTGTGTCTTCTGCTAGAATGTCATATCCGATTTGTTTTTGCATAAAGCCAAAGTGTTTTGCGATGTATTCCTAAAAATAACTTTGATTATTATACTAAACATGGATCTATAACTATTTCTCCTTTTAAAAGATATTATTTAATTTCCGACTAATTTAAGTTATATTAATTATTTTAGTGTAAACAATGAGAGTGATCATAGACTTTCTCATCGACAAAATAAACAGAAGCTTTATCATTAATGTTCATTTAACTATCTATTAAACTTTCTAAATATGTAGAACTTCTACACAATTTTTTATTGCACGTATTCATGTCTCTGCACACACACACACACACGCGCACGCGCACGCATACAAATTTTCGCATGTACTACAGTAATCCGATTAAGTACCTGATTTTTCCGATAGTCCTGTTGGCTAAGTCTCAATATCCGGTAACAGAGACGGAAGATAAATTTGTATGGAGCATAGCGAGGATCATACAGCTCTTCTATCTTTAGGAATGCCTCTCCCTCTGGTGACTCTTGAAAGGGACCCTGAATAAAAAATAATGTATATTTTATATGGAATAACGTATTAATTAATAATTACATAGAAGTCGTGGCGTACAAATATTAAGTACAACTTCTGATAAATATTTAATATTAACGAGATAGGAAAAAATAAAAAAATAAAAATATAAAATACACATATTATGAAAATTGCTATTTTCTTTATATATTATCATAGGGATACCTGCAAAAAACAACATTGGAACTCAATATACGGTTTATATATAAATATGCATAAACACTCGTGTATAAAATAAGGTCTATTAACAGTTGCAATGATTTTCTTTGCAGATGAATATTTATAAGACATTGTACATTCCTACTAATTACAAATAATTACACTACATTTTTAAAATTAATATACCTGTAATATTTTGAAGAGTTGTCTCAATATATACTGTTCTCGTAATAGCTTCTGTCTGTCGCGATTAGGGTTCTCTACCACCAGGTCTAGTGCTTTGGACTTGTTGGGCTCGTTCTCGAAGCCCGCTATGAAGTACACTATGTCTTGGAGAAGACTGGTTAGTGCCCTGGATAGCATCAAATTTAAAATAAAGTAACCTTAATACTTTCTTAGATTTACGCGAATATTTGACATTTTAAATAAAACTGTATTTTCGGATTTTTTTGAGGATTTATTTTGATTTTTGGTTCTAATCAGCAATCATAGTCACGGGAGAGACTAAGGGTTTAGACGTTTCAAAGGCATTATATACTTGTTACAGACAATAACATACATGAAATAATCCGAAAAGATAGTTTTATTTAAAGTAACAGCTGTAAAACAAAACAACTAAAGGTTAACTTGACACTTAAAAGTGACTTTCGGTTAAACTAATCATCTGCGAGATGTTCAAAATAGTACAGATGCATCCTCATAGTCCTATGGGGAGACAATCTCACACTCAGGACAGTCTCTACTTGGGGCGATGCCAATCTTGTGAGTTTCAATGCCACCAAAACACAGGCGTGCCTGTTCACCACTAAAAGGAGTCCTTTCACCTTGACTCCTACTTTCCGGAATGTGCCTTTGGAATACACAGAACGTCTGCAGTTGTTGGGGATGGACATCAGCCCCAACATGAACTACGGGCGGTTCATCGAGTCTAAGGCTAATGTAGCTGCGAGGAAAGTTGGCATCCTTGCAAAGGTCCGACAGTATTTCACGCCGGGACAGCTTCTTGTTTTATATAAAGCGCAAGTCCGGTCGTGTGTGGAATACTGTAGCCACATATGGGCTGGTGCTGCGAAATGCCATCTGTCAGCCTTGGACTCGATTGAGAGGCGTGCTCAAAGGCTTATAGGTGACCCTACGCTGGTAAAAGCTAACTTACAAAGCCTCGATCACCGACGTAGGGTTGCCAGCCTTTGTGTATTCTATAGGTTACATTTCGGAGAGTGTGCGCAGGAACTACATGAATTAATTCCCCCATCCCCTTTCCATCATCGGACAACCCGACGAACGGCTGGTCTCCATCCTTATGTCGTGGACATTCCACCCGTCCGCACGAAGCGTTTCGCTACGTCATTTATTATACGTACGGCTAAGGATTGGAACAACCTGCCTGCGTCGGTATTTCCGTCCGATTATAATATGGGTGTCTTCAAGGCAAGAGTGAATAGGTGGCTACTGAATTAGTGTGACTTACCATCTACGACTGCGTTACCACTTACCATCAGGTCAAGCACTAATTCTGAATAGTATAAAAAAAAACCCAATTTGTCCTAAAATCCTAACAATCTACTTGAACATTATTATACTCTTATGACAAAAAACCTTACTTCATCTCATTGTGCTCGATGTTCCCATGGTGCAGTTTAGTAGATAGCGCAGAGAGCACTTTGCACGCGTCGTTTGCGAAGTCCAAGTCTCTCACTTCGCTGGGTGATACTGATATTAGTGCGAAGGCTTCTTTATCTTCCTTTATTACTGAACAACCCACCTGTTAAAAAAAATTAAGATAAGTAATTATAATTCATTATTTTTAATTAACTTGATCTTGACGTACGATCAGGGCTGCCAGTAGAGCCAACTTATTTTATACCGCTGGGTCACTCAAATTATACCAAATCAAATTTTATTATACAAATTATCAAAACTGTTCAGAAATAGTCTGTGATGAATAATTTTTTTAATAAAAATTCGTAATAACTTAAAATGACATATACATAAAATAACCATATTTTACAATTTTCGTATCCAAATAAATATCTGGCAGCCCTACGTACGATTCCGAATGTAAAAAAATTTGTTCCAATCTGATAAAGTTATATGTACTTGTAAAAGGAAAAAAAGTATAGAAAACGGGTTATGGCTTTTTAGCTAAAAGTTACGCACGATATCAAAATCATCATTAAATTTATCTGGGACGATAATGGATTATGCCCTGTTTATTAAAAAAAATGATAAAAAGCACTGAAATACACATAACACAAAGGTTCACAGCTGTCCGAGATATCATGTGATATATCCATACTCACAAAAAATAAACACCTAAATCGAAAACTTTAAAAAGTGAATTAAAACAATAGTTTTAAAATGTAAATAGCTAAGCTGTTTTAATGTCGATATGTTACCTTAGACATGACAGGTTTTTCTTCTTCCTTGTCAATAGGTATCGATGTGGAGTGCACCCACGTGTGCGTGCATAAGTGTTGTAATCTGCAGGAAAATGGAGAAAATGTTTATATTTTCTTGATTATTTGACATAAGAAGTTGCTATTTAGTCTATGGATGGCGTACAATTTGATTCAATCCTTTGTTATGGTTACTCTAGATCAAAGTGTCTACAGTCGATAAAATAAGCAGCAAACTACTGATGCATCATGCTAGTTCTGAAAACCAGCGGAAATCTTATTTATATTATTTATATAGCCAAAATGAAATGACGTTTGTTGGTAAACGCATCAATTGAGAACGAGTGGTTTTTCTATTTTTTTAATAATATTCATAGTTGGAAAATATGCCCAGATAAATTGGGGGCAATCGAAAGTATTTTATTCTACAAGATTAAAAGCTCAAAGGTAATAAAAAAAATTTAGACAGCATCACGTGTACGGTTTTCGATCAGTATAATATAAAAAAAAACAATTACCTGACATAGCTACTCTGCGGTACAGGAGCATCAGAGTGCGTCATAGTAGTGGGATCTAGCTCGAACAGTGTCGCTATCTCCGAAGAATGTGGAACCGATACAAGTTGATAAGCTGGTTCTTCTCCTTCAACTTCACACTCTGTTATACCCTCTCTAGAAATTAAAAACTGATTTTATATTTTACATAAAATTGTAGGATTATATAAATAAAAATTTTAGGTCGTGAGTTCGATTCGCAACATGCAGTGGCTTAAAACTAGCGAAAAGATGGTAACAGATTAGGGAGTCAGTATTATCTCTCCATATATTTCGCAATGAAAAAACATAAAAATAAATTATTTTTATTAATATTTAAAAAATAAAATTCTGTTTTATATATTTATAATCAATCTTTAATATTGTCTAATCTACGTAGTAGTTTTTCTGTGTTGGATATTTGAACATTAGGATTTTTATTATTTTTAGAAAAACTGGCATGTACATTAGTACAAAGAGGTGTATTAATATTTACGTTTGTTTAATACAAGCTTCCGCGGCTAAGTAGTGGCCTGTAGCAAGATGTTTGAAGCGAAATATCGAGTTCCAGTGGCCGGCGCCGCCTCGGCACGGGTCGTGTTGGACCACCTGTTCAAATTAAAAGTGCGTAAGTCTTTTCTTAGAATAAAAATAATTAACTATATCAGCTATTATACTGCGCAAAATAACATACTTTATACTAAGAAAAAAATATAAAGAAAATAATAACAATAATAATGTTCTTCTGGCCGATTGGCCACAGCGGCTAATCTACTAGGTACTAGATACTACATGAATTCTCTCTTTTCACTTCCAAACTCCGCTGCGACTACAATTTGACACCGCCATTACCGATTGTTACTGAGAATTATTTACAAAAAAATTACTATCTTGACCCGACCCAACCCAGAACTTCCGGATCTGTAGCCTTAGCACCTCTTTCGAAGTCGGTTAAATATATGAGTTGCAACTGTAGATGTATATATTTATGTATGTCGCGAAGTAGAGGTCCACTTCACCTGGAAGAGATCGTTTCTAGCGATACGGCCACCTACTGTGCATATCTTTTTCAATATATATTTGTCATGTGGTATGCAATAAAATGTCTAACTATCTGTTCCAACCGTCATCCCCAACCTCAATCTCCCACAAGGCCTTGCTGCTGGTAGCAGCGGTGGCGCTGCTGCGGCCGGTGGTGCGCAGGAACACGTGCTGGCGCCGCCGGTACTCGTCCATGGTGAGGAACTTCTCCTGCTCCGCGTGGAACAGCCGCACCACATCGCCGCCCTTCAGCATCTCCTCTTGGTTCTCTTTGTGCTCCAGGAATAGAGTCACCTTCCATGATGTTGAGGAGTTTACTACATTTACCTATGAATAGAAATTAAATTATATTTTTTTAACCCACAAGTTTAGTATATGGGACGCGACCTCTAGATAAGTGGGTGGTATTTTTCAATTGGAGAGGTAATAGGGAGTCTAAATATATATGTATATAAAAATATTGTGAGAAAATGACCGAGACGGGACTTATCGAAAGATACAACAATTCATCCTCAAACCAATCAAACCTCATCACCTTCAAAAACATAACCCACTCCTCCAAACGCCACGTCCCCTAAACTAACCAACTTCAAATCGCACCCGTTAAAATTTAATATCTTACCTCCATACAACCAACATTATCTGGTAGCTCGTGATTAGATGATACGTGTAGAACCTGTTGTCCTGCATTCACCGGATTTAGTATAACTTTATCCCCAACCACCACATTGTCCCCTAAAAACGAAAATTAGCAAGAAATAATTTTGTTTGATAATAATAATAAACAAACGGGTAGGATTTGGAATATATCAAATTTAAAAGAAATGTAATAATTACATATTCGATAGTAAATTTTAAGTCAAATTCATCATAAAAATGTTATATTTGTTTGAAAATTACATTCTTTAAATGAATTGAAATTAAACTTTATTCAATTAGACTTATTATAAACACTTTTGAATGTGAAAAAAATTAAAAATAAACATTTTAGAATGAGTTTTTAAATAAATATCAGTATATTTACCAGTCGACCGCAGTTTGTAAAAAGGTATTACATAGAACCACGAGCCTTCATTACCGTTCGCGTCTAAGTGTACTCGCATCGCGTTCTTTTCTAACAACGCGGGCAATCTTTTGTTTACCTGTCACAGACATACCTTTATTTAATTATTTATAAAATCATTTACAGAGGTATATTCTTTCAAATGTGTGCAAATAAAACAGGAGAGCTTAAGTTCCTCATATAAAATAAAACCCGATTAAACAGTGGCTTGTGGCCATTCGCAGATCCACTCCAACGAAGAATAGCCTCTTCTGTAAAAGACACTTCTCGGCGCATAATTATGAGTTACTTTAAGCTTCATCCAAATCCAGCCAGCCTTTTTAATGTATATGTAAAAACATTTATATTTATATATGGACTACTGTTTATTAATTAAGAAAATAATTATAATTAATATTTTACCAAAATCTTCTAAATCAGATACTGAGTATCTAGGTTTAATCTAGTCTATAGAAAAAATCTACCATCAAATGATATTAATCTCAGGTCCTGAAAATTTGTGAGGAGATCATCAGGACTATTAGGGCCGAACCACACTATAGTGCCGATCACATTCCGTTCTCGGTCTGATATCGGTCTGATAAAGTTTTTTATACAAGAAACGTTGCTGGAGTGTGATTCGACCGGAACGTGACTTACTGATAGTGTGAATGCAGTCATTGCATTTTGTATAACAATACTGTACCAGACCGATATCGGACCGAGAGCGATGAGTGATCGGCACTATAGTATGGAGCGGCCCTTAATATGCTTTTATTGGCTTCGCTTTTAACATACTATGTGAATGTTGTCATAGGTTAAAGGTAAGGATATAGTTATTAGTCTTTTTGAAGTATAATTTATTATTGTTATTAGATAAATATCTTTGATTAATATTGAAAACACAATACTATATACTAATAATATACTTATAGTACTATGACTTTTTTTAATAAACTTTACAAGAAATGAATGTTATCGTCTATAAGTACTCATGTACTTTATGTTTTACATAATTAAACATAACAAGGAAAATAAAGTATTATTTACTTATATATTCATACATCTAGATGTATATCTTTTTTTTCCTAATTACATATTATACGAACTTGTTAAAAAAAAACAACAATATATTTGGTACAAGAAAAGCATTTTTATACTCACAGTTAAATATTTGTTAGACTTTACGTGCAGTAGTTGCATGACGCTGCCATATTGTACTACTGTCCCTAAAAGTTTTTTGTTCTCCATCTCGTTCTGCTTTTTTTCAATCTCAGCGGCATGCTGTAATTAGAAGTCACTGTTTAACAGCCGTGAATTTAAATATTTCAGATGCGAGTTTTGCTTTTGTTATGTTCATAAATACTAAAAATATTTCATCTGCCTACTATCTGTGTGGTGTGGTGCAATCTTACTAATATTATAAACTAGCATTGCCCGCGGCTCCGCCCGCGTTCAGATGACACAAAACCAAATTCTTATGTTTTACATATTACTATACTCTTACATTGCAGTTTTTGTATTTTTTCTCAGAAATGAGACATTTTCACGCGGTAAAAAGTATCCTATATGTTGACCCGGATAACCAGCTATCACCATACCAAATTTCATCAAAGTCCCTCCAGTGATTTTTTTGTGATGCGGTAACAGACATTTAGGCTATCCCGGAATTCATTTTTATCCCGGAAAAATGTACAGTTCCCGTTGGGATAGATTGGTTTCCGTTTTTTGTGTAGATTTGTTTTCTGTATAGTGAGCCGCTAGTGAATAATATTTAAATACTAAAATAAATGTTAAATAATATTTATAATAACGCGTCAAGTTTTTAAGGAGAATAAATCTGTAAAATATAATAAAAAAATATAATTAAGTAATAAAGCGACCGAGCTACGCTCACCGTTTTTCGAAGAAGATATAAAATAGCGTTTTTTCAAATACAAAAAAGAAACACAAAATTTTATTCAAATCATTAGAGCGGTTTCAGAGATACAGAAAATAAATTTATATAGAGACAATAATTGCACATTTAATATAATAAGATTTTAGCGTGAAAATTACATTTCTAATATTATAAAAAACGAGTTTTGCTTTGCATTCTTTCTACTCGCGTAGTACATATATACCTTCATATGTCCGTATATATTACAATCCTATATGTCTAACAAATTCTACCTCTTTGGAACATTGTGAATAAAGAAAAAACTTAAATAAATGATCAAAGGGTTAACGATTACTAGGAAATATTTAAAACTTGTAAGGAAAGGTTTTTTATCATTTCAAATATTAAAGACATTTTAAAATAATACCATCTGAGACCATTTATTACTCACGACACAGATTAATGTTTTTAATAAACTTCTGCGTTCAGATGAAAGAAATTAAAGAGACAATTTAGTATAAGAGGCGCATCGATCAAGTGAAATGGACACTAAATAAATTTTATGAGATGTTTTAAGACATAGGAGGCACTCTTCTGTTGTGTTAATTTGAATGTTTTCATCCTCACATCCTGTTTATTTTTGTTAACAATAAATATTATGATACTGGTTTATATATTTTTTATAATTTAAATTATTTATGTATTAGGTATTATTTATATCCACATAATATATTTTCTAACAAAAAAAAACTATCAACTAATTTGCATTAACAAAAAATCTATCCGAATAAAATACGTAGGTACAAATGTAAAAAAAACTAATAAAGTAGTTAAAAACACTGAACTTTTTTTTGTTTCCTGTTTAGAATAATTTTCATTTGGTAATGTAATGTATCTATATTACATGGTCTGTTACTTTTATTGATCTATATTTATTTATTCTATTATCTGTCAATTAAAAACAATCCAACCGCTGATATTGGCGATGATTATATTTCGAGGGACCTTATGATTATTATTTTTCAAACGGCGCATTCTTTACGCAAAGTGAGTAAGGTTTAATGTAAAATGTTGGATTGTAAAAATACAAAATTGTTGGTTGTAATTACCTAAGGATTCTGGGTCCAATAAAAAAGACTTGAGCTAGAACGGAAGCTACGCTTTGCTTCCCCTTAGCCTTTTCGTCTACTATAATCTAAGTAGAATCTGCTACACAGCCTGAATTTAACACAGTGCAATGTAATTTGGTTTTATAAAATACTTAACGGTTAAATTTAAATTATTTTTAACACCTCCAGGTAAATTTCAAAGAAATTTATTAAATTTCTAAGAAATCTATTGTTAAGTGTAACGCCGGCGTGTCCGCGGTCGTTGATTGATTAAATCATGACTGCATACTTCGGAAAATTCTGAAGTCTTCAATTTGATTTAGGCATTTCATAAAGTAGGAAGAGTTTACAAACAGTGCCATTTGTATTGTCTGTGACAGCAATAATAAAGGATTAAATTGAATTGGTCATTCTGCATTGACTTATGACTTTAACTGAGAAGAGCAATTTAGAATCTTCTCACTGCCAATAAGATGTAGCAAAATATCACAGAATTAACATCCGCTATAGTGATTATTTTCCTAGAAATTAAACAAACGATTCTCAGAAAATAGATTAAAGCTCAAAACAAATGGCTGAAACGATCACGCCGTCGAAATAAAATTGGCATTTGATTCAGTTTTCTTAATTTTCTTCTGATCCAGGTCAACATGTGTCGTACTAAGTGTTTTGATTAATGGTAAAGTAAAATACATTTGTACGTTATTTATATTTACTGCACGAAGACGATTTATCAATAAGTAATACTGGTAAGGGTCAAAGAAAAACGTTTATTAGATGAATAAGCGCTGAGCCTGTGATGGGATTTCCCATCGGCAATACAAATAGAAACTTAATACATATTAATTTGTATATTTTTAACTTTGATAATGACGAAACTTATACAAATATTCAATTTTACCTCCATTTTGACCCGTTTAATAAGAGAATTTCTAAAAAAATCTTTCATTAGTTCGTTCGTTCCTTCGTTATATGAAAAACTTTTATGTATTTCATGCCTAGAGCGGTTTAGAGTATATATTGACTGTCACTGAGTGATGAGCGTTAGTTTCATTAGGCAGATTGCATGTAGACAGACGACTTATTAATTAGAAATGTTTTAAAGACTCAAAAGTTAAAAAAGGCAATAAGATAAATGTTATTTTTAAACGTTAATAAAATGTTATTTTTGCCCTATTTGTTATACCCTTTCCACCATCTTTTAAATAGATAGCTAGAAAACAAAACTTGCATTGTAAATAAAACAAGTAGCTTAAAACAATTATAATATATATACATATATACTATAGCATATAATATGTACTATAGTAATATAGATACCCCATCCCATACATACATATGTACCTACATAAGAGAAAAAGATACTGAAATATTTTGTCTTTGCCTGTTTATATGTAGATTAATTATAATAAATCAATTATCTAGTAAATATGAGGCGCATATAATATAAACAAAGAAAGATATTATATAGTCACTCGCTGATCCCATTTATCTTGGACGAAGCGCATAAGGTAATCTTAACCAACTTCTCAGCATTGTCTAGAGTAGAGTAAGATTAATATAAACATTTATAAATATATATATATATATTATATATATATATATATATATATAATTTATTGTACACCACAAAAGAAATACACAAAAGAAGAAATATACAAATAGATGATGCACAGGAGCTGGCCTTATCGCTATGAAAGCGATGTCTTCCAAGCAATAATTATATAAAATGGTAGGCGGTGTATTTGCTACACATAAAATACATAATAAAGTTCTAATCGAGTCGAATCTGTACATTAAATATTTTTTGGGAAATCTTATTGAAATAGACATCATTATAGATACACAGGCCGAATCTATAGTTTTTAGAATTTTTGTCTGTCTGTTTGTCTGTGACCACATCACGGAAAAACCACTGGAGGGATTTTAATGAAATTTGGTATGATGATAGGTGGTTATCCGGGTCAACATACCTAAGATACTTTTTACTGCGTGAAAATATCTCATCTCTGAGAAATCTATACTAACCGTTAAATTTTTCAGATACAAGTTTGTTATTAACAGTATGTTGTACAGTTCTTTTTATTCATCTTAAATAACAGTTCTGGTGTTTAACACCATTTTACTTGTGAGGTTAACAGAACTATATATTATACCACCTTACCCTGTTCTCCATTTCTCATTGCAAAGCGCCATTCAAAATCCAGCTTTAACTATAATAGGGGAAACAAAGACGTGCATATTCATCATTACCTCTTGCCAAATCTATGACCTCTTGCGTAAGAGGCAGATAATCATAGCCCACAGAGCCACCCTTAAAAGTAAGCATATAACTTACGTGTAACCGCTTCAACAGTCCGGTGTCCGTGTCTGCATTTGCATTAGCAGATTGCTTGGCTGTATTCCAGAATTGCTTTTGAGCGGAGTAGCGATTCATAGGGCATATCTTGAACAGGCAATCTGTAAATATTATCTTTAAGTGTTACAATATCCCTGACATTTTATTTTTATACACTTTTAAGCCCCTTATTTTTTACAACTTAGCATTTTTCATAACTAGAGACCCCCAATCAGGTGCACCCTAGGTGCCTATATAGTGACTATATGCTACCTGTTGTTACCTTCTGCGGACAAAATTTCATCCAAATCCATCCAGCCTTTTCATCGTGTACAAGTAACAAACATACACACATACAAAATTTTGCACTTATAGTAGTAGGGTTCATTTCATTAATTACAACAATTTATATTATTATTTTTTTAAATTAATTTGGGTACATGCAGAAGTAAACTCAATAAGCACATAATTAAAAGCTAAATTCCGGAAAACAGTTGTAAGCTTACCCCGGAACTTTTTGGGTGGATCAGTCAGGTCGCCTGCCTCAGGGCAAACAACGCACCTGTCATCTACCAACCTGTATACGTAACGTGAAATTATATTACTAAAAAAAAGTAATAATTACTTCTTTATTGATTGACTCCAAAATAGTATGTTCTCAAACTCAGGTGTAAGTTTGTGTGTGTGTGTCCTTTATCTTTTTATTTGTGAATATTATTCAAGGAAATAATTCACCCCACAGATGAAAAAAAACTTATAAAATTTAGTGTTTTTTTTAAATCAGTGAAGTGAAACTTTCAATTATAAAAGATATTATTACGATATTATATTACAAAGAAAAATAAAATTAAGGAGTCAATCAGAGACGCACTATTTAGTTTTTCGTTTTCCCTGGCTTTTGTTTCCCGTGGATTCGAGCATCTATGGGATCAGTACAACGTCGTCTTTGCGAGCATCGAACTCCCAATCTACGCAATGCAGTCGGTTATGCACTGTGTCATCGAGACCACCTACTGCCTAATGTTTCATACATCTTTAGTTCTAGTGTCTCTAAGTAACTTTTTGTAACCAACTTACAGGAAGCTTTTTAAAGTCACCGCCAGGTTCATACTCTATGTCTATGTGAAATATCACGTCAATCTGTTACTCTAATGAATCCGTAAAAGGATACACCTACTAATAAAAACTTTAATAGTATTAGTAAAGATCACAGCTATTTCTTAATACGTATTTTAATATACTTTAAATGATATAATTCTAAAAGCGATTAAATTATCGTCACTTTCAAGTAACAAGAATTTAATTAAACTGCGACAACTTAATATATTGAAGAAACAGATTCTAACACAGGTCACGAACGCTTAAAGCCCTGCGGATATAAGCAGGCTAGTAAAGGGTAAAGGGATTACATTTAATTATCCCGAGGAAATAGAACGGGAACGACTTTGACATGAAATATTTCTACTTTGAACCCTAAGATGATAATTCCCTAATTAAGGACAAAACGTTACTCATAATATTACATGAATGAGCTTAGAATTCGCAAATTCCGATTACATATTAGTTTTTTGCTGCAAAAATATGTAGGATTAATTTTGTAGAAATTTACGCTGAAAAAAACCAATGAGTGGAAAGTCGTTTCCTTCAAAGATTTAAATATTTATTATAGTATTAGGAATTCTAAGCACTGGTCCCAAAATTATGATTTTAGCTGTTAACTGCTAATTAATAAAGTATAATCGGACATGAGGTAAAACTTAAATGGATTCTGTCAATATCAACATGAACTTACTACTACTTCAAATATGTAATTATGTACTTAAATGCAAGTTTAAGGTATGCTTACCCTAAGGTACTGAGGAATCCTGCCACAGAGCCCTCCGCATAGAGGGACACGATGTCCCCCAGGTGCAAGAAACTGTCGCCCATCTTGCCCCTTTTTCCTTACCCCCACCATGCAACGACACCTGTTAAAAGGACATCGTTAGAAATCTAAATTATGGCATATGCATCTTGTATTCAGACCTTTTTTAACGTACCCCTGCTGGGCACGGGCCTCCCTTCAATACGAATGGGATCAGGCTATAGTCCACCACGCTGGCCAAGTGCGGGTTGGTATATATGTAGTTAAAAATGTACAATACATCAATACAACATCTTAAAAATAAATTTGTTAAAGCAAGTCTTAAATTAAGATATAAACCAATACAACAATTTTCAGATATTTGCTCTAGTTCTGTTTGTTATTTCACTAACTACGTAAAGTGACTAGACCGTTTGGAATTTCTTTGAAGCCAATAGCGTTTGTCTACAATAATAATTGTATCGATCAGATAGATATCCGATATGAAAGGTTTAATTCGTCATTTCAGGTTTCATACACTTACTCTATCAATTAACTACGAGAGATTGAGATCTATAATATATTAAATTGAAATGCAAACGCGCTTATACGTATTTTAATAATAACCTAACACAGAGTTTCAACTTCACTGTACTTGATTTTGATTGTTTGTAAACAATGAGAGCATCATTTAACTGTTAAAAAAAAGTATTGACAAATTCTTGCCTCTACGGCTACCTATTTTCTAGATATTAGCAGAAATTTAAATCACAAAACATCAAGTTAGTTCTTAATTAATTTTAGTTATGTATATTAGTAAATAGTAGTTCTTGCTTGTTCGCCTCTAGAAAAAAACAAAAATAAATCCCACGGCAACCGTACATTTTTGCAGGATAAGGCTATTCCAGACTATAATCTGTGTGCCAAATTTCATCCCGATCCGTTCAGCCGTTCTAGCGTGATTGAGTAACAAACATCCATCCAAACATCTAAACTTTCATATTTATAATATTAGTAAGATTAGTAAAATATAGTCTTGGATGAATGTGTGGTTGGTTGATATGTGAATATGAGAACAATAAAATCAATGTTATTAATATTATAAATGTCTCTGAAAAAAAAAGATTATCATATAATATTGAAGGTTTATAATATTTAATTTTGAACATTTCGTTTTTAATAAAAGTTTAAAATTATGCAAAAAGGTACGCATCGATTGAAAAATTGTACCCGTCAATAATTTTTTGATCGTTGCTGAATATAAATATCCTTTGAAATATACGGAAACTGGTCCATCTCATGAAAATGAGACTTACATTGTGTACAATAAAGGCTATTATACCGTAGAGACGGCTGAAATATTTCATTAGTTTTGTTTGGACGAGTCTGTCAACATTGAGTGTGGCTCCCGTTTAATGTTACGCCGAAACGTGCTGTTTTCATTTGGCGATTGTTCGTTGTTTGATGAGCAGATCGTTTTCAAGGTGACAATTTCCGAAGTAGATTATTATAACGTCCTGAAAAGCTTAATTCTGAGTATATTTTTTTAATTATATTTATAGATCAACTATGTAACAGTTGCAACTTGCAAGGAATTTTATATTATTTTCGTACTTATTTTAAATTATTAGGTAGTAATACTGTGTTTATGTTTATTATCTATTTTTAGGGCCAAAATTGTCAGAAGCCAAAATACTTTTACTTACTTTTTTACTCTTGCTATATAAAATACATACGAGTATAGGGTATATATTACGTGAATCAGATTTGGCAAAATTATGCTATAATACTTTAATTATGAAATATCTTCATGCATTCCTATATCAATTTACCAACATATAGCTGGGGTTTGAAAAGTTCTTAGAAAAATTATTTTTAGTTCCCAAAACTTTTTTAATCCAAGCGAATGGTTATAGAGTTATATGCTTATAAATTCATTGACATAGAAGAGAAAAAAAATTAAACCTTGTTTTAGCCTTCAGTTCCATGCATAACACAGATAATCCGATCAGATCCTTTGTCCGATAATCGAATGAATAAAAAAAATTTATTCGTCCGTCGTCCGACTATTGTCGGTTTGTACGAATATTTGCCACTTTTTTTCTAATGTAAAATAAGTGATTTTTAGGTGCAGGAGTTTCTATATGCAAAAAAAACCTTAACCTACCGAGCTCAGGCGAGCTACATATTCTACTTATTTATAAGTCTATTCGTTCTTCCTTATAATATATATATTTTAATAAAGGACGAATAGACACTGCGATAACCTTTATTAATAAATAGCCTACAAATATAAAATGTATTTTTCAATTTTAAATAAAACTATCTTTTCGGATTTTGTCGCGGATTTATTTGTATTTTTGTTTCCCGACGTTTCGAATGCTTTACAGCATCCATGGTCACGGGAGAGACTGAGGTGTTACATGTCTTAAAGATATAGTTGTTACAGACAGCCTACCCACAATTAACAAAATGAAAATTGCACCAATTACATTACAATATTTTAACTTTAAATATTTTTATAATTTTAATTATAATTGAATATGGAAAATTATTTATTTAATTTTTGCTATTATTTTTATAATTATTACAATTTTAAAAATATTAATTAGCAATCTATATTTAGTGTTGCCATTATTATATTTATAACCATAAGAAAAATATAAAATATAGTATTAATTATTTAAGCCACAATTGATCTATGTGTAATTTGAAAAAGTTAAGATTAATTAAAAAATAATAATTTTAATTTTAATTTGCTATTATTTAAAAACAAATTATTAAGCAACACATTACTGCATACATTTACAAATGAAAAAGTGAAAAAATATTATTAATCAGAAATGCTATCATTTTGATCTACACAGTAAGAACTTACTACATCTACCTGTCTGTTATGTTTAGATTTATTATTAGATTTTATTATATTAATAACAGGATCCCATGACGATGGTAGTACCCAGCCATCTTCCCTATTGAAATTAGGATGTTTTTTAATTTCTATGGCTTCTCGAATCATTCTAGGGCGATATCGGTTTTTTTTCGAAAGAAAAACTGTTGTTATTACTGTGTAGATCAAAATGATAGCATTTCTGATTAATAATATTTTTTCACTTTTTCATTTGTAAATGTATGTAGTAATGTGTTGCTTAATATTAAAATTATAAAAATATTTAAAGTTAAAATATTGTAATGTAATTGGTGCAAATTTCATTTTGTTAATTGTGGGTAGGCTGTCTGTAACAACTATATCTTTAAGACATGTAACACCTCAGTCTCTCCCGTGACCATGGATGCTGTAAAGCATTCGAAACGTCGGGAAACAAAAATACAAATAAATCCGCGACAAAATCCGAAAAGATAGTTTTATTTAAAATGTCAAATATTCGCGTAAATCTAAGAAAGTATTATGTATTTTTCAAATCAAACTGGAATTTCCAGATAACAAAAAAATAAACAAACGTTATATTATGATGTATAGATTATAGATATAAGCAATTTATTTTTCACAAATTTCATAATAATTGCATGTTTTCCCACCACTAAACGACGGATGGACGGCCGAAAATTATTATGATTGCTTAGGTAATGAGACGTCATATTTTAACATAAAGTGGAAAGCAAAATTACAGTATGCTTTTATTTATAGATAGAGCTATTCTATTTTCCATTTCATCCCATGTACAGTTTTATGTTACTCTAGTCGTTGTTAGGGGTTGCACATGTGTGCTTTTAATTTTTATGTATAACTAGCAGAACCCGCGGCTTCGCTCGCACTAAAACTACAAAAAAAATCTTTAAAAAGGTAGTTTCACACAAACTTTCGTCTTCTATTTTACTCCCTTATAGGATTGAATTTCAAAAAATGCTAAAACACGTATTTATTTAATTTTATTGAAGAGTATTAGTACCAAGTTTCAAGTGATTCTGATCATAAATATTTTTTTGGATTGTATTATATCGTGTTTATTTATAGTTATTATTGGGAATTAGATAATCTCCCGCGGTAAAAAGTAGCCTATGTCACTCTCCAGCCCTCCAACTATCTCCACACATAAAATCACGCCAATCCGTCACTCCGTTTCGACGTTAAAGAAAGACACAAACAAACACACTTTCATATTTATAATATTAGTATGGATTATGTTTATTACAGTACATTAATCACACAAATACTATAATATTCTTCCGGCTTCTGGATTATCATTTATAATGATGTATGTTTATTGTTTTCAGTCTTCACCCTGAACGTCCAACAACACTTTGAGTATAATTTTGAGATAGGTTATATCATTCTAAAGTAAACCTAGATACATTAATTACTTTCACATATAATACTCTCTTAGATTTACGGGAATATTTGATATTTTAAATAAAACTATCGGATTTTTTCGCATATTTATTTTAATTTTGGTTCTCGACGTTTCGAATGCAGTAATCAAATTCACGATTCATTCCAAAATCAAAATAAATCCGGGAAAAAATGCGACAGTTTTATTTAAAATATCAAATATTAAAGCACCATCTAGTTCCATGGTAAGCTACGAGGCTTGTGCCATGATACCAGATAAACTCGCATGACTGGAGCATAAGCATTCGTGCTCATCACACAAATGACTGCACTCAGCGGGACTCCAACCCGCGATCGCTGGCATAGCAAGTAGGATCACTACAAACTGAGCCAAACGTTCAATGTTTCGAAAATTCTAAAACGGTATTCGGCTGGATATTTACTATCTGGTGTTTGGTCTACTATCCAGTATACCGGCTTCTGGATTACCGTTACCGGATTTCCGATTTATCTCTAGCAACCTTGTCTTAAAAGAAAAAAGTTACTTTGATTTTATTTAAAGTATTGCTACTAAAACAATATAAATATATAATCTATAAAATAATTTATTATAAAGCTTTAAGACATAATTTTAAACTTATTTTTTACCTCTTCATTAGTTAAAATATTTAGTAGACATTTAGCAATACCTAACTAGTAATGAACAATCGAGTTTAAGAAATGAGTTGTTGATGACTTACCCGCTCTTCAAAATCACGCCATTCTCAGTAAAGTTCTACGAGCTTCATCAGTAGC